TCGAATGCAATCAAACAACCCAGAAACAGCGGCAATACGCTTGAGTATAACTAATGAATCACAAGCAATGGGAGTGTTATGCGTTTGTCGCACATCATCTGCCAATTCTTCCTACCCAGTGCTTGTATACGTTCCCCAACGATCCCACCCTCATGCAGACAGCTCAACGTCTCGGTCGGACTCTCCGTCCACGCAAATGTCGGGGGCTACCCAGCTTGACTTGCGTTCATGGCTTCGAAGGTGGCTTGCCCCGTAAAAGCTGTCCCAAGGTGGTTCAAGTAGGTTGCATGTACGGTTCTGTCCTACTTCTCTTCCAGTCTTGATCTGTCTGCATATCGTCTTACCTCCTGTTCAGGGGCATTTGAGTTCCTCGCCGTACGTACGTTGTGCTTTCTCCCTTCCCTCCACGATGAAGTTCATCGTAGGGATTCTCGCCTCCACCACCGGCGACAGTGTAATTATATGTCACGTGATACTGCCAAGTGATATACAATTAGTGCTCTCTCTGTCACGCCAAAAACAAAAACAAAAACCATCACCACCCCCGGTAGGTGGCTTGGAAGCCCCAAGAGCTGAGTCTTTCACCCCGGTTTGAACCTGGAGCTTTCGCTCAATTCCCCTCGCCGATTGCGTGGCCTAGACTACTAGACCACGCGGGGTTTTTTCCGTGCTGGATACATGAATCCGAATCATATAAAGTGGTGAGTCCCCCCGCGACGTACAAGCTCGGTCACAACGCTGTCTGCGTCACGGGAGTGTTATGCGTTTGTCGTATATCATCTGCTAATTCTGCCTACATTCCACCATGCATTCCCCAACACCACACGCACCTGATCCCCACCCTCACGACGGGTCATCGTCTCGGTCAGAATTCATGTCCACGAAAGCTTCGGCGGCTACCTAGCTTTACTCGCATTTGTGGCCTCAAAGGTAGAGTGCCCCCGGGTAAGCTGTCCCCGAGTTAGTTCAAATAGGTTGCATGTACGGTTCAGTCCTCATGTACCTATGATACCTACTTCGCCCCGCACCCATACACGCACTCTCTAAGTCAAAAGAGGACATATGCTGTGGACATAACTGCGTTTCTTCGATCAGGGAAACGCCCCTTGGGTGCGTAACACGATACTGCAATGCCTGGAGGCTGGATATTGTTGTCCCGAGGATTTCCGAATCGGAAACCTCGATAGCCTCGGGTTAGTATGTAGAGCATTAGGCGTCTAGGGCAGAGATTCCGTCCTACAATAGTGAATTTCACTCTTTCTCATCTCTTCTGTTCTGCAGACACACCTTCCTGTCGGATCTTTCACGTTTGCTGCTAGGTAGAAGGTACTCCGACGTCCACCGAGACCGGCTACTTTTGCACAGGCTGTCACTCATACCCCCGTGCCCACACGTGCAGGACCATCGGCCTGTCGAGCGACTGTACGCTCGTTTCGATTAGCGGGGTGTGGAGGTGGTGAGTTGCTGGCACGCGGGCACTGTGGTGGCGGTAGACATCTACTCCCCGAGTCATGGCCGTGCATCTAACCCTACTAGATGGGATCATGTCTTACAGCTATTTTCTAGATCTACGGGCTTCTCCTGTGGTGGAAGCTCGAGTTCCTGCCCCGTGTGTGGCCAATGATGCGGGTTTTCGGGCCGATAACTACCAGTTGTTCGTGCTTGTGACTCCCTCCTTCCGCCCAGGACAAAGCGTCAGTTCAGTCTCCATCACTCCATTCGTTGCCTGTTGCGAGCTGCACCGTCTATTGATCGGTGTATGTTTCGCCCCACCGCGCCATGCGCACAATACCACTGCAGCGAGTGATGGAGGCGCTGTCTGCGAGAGGACGGAGTGAAGGAGGACTCCTGTCGGCGGGAGAAACCAAATGTGATTAGTGTGGTGCGCATCTCCTCCTCCTCCTCCTCCTCCTCCTCCTCCTTCTGCTTCTTCTTCTTCTTCTTCTTCTTCTTCTTCTTCTTCTTCTTTCTAGATCATCGTCTATCAAATAGACCGCCAACCCCCATCTCCGCTCTCGCCTCTGTGTGCGCTTCCTTTCTCTTCAGGCCTGGAGAGTAATTGGCAAAGAGCCCTCGCAATACCACCTGTGCCCACCCAGCCAGCAGGTGAAACAGCCAGCACACCGCGGCTCCACGACCCCGCCGTCTTTCAAGCGTCAGTTACTATCGTCTCCCCCACCGGCAAGCTTCTCGGAGGCCCAGTATCCGCTCGAAGACGACGGATACAGCTTTCGAATATCACTCGGCTGCTGGGGCGTTACCGCGAGGACGGAGTGGCACGGTGGCACCCGGCACCAGCATTCCCCGAGACCCCCGATATGCGATGTACCGTAAGATACGACTAGCTTGGCTGCGAAGGTCACCACCTGCGGCATCTGCCGTTGAGGCGTTCTTGCGAGCTGCAGATATTTGCCGGCCATACGCAGCCCGCGGCTTCGATCTATGTATGTCTGCACTGGGTCATCACGGCTGCTGAAGGTACGTACGGAGCCTTAGCTTGCCGGCACGACCGTAGCAACGAAAGACAGCGAAGAGTGCGAAGAGTGTGAGGATGTGATCGGTGATCGGGAGGGAGAGAATCGTCTGGTCGGTAGGGAGGAGTACTAGTAGAAGTGTGAGCTGTGCGAGTGCGTCTCTGTACTTATGTGATTTCCACTGTTGCCCCCGTTCACCGGAACTACCACTACCCCGTGTTACAGAGAATACTAACATGCTATAGTAGTTTCGCTCTTCGCATACTCCATAATTAGCTATGATACCCTCCCACATACCGGTACTACATACCGGTCCTTCATACTACACAGCCACCGTTCCGCCGTTCGATCGGCCCGGTTTGGCATAAGCCAACAAACGAGTGCGAAAGTGTGAGTGAGCCGGCACACACCATCCCGCCGCACCCCGCCCCACCGCACCCCATTTACTCTGCGTCCGCTCCGGTGGGTATCACCTGACCCATACCACCCAAACTGCGACTGTTTGCAGGGGGTGTCTTCGTCCGGCTCGCCACTGAACAGCCAATTGCACAACTGATGACTGACGACTGACGACGGACGGACGGCGGACGGGGCTCGATCTCGGTGACTCGGTGACTCGGCGACTCGGTGTGGTGTTGTGTGGTGTCGTGTTGGGGCTCACATGCCCGTGCCGTCGACGACGGGCTGGGCTGGGTTGGAACCTTTTTCTTTTCCTTTTCTCGGCAGGTCTCGAACTTGGGGGTGAGGTATTTGAGGGTGCTGACACATATCACATCATACATGTACGGTACATACCGTACATACCGTATCCGTCAGTCTAGGTATATCTATCTATCTATCGCTGCCCCGCTGATTACTCTACACGAATCACGAGCAGCAGCGTCGGATGCAAATAAGAAGCCCCATTCCTCCTCGGTGGGGCCTGAATCCGAACGAAAAATAAAATAGACTAGGGTGTGTGTGAGAAGAAGAAGAAGAGAAAGAAGAAGCTGAGCGCATCTAGATGTTCCCGTCGCGATTAGTATTGTGGTTTGGGAGGGGGCAGATGCAGTGATGCACACTTGGCGATCGGAACGGATTGTTTGGAAGGAGCAACCGAGGGGCATCAAGTAGAGTACTCTAGAGTACCTACCTAACCATCAGGGGGGGAAGAAATGACTCGGTATCTTCTTCTTTGCCCATCCATTTGATCAGAGGATCAAACGGTTGCTAGGGCGTAACTATGTCTGTATGTATGCACACGATCTTCACTGACAGACAGACAGCTTCCGCACGCGGGTAAAAAAAGACCTCAACTCAACTCGGCAGGAACCCCCGGGTACGATCGGGGCCCCGACGACATCATCATTGGAGCTTGGGCCTGAGGATGAGGGGGAGGGGTAATTTCCGTCACGCACGGCCGGCCGGTTCGATTCCCCCATCCCGCCCTGGGGCCTTGGAGCCTGCAAACGAGGCGTCGCCCATCGCCTGTCGCCCGGTATTTCCGTCCGGCAGGCACAGTTGAGATCCAATCGAACGAACGAACGCTGCTGCTGCCATGGCGCACACACACCGAGCGAGGCAGAACGCAGACGACGATGGAAACCTGTTGGCGCCCGTCGCGTCCCGCGTCCCGCGTCCGCATGTATGGATGCAGAGTACGGGGGCTGCATAGTGGTCGTCGAGAGGAAAGCGCGCGATCAGTGGTGCTGTCGCATGAACGAAACCTATAGAAACTATAGCAACTACAGCCTGTGTATCGCAACTAGGGCGTTGTCCGCAAACAGGCAGGCAGGCAGGCAAGCCGCAGGCTGCCTTCCGCACGGCCGGGTACGAGAGGATCGAACATCGAACGCCTTTTTGATTATTATTATTATTTTATTATTTTGGACCACACGGCGCACGCGCGACATGAGTGTCACATCCACCATCATCCATGGGTGTACTCATGGCTGTCTGTAGTTATGGAGTTATGTATGCAGAAACGGGACCTGGTGTTTGCGTTTCATTTCACCGGGACACAATCAAAATCCTGGAGTACATACCGGTATCATCAGTCGAAAGCGGAGTGTTGGGAGTACTGGGGGAGGGGCACGGCGAGAGCTGAATTGCACGCACCCAGCTGCCCAGCTGCCAGGAAGCTCAGGTACGCAAGCCCACGCAACGCATGTCGATACGGCACGGTATGTGCCACTCCACTCCACTCCACTCCACTAACTCCGAGGTAACCGCACCGACCAGGATCGGAGGGGACGATGCGGCTTCATGTGTTCCTGAGGTTTTCGGTTGGACTACCAATCGATCGCTGTGGATGGAATGCTTCGTTCGGGTATGATAGGTGGACGTGAGATGGAGATGCACGACGACGGGCTGGAAGCCCTCTTCTTCTTCTCTCTGCAAAGATCTCAGGCATGAACTGGTGCAGTTGGGGTTCGACCGCGCGCTTACCTACTTTACTAGTACTATACCCTCCAGAGTCCAGAGTCCACTTATCCCACCCAGTGGTTTCTTCTTCTTTCGCTCCCCCTCCCCCTCAGCGCAGCCAGGGATACATACCGTACATACGGTATTTCCGCGCCATCCGGAAGCTTCAAGCTGCATACGATGCGTGCGTACGTGCGTAGCCCTTTCTTGTTTTTTTTCATTCCTTCATGGCCGACTTCTAAGTTTCTGGCTTACGTCAACCGGTGCCGTGTCATGTGCAGTGGCTCGCTCATTGATGATTGGTATAATATAATCGGCGTCGATATTTCTGGCTCGATGATTACCTGGTGGGATGGATGAGGAGTGTGGGGTGTAGAGTGTGAACCTGGATTCCCCCCCTCCCCCTACAGAAAAGGATAGGAGGATGCGGCGATGCGGTGGTACAGCGGCGATGCGGCGGCGGCGAGTGGCGACGAGAAAGCGAGTGATACCGCATGGCGCCGGAGTGCACAGGTATCAAGGTAACCACGAGGCTCCAGCTGCAGGAAGCCGGGGCGAGGAGGTCCTGGTCCGAGTCTGGTACAGTCAAATATTCCTATCCAGCGGAGCCTTGCCTTGCCTTGCTCTTGCAATTTCGGGTGCGAATGATGGCGACGACGAAGATGGTGATGGAATGTGGGCAGTGGGCTCGACAATGGACATTGACGTCCATCAGCATCTCACCCGCTGCCTGCAGCTTGCAGGCCCTGTGGACGATTATGAAGTAGGTACTACTGGCAGCTCTCGGGCTCCGGCGGAATGTGCGTCAATGTTTTCTCCGAATTATACATAGCCACCCGTCTGTGGTCTGCCCCTTACATATGTACGAGTACATAGGTTGCCGCCAGCCAGCTTGCGGAGTCCTGGACACCTCAGGTCGGCTTGCGGGACGATACCTGGAGTACAACAGGTACATACTAGTGAGCTTGATAGTGCGTTCCCCGCACTCTGCGAGTATGTATGTACTCCGAAGCAGTCCGCAGTCCTCATTCCGCAGCCCGCAAGACATGGATAGCTTGTATTAGCTACAGCCCGCCAAAGGTTCTTTACTGACTTTTGTTCCGTACTCTTCAGACCAACAGTTGAAGCAGCATCATCGGTCATTTTAAGCGGCATAATCCCTCGAGCCCCGATTTTGTCAGTCGTTTCGTGTGCCGTCGAGCATGGAGAGTACCTTAGGTACCTACTTCATGTTCCACATTCATGGGCGGGAGGGCGGCATGCTCGACTCTCGAGAGCTCAACCCTAACCACCACCCAACGCAACAGCTAGAGCTGCAGCTGGAGCGTCTCCCTGCCTAACACATCACCACCACCACCACCCCATTCGAGTGTCGCGCTACATACACCCGCGCTCTCGCGTCCAGAAACACCCCGCACGCCGACCGATAGTGGGGTAGTGAGAGGGGCTGCTAACTAAGCCGACCACGCGGGGGTCCAGGTTCGACCGTTCGAGACCACACCCTACCTGTCAAGCACCTACCTACTACGTCACGGCGAGCGTCCCCACGGAACCTCCACCTCCGTCGGCTATGTATACTTGCGCGGACGAGGAATCGAGCTTCATCCGTGACTCGCACTGCGGAGCTGTTGCTGCGCGGTGGCTCGAGACGGCCGCATACCGGCCTACATATGAACATCGCGATTCCACGCAACAGCAGCAGCACGGACGTCGGTACTTTAGCGGATACTGGGCTGGGCTGGGTTGGGCTGGGCACGAGGAATGATTGCGCGGAAGGGAGAGGCGGAGGTGTCGAGGGGGTCTGCTAAGCGAAGGCCGGATGAAGTCACCACTTCATCCCACGCTGGGCCGGTGGCGACGGCGGTGGTGCAAGGTTCGCATTTACGGACCGGTCGGGAGCCGCTTCGAAACGTCGTTTCGATACTCTCTGCCGTAGCGTAGGTAGGAGGTAGGTATTGGGTTGAGTGTTGTTGAACTTGGGTAACCTGAAATCAGAGATGGAGATGGACGCTTGACTGGCACACTGGTTACTACCTAGTGACTGGAGAGGGAGAGGGGCGCGCCCGGCGCCCTACAGTAGAGTACTATAGAGTAGTTACCAGGTATCTACCTATTCCCGGACGTCCTATCTTCGCATGGGCATTGAACATTGGAAATCGCCTTTAGGCTTCAATCGAGTTTGAGTGTACCTATTCTACCTAAAGTAGAGTACTTAGAGTCTATAGACCAAGTCGAGACCAGGACAAGCCTCAAGGGCGCGCACCACGACCACGACCTCCACCACCACTACGCACCCGAGGGGCGAAAAAAACCAGACATCATCCCCTTCCGCCAGAGTAGAGTACGAGTACTCTGGAATAGAGTAAATGCAGTGAACGGAGGCGATCCGTGGCGTCGTCACGAAATACCTAATGGCGAGGAGTGCCGTATGATAGTCAGTGGTGCCGAAGTGAGGGGCCGGGATCGGGGACTCGGGGAGCCCCCCAAAGCTAAGGAAAGCTAAGGAAAGCCTAGATGGCGTGCGAGTGCGAGACTGCGAGTGCAGTTCTGCTGGCTGTCGGGAATAAACCCTCGCGGCTGTAGTCTGTATCATAAGCCTCGTTGAAGCTACTCCGCTCTGGATACTTATCAAACCTAGAGCATGTACTCTACACATGTACCCGAGTATGTACCTGTGTCCAACCGCAACGAAACAAGATGACGACGACAACACGGTGGGCGGACGGAGTGGACGAACAGGCGTTGCTCGGCGAAGCAAGATCCACCCGTCACGCCCCCACGCATCATCCACGGTAATTGGCTGGCTGGCTGGCTGGAGGAGGGGTGCTCTGGGCTTAGAGTACGTTCTTGCTCTACTAATATAGATATTTGGAAGGTATAGAGCAGTTGGTTATGCAGGATAGGCACAAGGTAGGTATGATATGTCACGAGTTTCATGATTTCATGATTTCATAGTTTCATTTTCGTATGTACATACGGTACTGGTATATGGCCTAGGTGGGTAGGTAGTTGCTTTCGCGGATAGTCCCCGCGTGGATGGATGTCGCAGTTGATTCCAACCACGAAGACTCTGTAAGCGGAAAAAGAGGGATTTGACGGTATGTAGATACATACTGCCCATGCTGCTGCTGTGTGCATCCATCTATCTACGATTCTACATACCCAGTACCCACGACGTCCCTAGCGCGAGGCGGTGGATATGATAACGACATTGGCCTGCTGCTGCAGCCTGCAGCCTGCAGCAACAGGCAGAGGAAACGCCCATCGCCTCGGTCGTAACTTTGCTCGATTCCATGGCGGTGGTTGTCGTCGGTCGAACGTCCGTCTCAACGACAAATCAACCCAACCCAACCCAACCTGAAGGCTGATGCTGATGCTGGAAGAGTCGGAACTATGCATCACTACCATGCTCCTAGGTACTCTAGCATCTACATATGTACGGTAGATACCTATCTACATACCCATCTCAGCTACCTAGCTAGCTAGCTAGATGCTTGCGGGTTTTTCGGAGCGGGGGGTGAGAGGAACTTCCAGGCTATGTATGCATAGGTACATACGGTACTAACTACCTAGTAGTTTGTGGGTTCGTTCGTGCCGGGTACTTAGCATACACAGCCCAGAGCAACCCGGCGATCGTCACGGTCGAGATTGTGAACTCTTTGTGAACCCTTTGCGGACGGGACGGTGTGTGGTGTTGTGTTGCGTGTAAGGGTGTGTGTGTGGTGACAAATATACCTAGGGTGGGTAATTGGCATGTATCCATTCCCGTCTCGTCTGAGGTGAAAGGGGAGGCAGACGTCTGACGAAGACGAAGAAAGAAAGCCACTGAAAGGGAAGTGACCCGAGGCCGGCCGGTTGGCTCGAATGTCGAATGTCGAATGTCGAAGCTGCACTCCTCTTCCTCGCAGGAACGATAGCCCGTCCGACATATCCATGCGTCGGAAACCCTTCAGGATCCGTCGACGAGCAAGCCATTTCAGCGCCGGCGGACGCACAAGAACATACTCACAGAGAGCTCGAGACTCGACTTCGAGACTCGCGAGCGTTGTTTGAATTTATCCCTGGACCCATCGTTATTCGTTACTCGTTGGTCTCCTATGAAGACTCTGCATAGAGTCTAGAGCCCCCTCCCCCTCGTCCAACGGCGAAGGGGAAATGGTCCGCGGCTATGTACTCTACTACATATACCGGTACATACGAGGGGCGAGGCGTCTGGAAACAAGTTGGGGTCGGAGGCCGCAGGCCGCAGAATCCGGTGCCAAGGTGCTGGAAAATCTGCACGAAGGTTTCCCCCCCGCTCTCCTTGGTCCTTCGTCCTGAAGAATTCGCGATGAGTGGGGAGGAACTTGGGCCTAGAATAGAGGATGGAGAAAGGCTGGCTGACTGACTTGCTTGCTTGCGGTATGATATAACATCTACCGACGACATCCAATTACCGTATGTACCGGTACTCTACGGTACCTGTACGGCCCTCATCTCTTCCGTTTGTTCTCTCGTTATTGGCTCTTCTCGGAGTCTCTTTTCGTCGTCGTTCCTTCCTTCCTTTCTTCCTTCCTTGCGAGATTGCTGTCCGGCATATGTAGGGGTATCTAGAGTAACTACCGCCGGCTATGTAACTACAACAGTCATTGAGGGGAGAAGACTCAAGACTCAAGACTCAAGACTCAAGACTCAAGACTCAAGAGACACCGAAGCCTGGAGGTCGCTCGTGGAACGTCAACACGAAGCAACTCAAGTACTGCCTTGCCTTGTACCATCTCCGACGGAAGGGACTCTCGCGCCGCTCGTAACTCTTGGTGTTTGGAGGATGCAGCCCCCTTGTCGCAAGACTTCCAGGGCTGTGCCTCGCGCTCGGCAGGTCAAGTGGACTCTGGAGGTTGTTCACTTGTGGCGATGTGCAAACCCGCAGGAAGGCTGTAACTACCTCTAGGTGCAGTACTATCGAGGTTCGGGGATACCTGCCTTAGCTAGACGAGTACTAGCACTTGTGTAGAATACCTTCCGGCCTGCCCGAGAGTCGAGTGACCTTCTCGCTCGCTCCGCAAGCAGCACCTTGAAAAATCTCAACAACTTGCGATCAAACTTTGATGGTTCTGTACGGTAGATATCGGTGGCCATCCACGTTCGTTCGCTTGTTCGTTCGGTCGGTCGGTTTTTCATGCTCCTCCATGCTCGATGTGCCCATTCATCATGCACGGACAACGCGGACAAAAAAAAAGAGTAAGGAAAGAAAAAAGAAGGACGGGATTAAAGAAGAAGGAAAAAAGGAAAGAAAAAAATGGATGGCCATAGATCTACTAGTGATAAAGTAACGATCCAGAGTAGCGATCAGTTTCCTGTCCAAATTCTATTCATTCAATATCCTCCTCCAATAACCAACCGTTGCGCGCGTTGCTTTGGTGGTGCCGCGTGCGTCACCGAGCAAGTCAAGATTTTCTTTGCACTATGAGGGGTGGGGTGGGGTGCGGGGGGTACATACATCGCTGGACGCGTAAAGTGGTAAAGTGAGGAATCTTCTTCTTCGTCGTCTGACGCCGTGGATGCAGTGGGATACCGGTCTGTGACTCTGTGGTGGGCCAGCTTGTACTCTACATACATGTCAATCTAGCGGTGGTGGTGCATTCATTCCTTCATTCATCCCGATTCCCGTTACCTGTGTTTGTTACCTACTTCAAACTTACTCTACATACTTGTTATGTACCCCTTCCGGCCCCTTGAAAGTTGAGGCTTGGTTGGGCCTTTATGTACACATTCCCGAATCTCTCAGTGTGCCAACCAACTACTCTATCGACGGTGGCTGATATTTGATCATGCTGGTCTGCTTATCTTCGTGGCGTGGGGGGGAATGTCGACCGTTCCGTTCAGTTGTCGATGAAAGAAGCGACCTCTTTCACTAACCACCATCCGCTTCATCGCCGACGATTCGGCCCAGCTCGCATCGCAGGATCGAACATCGAACGGACGGAGGGGGAGGGGTTGATCCGACCGGAAATCTCCACCCACTGCCCAACTGCGGCTCCCGTGCACTTAGAAGGTATGTAGGTACGATACTGTCGAATCTCGATACATGCACCCCCTTCACTTCACTTCACTTCACTTCTACGAGGGGACGAGACGCGAATGGAGAAGGAAGCACAAGTTTTCAACAACCTACCTTACCGTGGGCGTATCTGTGCGTACAACATCTGCTCGTTTCTGCTGGTGTTATATATCTAACTATGGGGGCTGGAAGTTACATATCATGCCTAGATACCCAATGCGGGTAAAGCGAGTGAGACTCATCGTCGCCCGGCCGAGAGTCGAGATATCCATCACTCGTAGTTACTCGTACTCGTAAGTAGACGTGGCCATGGTGCGTATGTGCATACCGGGCTATGTAGAGTACCTTTCCTCCATTATTCCGTGACGCTCGGGGAGCGAAATTATATTGTGGCGGTATACATAATTTATGTACTAGTAGAGTACATACCTGGATAACTACTACTCCCCACGCTCACGTTGGGGCGCAACCAGTATTGGCCCTTTCGGAGGATCGCAACATTGCACATAGAGTACTCTACCAATGCACATACATACGAGACGATCTCGCTGACAATTTCTAATTTGTCGTCGTCTGGTGGGGCCGGAGGTATGTAAAGTACCAGTACTCTACTCTACTATGATTGCGAATCACGATTGCCTTGCCTTACACTGACTTCACTTCACTTCACTCGGCGCTCTTTCCAGCTACATACCTCGAACCCCGTCCATATGTACCTAGTCCCGCGTCCGCCGTCCGCAGTCCGCAAGATTCCTTGTTATGTTGTGTATTTTAGGCGTTCACCCCCCCATCCCCGTCCCTTGTCTCCCATCCCCGTCCCCCGTCCCCTCCATCCCCCCCGTCCCCCCGTGACTTGCAAGTTGCACCGCCGCCGTGCCTTATCCGATCTGCTAGTAAGTAGAGTACATAGACTCTAGAGTACCTAGTGTACCTAGTGTCGATGGGGGAGCAGACTGAGCATCGTAATCAGCATCATCATAACCAGCATTATCACCAGCATCGTCTTCATTATCTGAGCAAACTTTGCCGGCGTGCATTGATATCGACGAAGCATCCTACATAGGCAAGAAGTAAGAGTGAGTAGAGTACATGACCTGCTGCTGGAGTTGACGGCCGCGCTCAGGTATCTATTATATCGATCATGGGTTGTGGCTGCCTGTCTGTCTGTCTGTAAGTGTAAAGTGGAGGTATGAGTGTGTCGTGTACCGGTATGTGCAATAGGTACTCAACTTCTTCGCCTTCTTTGTCTACTTCTTTCTTCTTTCTTCTCCCAAAACTAGAGTTCGGGAGCGGATACTCTATCTACTATTATGGTAGTTAGGCGCGAGTCACGAGTGCCGTGACAAGTTCTTCAGGGAGGGGAGGAGGGAAGGGGGAGATGTTTATCGTGAATTAATTTTGTTTCGAGATTGGGGGTGGAGAACGCAGGACCTCGAGCAGGACCTCGAGCTTTGGGCGGAACCACTGATTGGCCAGTGTCCAGTGTCCAGGGGAGGAGTGCAGCGCGGCGCCGGCGGACCACAGTAACTTACCTAACCATCCCCCCACCAAGAACAAAGAACCAAGAGTGGAACATCACCAGCGGTCCACCACCACCAGCAGCACCACCACCAGCACGATCACGATCCTTCCTCATCAAGGAAAGGAATCAAACACACCCCCCACCCGTGACCCCACCCCAACCCAGCCTACCCGAGTTACCGTGCTCCACTCCACTTCAACCCAACACAACACTCATCTCCAGGCTCGCTTTTCCGGTGTTTCCTCCTTGTTTGCGAGACCACCGACCACCGACCGGCATAACTACCTAGGTGACGGTGATGATGGTGGTGATGATGGATGGATGGACGCCTCAATAATCAGACACGCACCCACACCCTCGGCACATATTGTTATTATTATTCGACAGCAGCAGCTCGAGAACTCACTCCCTCACTCACTCACCGCATACCGTAGGTTTCGGAGGAGCTCGTTTTTTTTTGCCGAGTGTATGCGATGCGATGCGCGAGTCTCTAGGTGGTTTCTCACGTCGAGGAGTAACCACAAGTTCGCTGGTTGGTAAGCCGTTCATCTCGGATTGCAGAACCTCGATGGACGCTACCATCCCGGTCCTGCGTGTACTCTACTCGGGTGGACCGTGGATGTACTCCAGAGTACATGCATGTACAATACAATACGTATCGTATGTATCGTATCGAAGTCACGTTTCGCAGAAATCTTGTCGCACTGCACAGGCGGCAGGAGTCGATGGGACGGGCGTCCGGCGTCGGGCGAGGGCGCGCGACGTGGGAGCAGTGCAACAAGATTGCGACTGCGACTGCGACTGCGACGACGGAATACGGGGATATCGGCGGCGAGTAGAGAAGGGTAGAGTGGAGAAGGGTAGAGTGGAGAAGAGTACTATATAGCAGAATAGAAAAGAGTGGAGCAGAATAGAAAAGAGTTGTCAGAATAGGAAAGCGTACAACCTAATAGCAAAGAGAATAGAAAAGACTAGAGCAGAATAGACAGAATAGGAAAGAGCATTGCGGAGTAGAACGAGTAGAGTTGAGCATGTACTGGACGCCAGGATCGGTGGCACCTATGAATATATCTCCAACTCTCCAACTCTCCAACTCTCCAACTCTCCAACTCTCCAACTCTCCAACTCTCCATCTCTCCAATTCTCCATCTCACCAGTTCTCTCTATCTCTCTCTCTCCCCCCCTAAACCACCACACCGCCACAACACGGCGACACTCCCGTATGTACCAGTACATATGACGCGCGTCGTCGGATCCGTCGCACCTTTCCCGAAGGCCGGAGGTCGTCGGGACGGCCTCCAGTTGTCCGTCCGTCCGTTGCACGTCAGGATTCCTCAGGAGTCCCTAACTACTCTCGATACATACACACATATGTTCGTGAAGCGCTTGTTATGTTGTCTCCGAAAAGAAATCTTATGTATGATGTAGCACGTTCCGAGCTGACTCGTGCGCGCTCCCAACCAACTCTCACCTAACTCATGGCAGCAAGGTAAAGCAAAGCAAAGCCACCGTTCCATCATAGGCATTATTGCATGCCTGGCCTGACCCGACCCTCGCCTGAGTCGCCTCGCAGCATGTCTATCGTTCCTTCCATCCATCCAAGTCTCTACTCTACACAACTCACTTTATGTAGTTACCTGCACTTCACTTCCGGATGAACGCTGTGAGCTGTGAGCTCTGAGTGGCTGACCTGACCTGGATCAGCTCCCTTCCTTGTCCGGCAAAGAAATAATCTTTTTGCGTGTGCGTGTGTCTCTCTGCCTGTCTCCGTCTACTCTAGCTAGCCCGGTGAGGCCAGCGAGTCGGATTGATACATGGAGGAGGGGGAAAGGGAAAGGGAAAAAGGAACAAAGGGGGACGGTTGCAGACGGGAAGGGAGCGAAGGGAAGTTCACTTGTTCGTTCGTGCGTTCGCTCGTTCAGGACGGGCTGCACGGAAGGAAAAGGAAAGAACGACAGAACGGGAGAACGAAAGAAAGAAAGAAGAAAGAAAGAAGAACGAAAGAAAGAAAGAAGAAGAAGAGAAGAACGAAAGAAAGAAAGAAGAAGAAGAGAAGAAAAAACACCACTCCCGTCCAGTCCCGTCGTATCGTGTCCGTCCAAAGAGTCAGTCAAGACCAAGCATCAGCATCAGCATCAGCACCAGCAGCAGTATCTAAACAAAGCGACCTTTTCTTTTCCTACTTCCTGCTTCCTGCTCTGCTTCCTCCAAAGTCCATCCACCGCCACGATAGGTAATCTAGAGTATGTAGAGTACCTATTCCAGCCCACGCCCGATATCGAAATTGGGGCGAGGGAGGGGGGGATGGGGTGTGGTGTGTGGTGTGTGGTGTGTGGTGTGTGGGGTGTGGGGTGTGGTGTGTGGTGTGTGTGGCCAGGACTCAGGAGGGGGCGTTTGGGTAGGGTAGGTTTGACTTGAATCTTCTCTTGAAGGGGTGGGGAAAGGAAAGGAAAGGAGGTGTATGAATGTAGAGTACTCTACTCTATGTATGATATGCATGGACGTGTGTTGCGTGCGTGTGTGGGATGTGTGAACGAACGAACGAGTTCGGGCGGGTGCGACAGTTGCAGTTGCAGAGAAAGGGACTCACTCCCTCCCGTTAGCATGGTGTCTGTTTGGTGTCTTGTTTCTGTTTGGTGTCTTGTTTCTGTTTGGTTCACCGTTCCGGTCACGACGACGACGACCCTGACGTTCTATCTCTCTCTCTCGATCGTGACAATTATTGCTTGCGGAATTTGGGGGCGGGCGCGCGAGTGAGTGAGCGGTTGCTTCAGGATATGATCTATGTAATTCCCCACTCCCGTACAGGTCTGAGGAGTACTCTACCGTACTAGGTATAGTTGCTCCTATTAGAGGGTGGTTTCGGTTGTTCGTGGGATGTTCGCCGTGCACACTGGACGGTGCTGGTGCTGGGTTCGACGGCCATAGCCCCGAGCGGTGAGTGCGATGGGCTGTGTTGACTCTTGAGGATACTCTGCTAGTATCTTCATCGATATGTAGAGGGATAGGTGAGTGCTACTACGACTACTACGACTACATACCACAACCCCGCGATGCTGTGCTCTGGAAAGGTACTCTATCGTACTGGGCGGTGGCTTGCGGATTATGGCGATGCCCCACCGCCCAGAGGCGGCCGCCCACCGCCCACCGCGCATCGGCCAGTGGCCAGCCCATATCACCCACGCTGAGGCGATTCTATGTAGCCTCCAGGCTCCAAGTGGTGGTGGTGGTGGTGGTGGCTTTCGCAGCTCAGGATGGATTCGCGTCTTTCGGCCAGGCAGACGGCCTTAGTCCGTTCCCCCTGTCTCCCGTCACCCTCTCGGGCCTGACCGGGGGTTGACTTGGGTTGAGTTTCCGGCTGACTTCGACTCGAACTTTCTCTTGCCTTTCCTTCCTACATATGATAGTTATCCTTCTTTCCTTTTTACACTACTCTCGACTCTCGTGCCGGTAATCATACGCTCTGGTTGGTTGGTTGGTCTCCTGGGTATGATACTCCTGCGCACCGACGAGAAACACTCACACTCGCACTCACACTTACACTCACACGATTACCGCCGCCGCCCCGGGTTGGGTTGGGTGATGGCGAGTCGCGACGAGCGAGGAGAATAGAGCAGAGGATGGCGAGGATGGGCGTACTCTAGAGTAGAGTACAGTAACGAGGCGGCACGCGTCCAGGCGTCCTGACTCCTGACTCCTTCGCGATCTGGGCGAGAAAACGCCGACCCGACCGACCGACTGGACCAATCGTGTAGATACCTAGAGTACTCTACGTTACGTGCGTGGAGCGAGGGGGTTCTCAGACTACCTAGAGTAGAATAGTCGGTGCCGGCATGCGTTGATGCGTTGATTTTTCCGTTTCGATTCGCAGGTAGGCCGCGATATCGTCACGAAGGGTATGTTGGGTACGGTAGACGGAGTGCGGCATCATCATCACGAGAGAGAGAGAAGTCGAGAGCCCCTCTGCTCGAGAGCGACCAACCACTACTCTACATCTACCCTAGCACCTACGCTAGACTCTGCTAGATGACTTCATTAGTATTGGGATAGGCTGAAGACAGGGGCTCAGCCTTGCTGTGCGACCCTCATAACTTTCTCATTTTTTCTTCAAACCAGCGATTTAATTATCACCACAACCACTGTTCAAGACGTTCTCTTTCCCTCGAGCATCTTTTGACATTATCATCATGATAGTTGTAGTGGCTGGGACCGTTGGGTGATGAGAGAGAGATCCTCTCACTATCATCAGCCTCATCTTGCAGCGCCAAGATTCAGCCTATCCCAATACTAATGAAAACAACCGTCCAACTTTCAGCACGGAAATCGCAGCCCCAGAAGCAGCCGACACTGGCCAGCCAGCCAGCAAACAGGAAGTTGAGATGCGGTTTGCACCTTCCTGTTGGTTGGTTGGTTGGTTGGTTTGTCGGTCGGCACATCCCCCTCTCCCCTCTCCCCTCTCCCCTCTCCCCTCTCCCCTCTCCCCTCCCCTCCCCTTTCATCAATCGAAGCTCGATCCTTCACGGCCGCGGTGCCAGCCAGCCAGCCAGCCAGCCCGCCCGCCGCCGGCTCCACGATCCCTACTCTACATACATATGCATATACATATCCCTATCCCTATCCCTTGTTATCCCTTTGATCTGATCCCCCCCCAACTTGCTCCTCCTCTGATCCTCACACGGACTGGACTGCTCTCTGCAAGTCTGCAAGTCTCGTGGCCATCCAGTCCGAAGAAAAAATCAGGACAGGCTCACTACAGGTTAGATACAGGTTGCAGGTTACAGCCTCCACGGAGTCCACACAGTCCACACAGCAGCAGGTGGGGCTGCAGCACTGGCAGTGGGCAGTCGGGAGTGGGCACAGCCAGCGAAAGCCACCAACTCAACACACATATTTGGTTAATCACACTCACACTCACATTTGGTTAATCACACTCACACTCACACACATATTTGGTTAATCACACTCACACTCACACACATATTTGGTTAATCACACACACATATTTGGTTAATCACACACACATATTTGGTTAATCACACTCACACTCACACACACATCGCATCCCGGTGGTGCTGCCCGGAGAGTAGACTCTAGAGTAGAGTACACACATACGCAGTGCAGAGTAGATGGAGTAACGGAGGACTTGCTTCCTTCATACACTTTCGCTTGGTGTTTGTGTGTTTGTGTGTTCGTCAAACAGCCCCCAGCCAGGCCATGACTAGAGTATCGTGTCGGCTGCGTTCTGTGCGCGCCGTCTTCTCTCGAGAGTCTCTCTCTCCTGCCTGAGGTCTGCTCGCTCGTGCTTGCGACGGTATGTACCTGGCCCTAGGCCAGAGATGGAGAGAGACGGAGACGGAGCCAGAGCCAAAACCACAAACCAGAGCCAGAGCCAGAGCCAGAGCCAGAGCCAGCGCCAAAGACGAATCCCCCCCATGGCCCACCAGTCGTCCTGGAACTAGGTAGAGCACTTACCCTGGAGTACTCTAGATACTTTGCCTAGCAGGTACACCAGAGTACGGTCCCCAGCCCCAGCAGCGCCGTCCAGCGCGGCCACCACCTCCACCACCACCACCATCGTCCATCGTCCATCCCACCACACGCACACACACCCAGTGCCCACCCACCCATGCACCCATGCACCTCCCAAAAAAGAGAGAAGAGAAAAAAGAGAAGAAAAGAAGAAAAGAAAAAAGAAGAAAAAAGAAGAACATCCGCACTGGGCTAAACTAAGCCAAACTGAGCCAAACCTACCCAGCTAAACCGGGGAGACGCTTATCCTCCTCGAACCTTCAACTTCCTCAGTTGCTCACTCTGCTCACTGCTCGGTCACTCACCACTCACCCACCTCGGCCCTCAACCCTTCGCTCCTCGTTCTATTCTGCCGTATTCTACTCTAGAGTCTATGTGCCGTGGTTACGGCGTAACTACTCTGCCTCCTCACTCATGCTCATGTAACTCCTCACACTCTATTCTACATCTGCTACCTATGCTACATCCTCCTCCCCCGTCAACTCCGCCCCGGCACGCGCCGCCGCTTGCTTGCCTGCCTGCCTGCCTGCCTGCTTTGCCTGCGAGGAAAAAGTGGCAAAGCGCGGCGGCGTCTTCTCGCCCATAACCCATACCCATACCCATACCGATACACACATAGCATCGATCCGGACTGACTGGCCCTAAAACTGTTTACTCATTCAAATCCTTCCCAACCCAACCCAAATCAACCCCAACCCAGCCCAACCCCCATCCCGTCCCTCCTCGTCGTCGCCTGCCTGCCTGCCTGCCTGCCTGGCCTGCCTGGCCTATCGGCGTAGAGAGAGAGTACCAATCCAACCCCCGCGCGCCCCGCCTACCCTTTACGCTCTCCTCTCCTCAACCACCACCACCACCACCACCACCCCCTTCGTCCAACTAAACTCAACTTAACTCAACTTAACTCAACTTAACTCAACTTAACTCAACTTAACTCAACTTAACTCAACTTAACTCAACTTAACTCAACTTAACTCCCCCCCGTTCCGAATCCCAATCCGGTATGATATGACATGACGTTAGTGTTACGGTACCAGACCAGACCGTCGTAGCGCTCTCAAAGTCAAGTCAGTCAAGTCAGTCAAGTCACCATCGAGCGAGAGCGTGAGAGAGATAGAGAGACAGACCGAGAGAGAGACAGAGAGAGAGAGAGCACAGGCACAAGCACAAGCACAAGCAACCCACCAAGAAGAGCCCACACCAGCACGAACACCAAAGAAGTTACTCACTTACTGACTTACCTGGCGCCCTTGTCCACCACCATCCACCACCGCCGTCGCCGCCGCTTGTCCCGTTCGGTGGCTGTCGCTTGGCGAATCACGCACCCACGCGGATTGTGATCTTAACTTCATCTTTCCTGCTCCTACAAAAACTCCCTTCATCCCGATCCCACCCCCCCCCCCCCCCCCCCCCCCCCAATCCCAGGCGCTACATACAACATTCTCTCACACCATACATAGACACCATCCCCCTCCCCCCTACCCATCCCACCCCCCGGTTCAGCTCCCTCTGCCGAACGAAAGGAACGGACATCCAGTGCCTGACGGGGCCAAAGCGGAACAGGAATTACTTTTTTATATCACCGTTACCCATCGCTCCTTGCGGGGTTGCACCGGACGCGTCCTACTGCCTCGTGAACCCGTACTCCTCATATTCTACAGCATTCCCACCCGTCTCCACTACCACCACCACCACCACAATCACAACTACCACCACCAACCCCACCCCCCTCCCCCACCCTCCCGGGTCTCTTTTTGTTGATCATGATGGAGTTTGCACCGAGACCCTTTGTTCGCCCGCCGTCATCGTCTGCAACCTCGTTTCACCCCCTCCACATCCTACGTCCGTCATCGGCTACATCTACCGCTCCTCCTCCTCCTCCTCCAGCCCTCCCTATACCTCGTCCGTCAACCTCCTTTGGCCAACTCTCGGACTACAGATTACGCTCGGATATACGGATAGTGGAGGATACCTCGAACCGGAAACCTGAGCAGGCGCGGTTCTGGGATAATTCGACCGCCCGACGACCATCGCGCCCCTACAGCATTAGCCCACCGCAACCGCCGTCCTCTTCCTCCCGACAACAGTCTTCGAATTTTAGATCGCAACCGGAAACCAGGCAACAAGCAGTGAAGGAGGAGGAGGTGCTGGTGGACGTGCTGGAGGAGGAGAAGAGGTCAACCCGGAAGCAGCAGCTGGACGACTTCTGGAAGAATTCACTCACACGACTACCCAGCCCGCCGACGAGACGCGCTAGCTACAGCAGCGCTGGTCCACAGCCGGTACCGACAAGACGTCGCAACTCCAGTTGTCGCATGGGTGCAACCATGACTGTTCCTCCGACAATCAACAATACCAAAGGCGCGATGGCGGACTTTGCTGCGCAGGTACGAACCACCCCCCGCCCTAAATTCAGCGCCTGCGTTTCCCCCCCCCCCCCCCCCCCCCCCCCCCCCCCCAACCCCCCTGTTGACGATGTATCTCGTCCGCAGATTACTTGTCTGTTCTGGTTCGAATCGACGGGTGCGATACACAGGATAGCGGAACTGAAAACACCCCTGGACCCTTCGTCGATTCAGCCCATTGCCCGTCACGCCGTTCCGGAGATTGGTTTCCGCAAATGGGTCGCGACGGTACTATCGACAACCCAGGTGTCGCAGAACGTCATCCTACTGGCGCTGCTTTTCGTGTATAGATTGAAGAAACTCAATCCGAGCGTGCAGGGAAAGCCGGGCAGCGAATTCCGGTTGTTCACGGTGGCCTTGATGTTGGGAAACAAATGTGCGTGCCGGAGGGGAGGAGGAGGGAGAGATATCCCTGGCGGATGTGTGATATCCTGTGGCTGACTCACGGAACAGATCTTGACGATAACACCTACACCAACAAGACCTGGGCAGAGGTCTCGGGAATCACTGTCGGGGATATTCACGTCATGGAGGTCGAGTTTCTGAGCAACATGCGCTACGGCTTGTATGTCGGGGATCAGGAGTGGAAGGATTGGCATACGAATCTGGGGAAGTACTGGGATTACTGGGATAAGGCTTCGAGACTACCGCTGGCGTCCCCACCGCAACCCCAACCGATGTCGCCCACCTCCAATGGTGGATCCCCCGCTTTCGCCCACCTCCATGCCCCGCCGCCGCCGCTGCAGCCGACCGCTATTGCTGGGCACCAGCTCTTCCTCCCCGCCCCAGTCGCGCTGGATCCTCCGCACGTTCCGTCGATCTCGATGCCCATCCCGGACTTTGACTCGTTCTCCAGGAAACGCTCCATCGACTATGCGAGCGTCATGCAGCCACCGTCGAAGAGGGTGACCAGATCGCAGGTTCCGAAGTTGTCGGTGAACGTGCCGCAGTTTCCCGTCTCGGTGCCGACCACGATGCCTCCCGGGAGTGCGCCGCCACGGCTACAGCCGTTGGATTACCAACTGCCGCTGCCGTCGAATCGGGGGGCTCCTCCGCGAACGATGGACACTCACCCCGTCCAGCTACAGCAACATCCCCTTCAAATACAGCAACAGCAGCAGCACCACTCGATACAGCTACCCCAACAGCAACAACAACAGCAGCAGCAGCAGCAGCATCCCCAACTCCCATTGCCTTCCGCCCGGCCGATGCCAGTCGTGTCCCACTCGAGCCCATCCGCTTCGGGTCCCCCGGTCCATTTCGATTTCTCACCCTACAGCGCTCGACAGACATCGCCTTATTCGGCCCAGCACTCGGTCGCGTCGTCCCCCATCACGCCGAATTTCAGTTCTCAGCGGTCGCCGACTTGTTGGATCCTTGGGAACCGCCATTCGCCCTACCGGCCAGTGCGCACCGTCAACACTTTGCTCGTTCCTCCACATCTGGAGGCGCCCCAACAGATTGGCTACGATCAGATGCACTACCAGCCACTGGCCAAAGTGAGATCGGAGTACAAGACGGGTGTTGTTCCTTACATGCAGCCCGAAGTTTCCTGGAACCATTCTTGGTCCGACAACAACCACTACTGAGGTCATCACTACCGGAAACGGTCAACTATACTACCCTACGAAGGATGAGATCACTAGACTCCGGGGGAGAGGGGGGGTTATGTCAAGAAACAGCCGGAGATTGCAATTACTGTTGAAACATCCTTTTTTATTATTCTCGTTCCGAGCTCTACTTTTTTTTTCCTTCTTCGATTACAGGGATTATCCGGGGTTTTGTTGGGTGGTATACTCTGAGGGTGTCAGCCTCCCTCCCTCCCCACCTCTCATTCGATTATTCTTGAATGTACTATTAGCTTTTTTCTTTTCTTCTCTCTTCTCTTTTTTTTCCCTTTCTTTTCTTTTCTTTGTTTTGGGGGCGGGTGGCGGCGGTGGTTATCTTGCTTTGGACTGCTACATGAAGGTTTGTGTGCATCGGACTGGCGTTCTGTTTGTTGGGGATTTTTACTGTGTTTGTTACCTTTCTCTTTGTTGTGCGTGTGATAACTGGGAAGGGATGGGGTATGGTGGGGGGAAAATGGAGGGGGGATTACCAATGGAGGGGCGGAAGATGGGAGGGAGGGGGGATGAGGGGTGATGGGGGGGGGGGGGGGCGCACAAGCATACGTTACCTATTTTACCGCCTGTCAGGAGGCAGTCTTTTTTTCTCTCGAAGGGATGGAATGGAAGATTATCGTCTAGGGAGCGAGGGAGGGACACGATGGCATGGCTGGCTTTGATGGGCTGGTCGCAAGATGGCCGGTCGCAAGGTCGCAAGGTCGCAAGTCTGTCTGGCCTGTCCTGCCCTGTCCTAGGTTATCGAACCTGCTCTACTCTTCTCTGTGATACTCTTTGCTTCGGTGTGATTTGCCTCTATGCCAATGTGATTTGCCTCTATGCTTTATGTGCTCGTAGGGAGGTAGGAGGTAGGAAGGTATGCGTACGGTATGCGTGCGGCTGGTTTCGAAGTTGCACTGAGGTCTGAACTCTGGCGACCAGTGACCACTGAGGTCGCGAATAATGACTACATACCTGGTACTCTACATGCTTCCGAACGGCGAACGGCGAGCACGCGCAAACGCTAGCAGAGCAGCTGCCAGGTCGAAGCCACGAAGGATGATGGATGATGGTATGTAGAGTATGTAGAGTAGGAAGCATGTAGAGTATGTAGAGTATGTAGCCGGCAGCCGAGCCGAGCAGGCGGACGGACGACCGCGATGTCACAGTGAGCTCTCGTGATTCGCGACGGCTAAGGACCAGCTATCGAACACGGCGGTACATAGGCGGGCGGAGCGGGAATACTGGTTGAGAACACGTGCAGACTGAGGAAATGCGCGGAAATGTGCGGAAATGCGAGGAACGTTAGATCATGGGTGGTCATGGGTGGTCACTGGGAGAGCGAGTGATAATTAGGAAGCCCAAGTACTGCTCACGGTATGTAGAGTAAAGTAGATAGTACGAACTGGAAATTAAAATCCTACTATGTACTCTAGTATGAGGTATGTAGTATCTACCCTCCGATGACGAGCGGGCTCATCCGCGGGTTCACAGCGCGCAATCGCACAATCAGTCAATTAGGGGATAAGAGGTGGCTGTCCCATCCCATCCCATCCCGCATCCGCTCCTGAACGGTCATTGAAAGCCGTGGCTGCCACGCGATTGTATGATACTGACTCGCCTTTGCCGCTTGGGCTACTATCACCACTTAGGTATCACTACTACATGGTGTGGTACATAGAGTGGTATTTTTCTCTCGAGAGATAGAGAGAGAGAGGGGGGGGGGGGGGGGGGGGGGGGGGGAGAGCGAGGAATGTCCACGAAGTCGGATGGGTAGTTGGTATGAATACATAACATAACATAGCATTAACTTGAGTCTTGAGTCTTGAGTCTTGAGAACAGCCGTACATAAGTACCTACAACATCGCCAGACAGACAGCCAGCCGGCCCTAATCTTGGCCAATCATGTATTTGTCCCACATATATATCTGTAGGCTCTAGCTAAAGCAGAACGAGAGAAGCAGACAGACCAAGTAGACTGGCCGGACGTATTGCTAAAACCATGCGGCGTATCATACCTATGTTCTGGAGGGAGGGAGGGTAATTAGTGAGTGAGTGAGAACGGTGAGAGCCTGTTTTGTTGTTTAATCATCATCGAGAACGGTGAGAGTGAGAGGGAGAATAGCGAGGGAGAATAGCGAAGAAGAACGGGTTCGCTCGGAATCAGGATGCAGAGCTCGAATGAGTACCTACCAACTGAATACCGGGCACCGCCTTACCGGCCAGTAATAAGTATCTCCAAAGGACGAAGAACCGCCCTTCCCAATGCCCGCCGCAATGCCCGCTGCGGCAGCGCGGCAGTGCGGCAGGCTGGTGCCGCTGCAAAGTAATAAACCCCAGACCCGGGCATGCAGTCGCACCATTTCAAAACCTGCCTCGAAATGCGAATGGAAAAACCAGCCAGCAGGAAACACTGCGAGCAGTGGGCAGTGGGCACAGGTCGGGAAGCAGACAAGGAGTGCCCAGGGGGTAAGGATCGATTCGAGATCCGCGAGCGCTTCGCAGACGAGCGGTGCAGCGAGGGGTGCAGTCAGCCTTCGAGACATCCGAGCCGAGACTTCTTTTCGTCTACTAGGTGCTGCGGTGGGCACTGGGTAGGCGGATCCCTAGGGCCTAGAGGCTGGTGGGGAAGATGCAGCAAGTGAGGTGAGGTGTCGGAGTGGGAACTGGGGAAGCTGGGGGAGCTGGGGGAGCTGGGGGAGCTGGGGGGAGCTGGGGGAGCGGGGGGAGCGGGGGGAGAGGAAGGTGCTGCGAGCGTTCGGCGGCCCGAGAAGGAGGGTGAGGAGGAGGAGGAGATTTCCGAGGGAGGCGACAGCGTGGATTAGGGACTCGCGGAGGGGGGAGGGGGCGGACGACTCACGAGCCCGGGGAGCGGACGGGGGGTTTCCCCCAGTGTTATTTCTTTGGTGCGCTCCATCTGAATTTCGAGTCGGGCAGTGGCGTGAAAACGGGGGGGGGGGGGGGGTGTATGGGTTGATATTGCCATGCTCTACATATGTGGGTCACATGCAATTAATGAACAAACCAGAAACAAAACAGGCGGCAGGACGCTTCAGTGGGGGGAGAGGGTTGAGCGGAGAGCAATAGGGAACCGGTATCGAGCTCATTGCTTCCGAGAGTTCTGGAGATGCAGCTACTCGAAAGGAGCCATCCAAGCACCAGGCTTTCTTCGCCCTCTCGCATAGCAGCCAGAGAAGCAATGAAAAAAAAGGGGGATCCAGTCAGAACATCTGCAGCTGAGCGCCCAGACCCCAATTCCAAAAAAGTAAGCAAACAATACCTGACCAACACACAGGGATATTCTCATCCCCAATCGACCCGCTGCGAATCAGTGAATCGCAGAGGAATCGAAATGAGCGATGACCTGATATGTGTGTTGACCTGGTATATTCGCCGATGATGATGAGGAAGAGAAAGGAGAGAGGGGGGGAGGGGAGGGAGGGTTTTATAGGTTCTTGAAATCGAGATTTCGCCGCTGCATGGTCGGTCACTCGGCATGTTAGCCTAAGAACTCGCGTCACAGGCGGCAACACGCGCCAGTGGTTGTTGTGCGGGTAGGGCTGGGAATATATCTGGAGGATGGTGCTGAGGTCGGGCCCGCTCCCGCTGTTCCTTCCTACACCTTCTTTCGTGGCATCTCCTGTGGAAGAGGCAGGAGGCGAGGCGGCCAAGGAGCGGAATGTTCTTTCCTGGCTTTGTTTCTTTGGTGTGCTCATATATCGTCGGGATAAGCTACGGCGCGGGTAGGGAAGCCGCACCGGGCCGCTCGGTGAAAGTCTGGTTCGAAAGTGGCGTGGAAACGGGGGGGCGTACGGGTAGACATTGCTCTTATCTAGACAGTTTGCACGCAATCAATGATTGAACAAAAAACAGCCGCTGAGAGAGAGAGAGAGAGATCTTCAGATTATTTCGCGTGCAGCCTATCTAGACTATGGCGAACCGTCGCCCTCCTTTCCTGCTCACTCTGGCCGGCCGGGGGTCGATACCCTGCTACCAGCCAGCACGATGTGGTGCTGCTGCCCGCCAAACAAATAACATAGAAAATCGCACCAAGAACATATCACTGGTGACTGCATATCCCCATTTCTTGCTTCCTCGCACCGGCCGCAGACACAGTACCCTGCTAGACACTCTTATTCTGCCCTTGATGCGATGCTTGCCTCCTCTTCATCATCCTCCTCCTGTTAGCTAGTGCGAAGTTAGGGCTAGCTTCACACTTAGATCTAGCGGTATCGAGTGACATATTACGCGTCAGCAAAATTTTGATTGCAAGAACCCCACCAACACCTATAAAAGCCTCCCTCCCCTCCCCCACTCTCTCCTTTCTCCCCATCATCATCGGTGAACATATCAGGTCAACGCACACATCAGGTCATCGCTCATTTCGATTCCTCTGCGATTCACTGATTCGCAGCGGGTCGATTGGGGATGAGAGTATCTCTGTGTTGGTCTGGTACTGTTTACTTACTTTTTGGAACTGGGGTCTGGCGCTCAGCTGCAGATGTTCTGACTGGATCCCCTTTTTTGCATTGCTTTTCTGGCTGCTATGCGAGAGGGCGAAGAATGCCTGGTGCTTTGATGGCTACTTTCGAGCACCTAGCTGTATCTCTACAACTCGCGGAAGAAATGAGCTCTATACCGGTTCCCTATTGCTCTCCGCTCAACCCTCTCCTCCCACTGAAGCGTGTTTCCAGGTCGATTATGAACGAGAATAAGGAGCGCGAACAAAACGCCCAACGTGTGAGACGTGAGCTACCCCGCAGCGGCGGCGGCAGAACAAGCATGAAAGCAAGCCATTGATGAACACACACGGCAGCTTCCGTAGCTTCTACCTGTAGCTGCGTGGGAGCCTTTGGTAGAATACCTAGTATTGGTCGCTACTATATAGAGGGCGGCGGATCCGGTGCTCGAATGCGTTTGCCCGCTGCGAACCCGCCCATGAGCTGGATACCGTACCTAAGTCGACGATCTTGGAAGTTCACCAACCAGAAGGCAACTTTCATATGATATATCCAACAAGCTGTAGCGGCGACGGTATGCGGGATTCAGTATGCCCAGATGAGTACCTACACTTACCTTTCATAGCGCGCTTCCCTACTATTCTGCTGTGCTATTCTTCTAGGAAGGTCCCCCGTTATGCTTGCCAGACATTACTTCCTTTCCTGCTGAAGAACTCTTGATATACTACCTAGATAAAGCCCTCGTCTTTTCGGAACTGACTCACAGCTCGCCGCAACGAGATTCCCAACACTAGGAATGTGAGGATGTTTTGGTTCACGTATGTAGTCCAAAATCTCAATACAGCAGTCTCTGTTCGCCTTTACGCACCGCCGAGCCGCCGAACCGCAATCAACAGAACTATCAGAACTAGCCGCGAGATTTGTCGAGTGAGCGAACATGATGAATCGGGGGTGCGGGCGACGTGCTCAACCGAAAGTGCTGGGACAGTTTATAGAGGCAACATCATCTTGACGGATTACCTCCGAGTCCCGATTTTCACCGATTTTCCGTTTTTTCGCATTATGTAGGTAGTCATTCCGGGACCGGAGGGTTCCATGAGCGGGTTCCATGAGCGAATACGTAGATTATCTATATCTCCCGAGCAAACATCCAGGCGCTTGCTCACCGCACTACACTGCACTGCACGTACATAGGCTTGCCGCGCCGATGCGTACAGCGCGGGTATGTACCCCCATAGCTACCATATGATATATCTCTACGAAAATCATCATCTCGACCTCACCCGCCCGTCGCCTTCTGTTTTAACTCTCCCCTCATGTGGTTCTAACTTCTCACCGAGACGAGACGAGACGAGACCGAGCAGCCGCGCCGACCGACATCACGCATCGCACCGTCCATCGCATAGTCCATCGCGATCACCGCGCAGAGTACCTAGGTAGGTACCGGTACATAATGTATAGGGTACCTACTAACATAAGTACCTACCCTGTAGCCCCTTCGGAAGTTGGTTGATCCATCCCCGACCCTGGGGGGTTGACGATGTCAGGGCAGGGCAGGGCAGGGCAGGGCAGGGCAGGGGGTCAACTACATACTTACTTAATTAGAAGTTAGGCGTCGCATATCGGCGAGCGGGAGATGAGCGTACTATCCGTGGCCATGCTATGCTATGCTATGCTATCCGTAGCTATGCGGTACGGACGGTACGGACGGAGCGGCGGCGGCGGCGTTCAGGCTTCAGGCGGATCCCGTCATCCCCATGTGAGTCGTGACTGGCGACTGCCTGCCTGTCTGCCTGGCTGGTATATACCTAGGCGACCGACGGCTTCCAGAAGCTCGGGTGCGGCAGATAGATACCTACCTAGAGAGTGGGTGGGCTCGAGGCGGTGGGTGGGTGTGTACAGTGTGGGATGTGGGATGTGTGATTTAGGATGACGACGCCGGGATCTCCGGGTGGATATGAGGGATGTATGGAGGGATGAAGGATGGAGGGATGGCTGTATGGAGGGATGGAGGAGTGTAGGGTGGAGGTTCTCGGGTTCGCTTTCGCCAAAGTCAGAGTCAGAGCATGGGTCCCTCCCCGTCCTCATCCTCCTCCCAGCGCCGACGCCGATGCCTGCATCGAGTATAGTATACGGTACCTAGTACAGAGGCTCGACAGTGGACAGTGGACGTTCGTCAAACCGTGGTGCCGCAACGCCCGGTAACTCCCCCTTCCTCTCCTCCCCCCGCGCGCCAGCGTTACATAAGTACCGGTACCTAGGAGGAAGAAGGGAAAGATGCACTTCACGAAGCGCCAGAAGTGCCAAGTGGGCCCCGTCCCCGTACTAACTATCGCTAGGTATATCTACAGCTAACTGTAGGCTGTAACCACCCTTCGCATTATATACCAAGTAATAATCATTAAATCACAGCCCGACTGTCCAACACTCGGACTGTCCGACAATCCGACGCATTGGATCCGCTCAAAACCTCAAACCGCTGTATAACGCCCAGCCAATACTCCCCTAGAGTAGTTGACCACGTCATCCCGATTCGCACATGTCACGGGGTGCTCGGCGGGCACTGTAACAGTCTATGTATGTAGAGTACGAGCAACTTTCCCTCAGCCAGCACCTCCACCACCACCGCCGCCTCCACCTCCACCTCCACCTCCACCAGCGCCGCCATCGCCGCCGTGAACTCGCCGGCGCCCTGTGGAGATTATATATGCGAAATGTATGCAGCGATGCAGCGGTGCAGCGAGTGACACGCCATGCCATGCCATGCCCATCCGCGTGCGCCATGCGCCGTGCGACGTGCAACGTGCGTGCGTGCGTGTGAAGCCTGATTCACTTCGCAGTCGCGGACTCGCGGAGTCGCGGAGTCGCGGCGTGCATGATTGGTTGGCGCCACCACCACAGTACCACCGCCGCCGCCGCCCAGCGCCGTGTCACGAGTGCAGATCTGAAAATAAACTGCCACTGGTGAGCGGCGTGCATGGCGCATGCGCATCATGGGCCATGGCATGGCATGTCGTGACTTTACTTCACTTCGGTGCTGAGTGCTGAGTGCTGAGTGAACTGTGGCTTCACCCCTTCGCTCCTTCGCTCCCCCACCCCTTCATTCGTTGCAGTAGAGCACATTGTACCTACATGGGCGAACTCGAACCTTACCGTCCGAGTATGTAGCCCAGCCCAGCCTGCTCAGCCCAGCCCGTACGTTTGGCTACCATACATAGGAGTACCGTAGGAGTGCGAAAAGGGGAGAAGGGGAGAAAGCGAGAAGGGGAGAAAGGGAGAAGGGGCGCCTCGTCAAATGTCATCGAAAAGGAGAAGAAGCATCAGCATCAGCAATGTTCATCTTCAGGAGTAGTTAGAACCCGTTTTCTGCCCTATCAAGTGATGAAGGTGACACGAATGTGTAGGAGCTGCCCTACACATCACGAGCTCCTCACCCTTCGCTCCTTCTCTTCACTCGTCGCCCCCTTTACTCTAACTAGAGTAGAGTAGCCTGAGCGAGCCTGGGCGAGCTCGACTCTCGACCCTCGACTCTCGAGAATGTGGCTTGGTCGTCTGCCGTCTGTATGTAGATAGTTCTGCAGTAGGTACCTACTCTACTGCAGTCCCGCTGCTGCCCACGCACATTTTGCGCGCGCTTGGTTGTATTTATGTACCAAAGTATCCCATCGAATACGCATACGCACGACGCATCGTGATCGTGAATGTTCCGTTATTATCAGGAGGGGTACATAGCAGTAGTAGCAGCAATAGCAGTAGCAGTAACAGTAACAGTATCATAGCAGTAATAGTAGTAGTAGCGGTAGTAGTATTTCATTCATCCAGCCATTGTTCGATACGACACCCAGTTACACACCTACACACAGAGAGACACCTCCACACTTCCACTCATCCACACACACAGACACAGAGACACAAAAACCAAAAAACACAATGAAAAAAACACAAGGAAATGTAACGGAAGAAGAAGTAAAAGAAAAAATGGAAAAAAAAAAGAAAAACCCAAACAGATATCAAGGTACAAACGGATCACTACGAATGACACGAAAACAAAACAAACAAACAGAGAAGAAAAAACCCGAAAAAAGGAACCCATTCACCCGTTTCCACTCCCCCTATACGCTATGCAAGGGAAAAGAAAAACAGACCGGAAAAGCAGACAATGATAGAACGCACAAATACAGACACAGATACAACACGATACGATACAGATGACAGGAACTGTGAAAAAAGAAAAAAATGAAGAAAACAGGAGCTAATAGTACAACAATGCGAGAACTGGGCATACGCGGCTATAGGAAAGCAACAGCGCAAGGGGCGAATGAGATAGCGAAGGAAGGAGTTGACGGAAAACAGCTGTGCCATGTATGTAGCCAACCGCATCGTAAACCAAAAAAAGGACGAAAACAAACAAAAAAGGATTAAAGCGAGTATTCTTTTGAGTAAATCCCACCCAGACAACACAAACCACAAACGAAAAGCAGTAAAAAAAAGATATCCCATCCGCAAAAAAGTTCCGACCCCGATAAACGCCTCTCCCCCCCCAGTCCCAATGTGTGCCTTAAAGAAAGTCTCCCGGTTATCAGCGTTGCCCACCGGGCTAACACCCCGCCAACCGCCCCCACAACCACACCTATTATTCACCGCCAGTCAATTAAGCCGGCAACGAAGGAGCGGTGGTGGCGACTGTGGTGGCGGGCTTCGACGCGAGAAGCAGGTTGCTTCGAGAGTCTGCAGAAGGAGTACCAGCCATTCCACGTCGAAAAAAACCCCAACCCCGAGAGCAACGAAAACACAAAACCCTCCCAAAATAAGATCGTTGACAAAATCCGAAATCCCAAAGCAAGGCGAGACACAAAGAAATCCGTCGAATTTGATTGCAGTATTAGGGGTCATGACAAACAGAATCCGTTGTTTTGAAGACAGCTGAAAAATAATGAAATCTCAGTGGTGTAGCGTTTACATGCCATTGGGATCCGGCGATAAGCCGTGTGTCATTGGAAACTGCATCAGATGCTGCATGTCGACGGAGTCCTGGTCGTCCATATGCGGTGGTGAATCATGCATCTGCATCAACGATTGCTTCGAGTACAGCTCGCTCAGATCCTCCTGCATGGATCCGGTGTGATCGTATGCGTTGGAGAACATGTCGGCACTGGACGAGCGGTCGAGGTGGGTCAAGGGAGGCGATCCGCTGGCGATGATCGGGTCGGCACCCATCGAGATGGGCGAGATGGACTGCGACACACCGTTGGACGGGCCGTGGAGCGGCGACAGGAACGGCAAGCTGTACGGAGTGCCGTATCCACCGCCGTTCACATCGGTGTGAGGAGCAGAATGGAGCATGTTGGGACTCGCGTAGTCGGACGGAGAAGCAGTGGTAGTGGCCGAGAGGGGGTAGCCGGTTGAACCGGGTCGGTAGTCGAGGAAGCCCGACGACGTGTCGATCCGAAGCGGCGTGCCGGAGAGAGCGGAGCCCACGAGGGCATGTGGGTGCATGGGTGCAGGCGCGTACAGGTGGTCGTTGTGGTCGTTGTGGTCCTGGAACGAGAACGATGGCATGTTCTGCTGCATCTGAGAGAAGTCAATAGCGATCGGCACGGACCGACTACGAGTGCGACGGTGCTTCTGGTGGAATTGATGGCCAGGAGCGACCTCCAGCTGATGGTGTTGAGGCCAGGTCGGGATGTCGTTGGACGAAGCCGGGCGGATGATGTGTGGCGACACAGGCGCCGAGACCGACATGGACTGCTCGTACATCGAATAATGCATCGCGTGAGCGTGTCGGTTGGCGAATGCCTCCAGCGTCACCAACTTCGCCAACTGGCCCGCCAGGATCTTGGGGTGTCCGCCGAGGTAGTGGGTGAGCACCTGGGAAGCCTGTTGATCCTCGGTGAAATCGCCGCACTGGTAGAAACCCCCGGACCCGGACGAATCCATGAAAAAGTTTGGCGGCCGAGTCAGGTTGATGACCAATTGTCCTTGCTTCTGCTGTCCGGTGGTCGAGTTGCTCGCCGCCACATCGTGTGTCTCCAACTCGATGCTCTTGATGTACTGGAACGGGTACTCGATCTTGTAACCTGCAGAATCGTTGTTGATGTAGTAGGTCAGACAAGCCTTTTCGGGCGAGTAAAACACGATCAAGTCCATCGTGTTCTGTCCCACGCGACGCCAGGTACCGATGTTAAGCGACCGACAGTTGAAGTGGTGGATGACTGTTGGCAGCATGCGTCAGTACCGCAAAGGGGAGACCAAAAAAAAACTTTTTTTCCAGCGCCAATCGGAACTCACCAATCTTTCCCTGTGGTTGCGTCTCCTGAGGCATCAACATGGTTCCGTTGCCATAGGCAGACATCCGGTAGCGATCGCCCATGTAGAAGCCCTTTCCTGACTCCATCGCCTGCAAAGCGAGGTACTGGCGCATGGACTCGGGAATCGCATCACAATCCTCGCCTGTCTCGATACTCTTCTTCGCCAAGGTCTTGATTTTGGCACGTCTGGAAAGAAAGAAAATACGAATGTCAGTAAAAGCGGGGCGGACGGAAACAATTCCCACGGAACATCGACGCACCGGTTCTGGAACCAGATTTGCACGGATCGCTCGGTCATGTTGATCTCCAATGCGATGCGCTCACGGACAAGGGCTGTGGGTGTCGGGTTCTTGTTGAATTCGGCCTCCAGTGTGATGAGCTGCTCCTGGGTCGCGCGCTGACGTTTCTGATTCTTCTGCTGTTGTGTGAGGGTGCTCTTCCTCGGCGGCCGCCGGGAGGCTGTGCCGGACGACTGGTGATGAGGAGGGGAGGGGGAGGGAGACATCGACATGTTGTTTTCGGACATATTGTTTTCGGGGATATGTATTTCGGTTTCTGGCGCGAATAAAGTCAGTGTCTCGCGCCTTTTTTATTTTTATTCCTCGGAAGAATTATGCGTACATACCTCCGTAGCAGGAATTAAACGTTCCGAGTGATCTAGGTCGACAGTATTAGGAGACCGAATGGAGACTTTTCCCGTACGGCTGAGAGCTGGCAATCGCTTACGATTCTGATGGAGATTGCGACAGTTAACCTGAACGTGCCGAATCGATATGGGAGCTGTTGAGGTGGTAGTATTGGTGAGTTCGAGACAGTTGAATCCTCGTACTATGCGTAGGGGGGGTGGTTGTGGATGTGATTAACGCCGGTCGGAGACGCTGAATCCCAAGTGCTGCTTGCCGGTTGATTGTATATGGAGACTGGTGGTAAGAGAAAGATGAAAAATGGTTGCGATAACCGTCGAGAGAGTGTGAGTGTTCGGGGGGATGAATATGCCGTCTACGGTATTATCTATCGCTCAGGGGAAAGAAGGCTGAAGGGTGAGTTTCCGGATGAGTGATTGTGGAGGAGTGAGTTTATGACGATAGTTCACGAAGCCGTAGAACAACAGGTATTGACGAGCCGGAAATAGTCCCAAAAGAGAACAAGAGAAAGAATGGATATGGAATAACTAGAAGGTCAAATGGGGGGGGTACAATATGCCAAAAAGGAGCGTCTAGGACTGCCAAAAGAGTGAGGCGAGTATCCTGAAGAAGGCGAGCAGAAAAGGCGTAGCACGAGGGAAGCTGTGAAATGAAGATGGAGATCAACTGTGAGAGGGAATGGTTCGAAGTTCAAAGGGAAGAGAGAGGAGGAGAGAAGGGGGGTGGATAGAAAGAAAAACCCACCTTAAGCGTGCCTGCCGCCCTGCGCAGCTCCTCCACCACCAGCAGCAGCAGCACAGGAGCAGCGTCCATGGGTCTGGCCACCCAGTTGAGCGACCACACACACTCTCGCTCCCCGCTGAGCCCACCCACTCGCCCACTCGCCCACCCACACCCCACCGTCTCCCGTGCCCGAGAGAGAGAGAGAGAGCCCCTCGCCGTCCGCGCCCTCGTCGCACTCCGCGCCCTCCTGCCCTCCTCGCCATCCTTCCCCTCCTCCCCCTCCTCCTCCCTCACGCCCTTGTGCATCCCATACTGACTAACTAACCCACCCACATACCATGCCAGCCTTGACCGACCACTCACACACCACGTTCGCGAACGGCGGCAGCCACCTCATCGCAGACGATCTCACGCTCTCACCCACTTCGCCCCACACTCGCCAACAGCATGCTTCCGGTTCCTGCGTCTCATCGCCCTTGCGCCCAGTAGAGTGCTTCCTGCTCCGGACTTCCAGAGTATGTACGAGCACGAGCATACACTCGAGCACATCCGCCGCGCCCGACAGCGACAACGACAAGGCCAGTCGGCATCCGGCCACTCGCGACCGCCTTCCATGGTTTGTTTGTATGAAGCGGTACTCCAAGTAGGCGTGCTGCTGCTGCTCCAATGCCCGTCGCTGATGCCCAGAAGAATCCGGCGGCAGCTCACGGCAGGGAAGGGAGGGGAGCGAGGGGTGAGGGAGGAAAAAGCAAACCACTCTTTTGAGCCCACCCACCCACCCACACAACTCCTTCGCCCAGTCTCGCTCCTCTCACCTCGCACCTCCCACCCACGCAGGAAACTCCACAGCCGTTCTTGTCTTTTAGACTTGGAGTAGAGTGCCGACCCCTGCACAGGTGCAAACCCCCTTGTCCGCCTGTGTTTGGTACTCTAGCCCAGGAACAGGCACCACCACACAAGCCAGTGCAGTAACGAGCGAAACCCCCCCTCTGGCTGGCAGGTGTGTGCGCGCGTGAGGGTTCCGGTTCCTAAGTGTGTGTTGTGTTCGAGAGAGAGAGAGAGAGAGGCGAGGATCGGGAAGAAGGGAGAGTTATAGAGTAGCATCCTTCCCATACTTTTTACTCACTCTACCTATGCCATCGTCAGGCATCTCTTCGTATGAATTTAAAGAAGAATGAGAAGAAAAATAAGAGAAAAATAAGAACAAAAACAGAGAACAAAAACAAGAAGAAACAAAAAAAACCGGATGCCTTTACGCAAACTCCCCAAGTACTTGTTTCCGTACTTGTTTGTTTGTTCGTGTACTCCCCCACCCCGGCCAGGTCTTCCAGGTCTTCCAGGTCTTCCAAGTTCCCCAAGAGTCAAGAGTCAAGACAGCCATTCGATTCGATTTCGATCATTGCCTTGTGGCACGCACGTACTCTACTCCCTCCATATGTCTGATATGATGGAAGGCGTCGCCGTCCTTTGGGCGCCACCACACCGTCCGTGAAACGTCCTATAAACTCGCGTCCTATTTGTCCCCGCGGACACCCGCCGAAACGTTCTCGGAGAATAGCGTCTCGTCTGCGTGGTCTGAAAGGACGGCTGGAGGTGCCCATAGGCTGCGGGGGCGTCGTCATCAATTAACTATCCTTTTCGACTGGATTGGATGGATTGGACTGGATGGGTATGTAGAGAATGTATTGCACATGGAGGCTCCTTATCGAAGCTGGCTTGCTCTTACATACTCTACATACTCGTCCTGTGTAGAGCAGTGAACCAGGTGCCTAGGGGGAGGCTGACCATGACCGTGATGCCGAACGACGAGCGACGAACGGCGGTAGGACACTCTGGCGAGGGACACAGAGAGAGCGAGCGAGGCAACGAATCGAATCGGGGGCATGCTTTCGGCACTAATGGCACTAGATACTACCTAGCTCGGAAAAGGGGTGTCATACTTGAGTACCGGTATGTGGTGGCTGTTGCTGGGCAGGTACCGTACTCTACTGACCTGGGCATAGAGTTACCGGTACCGTACCACTTACCGTACATACTCTACAGACCGAAACCTTGAGGTTTTTGAGACGTTGATGGAAACCTGCTGAGAGAGACTTGAGAGAGACTCGAGAGCTACACTGCCCACAATTTGCAGTCCATAGTCCGCAGACTTCCGAACCGCAGAACCGCAGACTTCCGAACCGCAGAACCGCAGAACCGCAGAACCGCCAAAACCTCGGGCAGCGGGCAGCGGGCTTTGCCGTCTTGCCGTCCTTACATATCTACGGTGCATAGGCAGGTATGATTCTGCTGCTGGAGCGGGAGCTACCGTACTCCTATGTACCAAGCTGCCGAATGAGCCCGCTATTACTAGTAACTACAGTAGTACCGGTAGTACCCTCCAAACCGCCCACGTGCTCGGACCATCGTCGACATCGACATCGACGTCGACGCCGACGACTGGATAGGTATCGGGTGACGGGACGGACGCTGGACGGAATAAAGGCCCATGGAAGGCACGTCAGATTCTGACTCTGACTCTCTTGCAGTGCGGATTCTACCTTTGGACTCTGGAGCGGGGCGGGCGGGTGAGGGTGAGGGTGAGGGTGGTCTGTGGTAGGTATATGTACCTGGACGCATGCAGGATATTAGGATATCAGGGTATCAGTATTCAGAGTCGGAGTCGGAATCGGAGTCGGACTTGAGGAGGGGGCATGAGGATCTAAATCTACGCACTGCACTGTAAGTAAAGTGCTGTACTGCACCCCACGCACATCTGTTCTCTGGATCCCCCACCGGAAGATTGTTATTTTAGAAAAGGAGGAGGGAAAAAGGGGTCCCTCATCACAAGCCCACTGTTGACTAAGCCGGCCGGCGACGTCCGCGTCTATCTTGTTTACATACGCGGATCGAGAGGTGCACGTTCGACGAAGAAGGTCGACTTCCTCATGGACGTTTCCGCGCTGCTGGGTCGGCTTCCAGTCGGACTGATTGAGTGTACTCTACGTTAAGTGGGTGGGTATTGGTACCCGCCTTTCCGTCCATCCCCCTCCCCACTGTGGATGGAAACTTGGTCTTTTTGCCCCCTCATCCCAAGAACATCATTGGATTTCTTGCTTCTTGGTCGGCTTCTTGGTCGGCTTCCAGACGGACCGATTGTGCATCAAGTGGGCGGGTATTGGTACCGGCCCTTCCATCCATCCCCCAACACTGTTGTCAGAAACCTGGTCCTTTTGCCTCTCCCCGAGATCATCACTGGATTCCTTCAAGAGCCGTCAGTACATACTCTATAGGATCTCCTTGTCGTGCGAGTCTTCTAGTCGGATTATAGCTCCATCTGACCTCCACCACCTCCAATCACCAAATCCAAGTTCACGAAGATGCGGAACTCCGAAGCTCAGCTTTGCCTCCCCGCGTTTTCCTGCCTGCCTACACTGCCTTCTCAAGCTACCAAGGTGGCTAGGATTCCATCGATAATGATATCGCCAAAGTTAGCGAGACATTTGTCCGGACAGAACCGTTTTTTCTGTTGCCACTTGCGCCGCCTTGGTGCGTTCCAATGGAATGCTGACGCCGAGCAGCGGTTCATGCGCCAAACCTGTTCCTTCACGGCGGTAAAACGGCGAAACTCGTGACTCGACGGGGAAAAGCGCCGTCAAAGACGGGGGGATGGGGAGAGGTGGATAAATGGTGGATTGAGTTGCGGGCAGGGCTCTACACACTACCGTATACATACGGCGATGCGCTCCCTCCATGTATGGTACTATACTCCACGGTACCTGTGGAGAACTATTTACTAGGTAACTACATAACTTTTATTTATCTCCCGAGTCGCTACTCTATATACATCCTATATACCTACACACCGATCAGGATCAGGATCAGGATCCACAACTAACGTAGGAACGTAGCCTAAATTGATGAGCGCGGGAATTTTCCACACACATACCTACACACATAAAGCTCTGCCAGACACAGGCACAGGCACAGGCACAGGCACGGCGCCAGTCAATCAATCAGTCAAGGATTCAAGGATGCCGAATACATACCGCCGGTACTGCCGTTCAAATTTCCGCGCTGCAGCATACATAGTCGAGTTGCCTAGGCAGGTACTTTTGTAGGTACTTTTGTACGTAGGTGCTTAGGTGCTTGGTTAATACCCCGCCCATCAATTGCCCCGCCCCGCCCCGGCGCCCCCAGTGCCCTATGACTTATCTACTACTTACTGACTTATCCGTATCTACGCGCTTCTTTCTGGTCCTGTCTGGTCTGGGCGCGCGGGGGCGGCGGGGAGAGGGAGGGGGGAGGAAGGAAAACGTCATGAGCATCGCCGTGCGCAGCATGAGACATCCGTACCGGTTGTATCCATAAGAGGCGTCGGCGTTGGGGCGTCGGCACGGGGCTTCGGTGCAGCGGATAGGCAGAGTGAACCACTGAACCATGTGCCAGTTTACGTGTGTGTGTGTGTGGGGGGGGGGGGGGGGGGGGGGGGGGGGGGGGAATGGGGGGCAATAATCGCGATTCCAACATCAATGTCAACATCAATGCCGTCTTCCGAAAATCCGAAGTCTGAAGTCCGATGTCCGATGTCCGCGGGAGTACCTGTCTATGTATGTACTTTACGGTAGACACGTACAGTGCAGTGCAGGACAGTACCTGTATCGGTACCGGTATATAATAATGTAAGAAAGAGCACACCAACACCAGCTGAGTGTCTGGGTGTCATATATATATATAGCGAGGGCTTGCATTCGCTAGATAAATAGCCACGGCAAGGGACACGGCAACGGCAGCGGACACCGGCAAAGCCAGACCGGACCGGACGGAGCCCTGGGAGATCGAAGCTCTACTCCTATGTAAAGCATATTTATGTCTGTATGTACTCACCTCTGTATGTAATACGGTATGTACTCTACTCTATGTCCACTCACAATGGTATTAGTTGTGCTGAGACCCCACTCACCCACTGTCCAGTATCATACATAATCAAGGTGGTATGATACGATTATTGCAGCACATCGTTGCATTATTTCTCTCCCGAGATCCCCAAGGCTGACCCCGCCCCCCCTCGCCCTCGCCCCTCGCCCCTCGCCCCCATGTTTTTCTTCTGTTTTTTGTTTTTTTGTGGACGCATCGTCATCGGATAGTACTCGCGGATCCGGAAGGGGTGGGGATAGGGGGCAGTGGGTTTCAGAAATTGACGGCGCCGGCCAATCATGCGGGCCCCATGGCCCTTGCAGTTGCACTGTTGATCCATAATCCGTTGCCCCATAGTTAACATTTGTCCAGCAGCAGCAGAAGAAGAGAAGTAGATGGATGCTAGTAGGGCATGGTGCAGCCCCGAATATATCATATGTACCAGCTGCAACTGCGGAAAAGGACAAAAGGGAATGGAAAGGAAAGGAAAGGAAAAGGATTTCTCGCTGGTGATCAGAGTATGTGGAGTGCCCACCTGGGTGTGAGGCATGAGGTATGCTACAGGCGTCCATGTATCCATCTACACAGGTACTCAAAGATACCCATCTACATATCGTATCCACGTACATACGGTACTTCCTACATACATCCATACAGTACCGGGCCGCTACCGCAACGTGTGCCGACCCCGTGTCTCGTCTCAACCGCGCCACGAGTGGCCGCTGGTCAACGACGCCAGCTTTCGTCTCAACTCTCGATCCGTTGCTTCACGCTTCGTTGCTTCACGCCTCGTGCTTCACACTTCACCGGGGAGGGGGGGTGAGCAACGCGTTGTTTTGAAACCTCACGGTAAGCAGCTGCGATGCGACGCGGGGGGCCTGCTTCGACGCGCGGGGAGGGGGGTGGTGGTCAATCGGTCGGTCAGGGACGGAGACTCGAGAGAGAGCAGGCAGGCAATACGGTATACTACTATATCTACTGTATATACTGTATATACTAGTAAATAGAGTACTATCTGTCTGGGTGTGTATAGTAGAAGTAGAGTAGAGTACGGTAGAGTATGGTACCTGAATTCGACGAGCAACTAATTCAACGAGTAACCAAGTACCTAGGCTACCTACCAGGCGGTTTGCGTACCCGTACCGTACCGTATGTCACGGGCAGTACAGACAGACAGTAGTTACATACGTGTGACACGCTATCACAAGCGACCGTCGTCTCCTCCCCCTCGTTTCATCGTCTCATGACGCCTCCGGAACTGTGCCACTCGCCGCCGGGCGCCCAGACGTCTCTCTCCGGTCGCTGGTTGGTTGGCGGTCGCCAGAGAGTGAGTGAGTGGGACATGTCCGAGCCACATTCCGTCTTGCGGGAGAGCGCACATGCCCGAGCGCCGGTGTGTGTGTTCACTGTTCAGCATGCACCGGCCGGAGGGATCGAGACGAGAGAGAACTAAAACGATGCTCCGTGCCTGCTTGCTTACTTGCCTGCCTGCTTGCTGGGGAAACGGGATTCCTTGCATTCACAACTACCCGGTCGGTACAGGGCACGGCCGGAGCGCTACTACAGGGCCACACATAGGTAATCATCACGAAAACCACCACCGCCGCCGCCTTCTTCCATGCCATGCCTGCCCTGGGAACCCTCCATATGCAATACTATATATATTGCTGCCGCTGCCGGAGAGTCGAGTCGACAAGACAAGACAAGACAAGACATATCCGGTGCCGACATGTTTTTCCAGTTGGTCGGTTTTTTCTCTCTCATTCTTTCCCCCCGACCCCGGCTGTACATCGGTAGCCATGGTAGAGTAGAGTAGAGTGGGTAGAGTAGAGTGATCAAAGTCGCCCGGGTTTGCCTGTCCACACCGTACACCGCACCGCACGTTCACGGTTCCACTGGACCCAGTCCCTCACCCCTCCCCCCCTTTCCGACAATCCGCGCCATCAACAGGCATCAGCTGGAATGCTCGGCTCCAGAGTGTCGGCGGGTCGCAAGTATGTACTGTAGAGTACAGCTCACACTCCCCGTCTCTCCCCCCTTCCGCCGTACCGTATGGGAAGGCGCAGTCGACGTACTCTACGTCGGGGGAAGAGTCCTTTGCTCTAGCATCTGCCATCTGGTCCGGGTAGTTTTGATTCGACTCAGGAGGAGGAGGGCCGGGGGGAGGCGGCGCATTGGAGTTCCCGATTGACGTTTTGCCGATGCGATGAGTTGATTCGGCGCGCTCGAAGATTCCCGAGTTTCGTGTTGCCTGACGGATGGAATGTCCGGCCAATCCAGTCGACGGTCCTGTCTTGGGAGGGAGGGGGCACATCGATGCGCGGCGAAGGTGGGCAGCTGAGAATCGGATCGGATCGATCTTGTGCAGCCGTAGAATAGTACTGGATAACTTCCATAGTACATAGTACCTGTGAACTGCGGCGGTCTGGTGCCTGAAAGTCAACATGTACCGGTTCAGAGGCCTTCGGAGGCCTTCTGTCGTACGAAATGTCATCAGGAACGTAAGAACATAGGAATGAGACAATATTGAGTGAGACATGGAATTCCTTCCATATCTTACTCTCCTTTCAGGTGAGATTCCAACCGCTGAGTAGAAGCTCCGCGTACCTGGTTGCATCCATTCCAGAGCATGACAACCGATTAGTTATCGATGGATAGGTCCTCGCCAACTCGTCGAACGGCGCCGTAAGCGCAATCTGCCAAAGAACTAAGCACTGCAGCTGAACACTCTCTGCGAGCAATCCGTTCCGGTCTGCTCGGGTCGGGTCCTGGACTTGTTCTGCGGAGCCGAGGAAATATATTGTGGAGCGGAAGGCGGTGTCTGTCTCGGTTTCGAGAGGTCGGGTTTCGCTTGATTGTTGCGAGCTGCAGTTCACTCCACTCACGACTTCGAATTAGACTTGTTCTGCCGAGTCGATGAAATATATTGTGAATGGCGGTCTCGGTCTCAAGAGGTCGGGTTTCGCTTGGTTGTTGCAAGCTGCAGTTGAATCCAAGTGACCGCGTCCGAAGAAGGTTCGAGCTTTCTTCCACCACCACTACCCGGAAGCCGGATATCGTGCCAATGTTTCTTGAAGTTTCGATGAATGAAGGATGCCGTGCCATGATCCAAATAGTGTTGACGTTGTGAGGGGCCTCGATTTGGTGATTTCGGCTACCAAGGCTCATCTGTCTTGGTGTTGACGATTGCGAATTGACAAGACAAAGCTGCGTAGGCGTTCCAAGGTGGGGTTGTGCACGGTGATGTCGTATTTATGGCTGGGCATCGACGTGCTCTGGAGTCTGAAGCTGTATTGCGTGCGATGTCGAGGTGAGAAGGACGCACGAGACGGATGGATAAGATAAGCAAGGCTAGGCCAGGCAAGGCAAAATAGCTCGTCAACAGAGCCTCTCAAATCACGACATCACCCTGACCCAATCGCACGCCAGGGATAGGAAAGCCCCGCCATCAAAAAACGCAAAATGTCCCCGCCATCGCTGCATCTGATGAAGATGCCATACCTTGGGAGCCAGGCACAAGAGCACTACCCCCCGCAAACCTCCGGAGAACCGCGCCTGCGGCTGATGAGGACATCTTGGGAGCTAGGCACGAGAGCACTACCCCTCCCCGCGAACCTCCGGAGAACCGCGCCTGCATGTAGAGTCCGCCCGTGATGGCGAATCCACCCATCTAAAGCACGTCATTCCACATGGACGGAGCGTGAAGCAAAAGCCTCGCTTCCAAAATAGTTTGCAGGGCGCAAAAAAAAAGTGTCCTGCCGGAACTTTGCCCCACCATAGAATACCGTTGCGCTAGAGATTCAGTTTTCCTTCCGCGTCTCCCCCTCCTCTTCATACCTTCCGCTGCGGATCTTGGCTCTGGGTTGTTTTATACCACTAGGCTTGCTCGTCTGCTTCACCGTTTCTGACCCTCCTCACCATCCTTTGTTCGTTGTGATACCCTCCCCCCCTCTTCACATATCCGCCAGCTATGTCTTCGCTTCCTCAGCCTCACGGTGGTGTCCTTAAGGACTTGATAGCACGGGACCAGCCCCGCCGCGCTCAGCTCTTTGAGGAGTCGGAGACCCTCCCCGCTTTGGTCCTGACTGAAAGGCAATTGTGTGATCTGGAGCTTATCCTCAATGGTGGTTTCTCTCCTTTGGAGGGTTTCATGAACGAGAAGGACTACAATGGGTACCTATCCCCCTCCACTTTGCCAGCGTACGGAGAGAGGCTGTAGCTAACATCACCGCAGAGTTGTCGAGAACGTCCGCCTTGCCGACGGCACCCTCTTCTCCATCCCGATCACCCTCGACGTTTCCCAGCAGCAGATCGACAAGATCGGCATCAAGGCCGGTGCGCGCATCACGCTTCGCGATTTCCGTGACGACCGCAACCTGGCCATCATCACCGTCGATGATGTCTACAAGCCCGACAAGACCAAGGAGGCCCAGGAAGTTTTGGGAGGTGACCCAGAACACCCTGCCATCAAGTACCTCTTCGAGACCGCCAAGGAGTTCAACGTTGGAGGAAACCTCGAGGCCATCAACAAGCTGGACCACTACGACTACGTTGGTCTGCGATGTAAGTTTTCCCGAAAGTTCGATTGGACATAAACCCGGCTGATACCGTCAAGACACCCCCGCCGAGTTGAGGGCGCACTTCGAGAAGCTCGGATGGACCAAGATCGTCGCTTTCCAGACCAGAAACCCCATGCACCGTGCTCACCGAGAGTTGACCGTCCGTGCTGCACGTGCTCGTCAGGCCAACGTCCTGATCCACCCCGTCGTCGGTCTCACCAAGCCCGGTGACATTGACCACTTCACCCGTGTTCGTGTCTACCAGGCGCTTCTCCCCCGTTACCCCAACGGAATGGCCGCCCTCGGTCTTCTTCCCTTGGCCATGCGCATGGGTGGTCCCCGCGAGGCCATCTGGCACGCGATTATCCGCAAGAACCACGGTGCGACCCACTTCATCATTGGCCGTGACCACGCCGGTCCTGGCAGCAACTCTAAGGGTGTCGAGTTCTACGGCCCGTATGACGCCCAGCACGCCGTCGAGAAGTACAAGGAGGAGATCGGCATCGAGGTCGTCCCCTTCCAGATGATGACCTACCTCCCCGACAGCGACGATTACATGCCCGCCGACGAGGTCAAGCCGGGAGTCAAGACGCTCAACATCTCTGGAACCGAGCTCCGCCGCCGTCTCCGCACGGGAACCGCCATCCCCGAATGGTTCTCGTACCCCGAGGTCGTCAAGGTCCTCCGCGAGTCGCACCCACCCCGCTCTAAGCAGGGTTTCACCGTCCTCCTCACCGGCTACACCAACAGCGGCAAGGACGCCATCGCGCGCGCCCTCCAGGTCACGCTCAACCAGCAGGGTGGGCGCTCCACGACCCTCCTCCTCGGCGAGACCGTGCGCTCGGAGCTCTCCGCCGAGCTCGGCTTCTCGAAGGAGGACCGCCACAAGAACCTCCAGCGCATCGCATTCGTTGCCGCGGAGCTGACCCGCGCCGGCGCCGCCGTGATTGCCGCGCCCATCGCACCCTTCGAGGTCTCGCGCAACACGGCCAAGACCACGATCGAGCAATACGGTAGCACGTACCTGATCCACGTCGCCACCCCGCTCGAGTACTGCGAGAAGACCGACAAGCGCGGCGTGTACGCCAAGGCCCGCCGCGGCGAGATCAAGGGCTTCACCGGTGTCGACGACCCCTACGAGACCCCCATCAACCCCGACCTCACCGTCGACGCCAGCAAGCAGAGCGTGCGCAACATTGTGCACGAAATCGTGCTGCTGCTCGAAAGCCAGGGTTTGCTCGATAACGGAAACTAGAAATCGGTTGTTTAGACGGCGGCGCTGAGGGATTCATACTGTTATGAGGAGTTTTGGGTACATGTATTGGCTTTTTGCTGAGAGGACCCCCCACCGACTTGTAGGGGTTGAACATGTTGTTGCTTTGTAAGATTCGGTAGATGTACGTACGTATTGCGGGGAAACATTTGACGTTTGGGCGTTCTGGAACACATTTCCCACCTACGAGCGAGTGATTATGTGTGAATCAACACGATCGGTAGCCACTATATGTATAGTACTACGGTAAATACTGGTACAGGGCTGGGCCCTTTCCTTCTTGCGGGACAACTAGGTGTGGAGACTCGCAGCATAGGAAGAAGGATTACATTCGAAACTCGATTCGGTCATGTTTTTGAGTCTCGAGTCGAGACCATCCACGCCGAAACCCAACGGCACAGCTCAGCCGGACGACATCGACATCGACATGCATCCATAATACCGGTATCGTCGCGAGCAGCAGCGGCAGTGGCAGCACGTTGGAACATAGACAGATAAACACCAGACAAGGCGCACGCATATATAGTAGTGCGTGACGCTGTCACCGCCGCCGCGGCGAGCCCCCCCCCCCTCCCCAGTAATCAGAGAACAATTGAACATCTGGGATGCCCGGTGCCGAACGGCTTTATCGGGGCCGGGGCGATGTGAGTTTGCAGCTGCGCGCGGCTACAGCTTTGGTACCAACCTTCAAGTCGTCAGAAACCCCCCAGGTTTGAAAATACAGCTCCATAGCACCCGAACAGGCCCTCAGTTACGGATGCAATCTGTTATGACGCCCGACGCTCGACGACTCGCTTTTGTTCTTTTTTATTTGATTCATTGATTGCATGCGACCTACATCTTATCTAGATCCTGGCAATATCTACCTGTATTAACCCTCCGCTTCCCCGCCACTATTCAACCCAAATCCGCCTGTGACGCTAGTGCTTAGGGTTAACAAGCCGAGTGACCGTCCATACAGCGAAATCTCGATTTCAAGAACCCCCACCTATGAAAGCCTCCCTCCCCTCCCCCCCTCTCTCCTTTATCCTCCTCATCATCATCGGCGAACATACTAGGTGAACACACTGATCAGGTCATCGCTCGTTTCGATTCCTCTGCGATTCAGTGATTCGCAGCGGGTCGATTGGGGATGAGAGTATCTCTATGTGTTGGTCTGGTACTGTTTGCTTACTTTTTGGAACTGGGGTCTGGGCGCTCAGCTGCAGATGTTCTGACTGGATCCCCCTCTTTTTTCATTGCTTCTCTGGCTACTATGCGAGAGGGCGAGGAAAATTGCTTGGGTGGCTCCTATCGAATAGCTGTCTCTCTAGAACTCATGGATGCAATGGCGAATCAGTGAGCCGCAGAAGAATCGAAACGAGCGATGAGAAAGGAGAGAGTGGGGGAGGGGGGGTGGCTTTTATAGGTGTTGATGGGGTTCTTGATTTCGCAGAATCATAGCCGGTCACTCGACACCGCTAGCCCTAAGCAGTAGCTTCACAGGCGGCGACACACGCCAGTGGGTGTTGAGCGGGTAGGGCTGGGCGGAGAGGGGGGAGGGTGCTGAGGTTGAGAAGCCGAGATCACTCCCCCTATTCCTCCCCACGCCTTCTTTCGTGGCATCTCCTGTTGAAGAGGCAGGAGGCGAGGCGGGGTGAGGAGCGGATTGTTCTTTCCTGGCTTTATTTCTTTGGTGCGCTCATATATCGTCGGGATAGGCCACGGCGCGGAGTGCACGGGTAGAAGATATTGTCATGGTCTAGATAGGTCGCATGCAATCAATGAATGAACAAGAAAAAGAACAAAAGCGAGTCGTCGGGAATCGGGCATCATAACAGATTGCAATTGGCATCCTCGCTGAGTCGCTCACCGTTCTCGCTCGCCATTCTCCCTACTGGTTTGCCATAGTCTAGAATCTTGATAGGCTGCATACGAAATAAACTGAAGATCTCTCTGACTCTCTCTCACTCGCTATTCTCCCTCTCGCTCTGATCGTTCTCATTCACTGCCCTCCCTCCAGAACAGAGGTACGCCACATGATTTTTGTGATAGGTACGAATGGAAAGTCTGCTCACTTGTCTCGCTTGAGCACAAATACATGATTGGCCAAGATTATGGCTGTCTGGCGACGTTGTACGGCTGTTCTCAAGACTTGAGTTGATGTTACGTACTAGGTACGTTTCGTGGACATTACTCGCTCTCGGGAAAGACCTGCATCCATAGGTCTGCTGCATACTACTATAAACGTGAGGACCGAATCCTGCACCGATTGTCAATCGAAAGTGGTGATACCTATGCCGAGGCGGCGTGTTGTGTTTATATACTGTAGTATAAACCCTCCTCCCCGAGCTCGTACATAGATGATAGTTAGATCTTTCTAATGACTGCTCAGATTCCGCCACCCGCAACCGCTCTTGCTCACAGATGCAGATGCTATGCGGCTTTCCCACCCCAGCTCTGGCGTTTTACTTGAAGTTGAATACAACGGGTGTTCTGGGTATCCTGTTCTTCGGGTGCTCATGGATGATGCGTAAGGTTCGGGAGGTTTTCAGTATCCTCTGCTCCTTCCAGGCTCTACTTCTCCGAACCATAAATTCTTCAGAGCCAAGTACGCATCCCACCTCCCACCTCGCACCCATCCCTCACCTGTCACCATTCAACTTTCAAGTTCCCACCCCTTCCCTCTCATCACCACTACTCCAATCTCCAATCCCCAATCTCCAGCAGCCCCACCAACCACCAACCAGCAACAACCACCACCAACCACCAACAATCCCACGACCTCTCGTCTCGAGTCTCAAGTCTCGCATCCTAATTCCTTTTCCGTGCCCCACTGCATCTTCACCGGTTACGACTATCTGTCACATATATTCCAGGATCAGGTAAGTCCCTGCACACCGAGCCGTTCCGGAACGCACCGAGATGTTCCGGAACGCACCGACTGCGACTGCGACTGCGACTACGTCTACGTACGGCCCTTTTAGGGTGCGTGGCTTGCGCACATTGTCGTCGTCGATGGATCAACCCGCGGAGAGTTGGGCGACGGTGAACGGGGACCGGACTGTGTACAGTACCTACGGTATGGGACGGTACATAATAGCTTTTGGTTCCAACTTTCAACTTCATAACACTACCTACATTAGGTAGATAGGTATGACGTCCAAGCCGCAAGCGTTTGCAGCACGTGGACGGTGGTTTAGGTTTTGTTGGTACTATTTCATTCACATCCAATTCGAACCCACGAGTGACATCCCCACGACATCCCCATAGCTCCCATCGCCTCTTCCTCGTCTCTCCATCCCGCACCGGCAAGTATTCATATGATCTCAATCTATCATTCGATTCATCCTCATCTATTGGCGCCAAGTCGTCACAGTACAGCAGTACAAACATTAGTTCCCCCTTCCCCCCTCATCACGGCCGCTGCAACACCACAAACCACAACTGAAATCTACAACTACATCCCCTCCCCTCCTCGGTCTCCATGAAAACACGGAAACACGGAAACACGGAAACACGGAAACCAGTCCCTCAAGAAGGAAAGCAAGAAAAGAACGACAAGCAAGAAAAGAAAAAAGAATATTATCCCTCTCCCCTCCCGTCCCCATATCCCTAATGGTATAGAAATGAAAGAAAGAAAGAAAAGAACGGCACAAAGAAACCCCCCATCCCCGGAGCAGAAAACTCGCGTTTGTACATGATTCCCATCATTCCAACATTAACCCCCACCTATCTTCCTCTCTCTCTGCCGCTATCAATTACTTCTATACGTACGAAAACGAACGAATGGAGGAACGAAAAAAAAACTGAAGAACAAAAAAAACAGTGGAATAATATTAACGCCCAGTCCATCCCCTATTTCCACATCATCCCATCCATCTCACACACACAGATGACAGGCAAGCAAGCAACCGCACACACACACATCGCACATCATCACACACACGCACACTGCAACCTGAACACCAATCCAACAGATTTGTAACGGGGTTTGGTCAAAAAAGACTGAAGAAAACGAAAACAAAAAACAAAAAACACCCCATCCCCAAAAAAAGACAGACGGAAAAAAGATCTCGTTTCCCCCAAAGTTTTGCCATGTACTCGTTCGCACTCAGCTCTACCGCAGGGTCAGATGAGCGTCGTTAACTCCGCGCTTGAGGACTTCTTCAAGGGGCCATCGGGGTGGCACGATCTTGAGGGTTCCTGCTTCGCGCATCTTGGCCTCCATATCCGGGGCGACATTAGGTGGGAGAGGGTATGCTCCGCCAGCGACACCACTCGAGAACTTCAGTTGCAGGACGTCGCCGACCTCGTCACAGGCGGCGAGTAACCGGTCGAGATCTTCCTTGTTATGGGCGGCCGAAACACAGAACCTGGCTCGCGACGTGACCAATGGTGTAGCAGGGTATCCGACAACGACGACAGCGATCTTGCGCCTCAACATCTCGTGGGAGAAGGCGGGCACCTTCGCGGGGTTGTACAGCATGATAGGGATGATAGGAGAATCGTCGTGGCCGTAAACGATGAAACCGAGTCTCTTCAAACCCAGGCGGAGATAACGAGAGTTGAAAGCGAGACGTTGGAGCCGTTCCTCACCCTGGCCGGGTACCAACTCACCGGCGATGATGCGGAGGGAAGAAGAAATTTGGGTCAGGACGGGTGGCGGAGGCGCTTCACCGTAGATACTAGCAGAGTGCGAGACGCGAAGCTTGTCGATGATGGCCTTTTCCGCAGCGATGTAACCACCGTTGGCTCCGAAAGACTTGGTCAGGGTTCCCATGAGGATGTCGACTTCCGCAGGATCGCAGCCAAAGTAATCGCAGACTCCGCGTCCGTTAGGTCCCAGAGCACCAACCGAATGGGCCTCGTCGACGAAAAGATGGAACTTGTACTTGCGCTTGAGCTCTAGGATACCGGGCAGATTGCACATGGTTCCTTCCATAGAGTAGAGACCTTCGACGACAACCATAATCTTCTTCCACGGGCGGTGGCTTCTCGGCTGACCGAGCGCAATCTGCTCGCGTAACAGGGATTCCAAGCTTTTCATGTCGTTGTGCTTGAACGTTTGGATCACAGCACCCGAGAGTCGTACACCGAAACGGATGGATGCATGGTTGAGTTCGTCGGAAATTACCAAGCATCCCTTCCCAACAAATGCAGCGAAAGCGGTGGCATTGGTGGCATATCCCATCGAGAAGATCATCGCTGAGGGTTTACCCATGAAGTTCGCGATCAGCTTTTCGACGTCCGTGGTGAGATCGAGAGTGCCCGCATCGAGTCTGCCGCTTGCGGACGACATTCCGTATTTCCTGATGGTATCCTCGACGGCGTCGGCACAAGGTCCTTGCGATTGGGCGAATCCTAAGTAGTTGTACGAGCTCATGTTGAGGGTCTCAGTGTTGGTTCCGGTGAGCTTGAACGACACATTGTAGTCGTCGGACACACGGTCGAGCAGACTGATGAACCGTCCCGGGACACCAGTGAAGGGGCGTGCAAAGCAATCGTTGATACGAACTTTGAGGCGACGCACATAAAAGCTGTCGAAATCGTCGTTCAGAGGTGCATATCCCTATCATCAAAGAAAAAATGTCAGATTCGGTACCTCATCACGTGATATCGAAGGGGGAATGACGACTAAGACAAGCTGATGCGTGTCATGCAGGAGATCGACAAACATTTTGCGTTTTCAGATGACTGTATTTCTTCTCCTTGAACCGCTTCCCGAACCAGTCCCGTACATGTCCGAAGATGATGAGAATTAAATAAGAAATGTAGGTGGTGACGAAATAGTATTGCGGCGGCTCATCCTCTATGGGATTCACGACCGGCTGCCCCTTGGGATGGCGAGAGACATATTTGTGGCTGGGGTGCGTCAAAGGGCCGAACTGGGCGTGTTGCCGAGCAAGCTTGCGCGACTGCTCGGGAGACGGAGGGGAGAAGAGCATTGTGGTCGTCGCAGGAGCGGTGTCGAGCGACGTATCCGCAGTCGCCGTCGAAAGGGAGATGGTAGGGAGTGACGGAGACGCCGATATCAAACGGGATTGCTCCTGAGCCGCGAGGAGGGCTTTGGAGGCCGTCAGGGCGGATTTCGGCGACGACGAGAAGAATTGAGCAATCTTCTTGGTTGCTGCAGTGCGCGAGGCCGAGGATGACGAGCGGGTTCGACCACCGCCGCTGGGGATGGGAATAGGGGTTGTCGAAGGTAGAGATGAGCTCGATAGCGGATGAGGAGACATGCCGTGACGGGTTCTGGATCTGATGGATTTCTTTCTGTTCGATCGTTCAGAATTTCCGAGGGTTGTGCGAATCTCTGTCTCTGCACGCGAGAGTGCCGATGCTTTTTTCGAAGTTGAGCGGTCGGTTGTAGTGGAGAGCGGAACTCTATGGTTGAAGAGAGAGTTTTGAGGTTCTGTTGTGTCGATACGAGGCCGACGTATACGAGTGTGGCTGTGCGATCCAATTGATTATGGATGTTGTTATGTACTGCCGTAACTCTCTCTCTTGTTCTCTCACTCGTCTCTTCTCTTCTCTTCGCCGCACTCTATCCTTGGACCATCAATGATCACTCTTCCGAGCAGGTGAGAAGGAAGCTGCTATCGGAGGACCCACAGTCGAAATCGGAGAGGGACGTCGACAGGAGAGAGGGAAGAATGCAGGTTCGCGCTGGCGATAGAGCACAATCACGGAAGGAAGGACGGACGGACGGGGTGGATAGAAGAGGGGAGTGGAGGGGAGTGGAGGGGAGTGGGAAGTAAAAAGAGAGCGAGCGAGACGCGCCACTTGTTTGGGTCGAGGAGGTGGAGGAAAGGGAATGAGCTCTATGGGGGTGGGATAGGGGGAGGAAAACGGCAGCGGTGTTGTGCTGTGTGTGTAATCAGTCCGTTCGGGGTTAAAGCGGGCCGGGCATCTTCCTGGCTTGTGCCTACGCCTACCTAATCAACACGACGAGCCAAGCCGCTCGCCCGTCACTCCCAACAGCCAGTGTTCGCCCAACAACTCCGCCCTTCAACGGCTAGAGGGAGCTGGGTGTTGGTGTATTTCACATGGAGACTGGTCGAGATAGCGCTGGCTAATGGCGACAGCGATCAGGGCGAAACCTTGTGCGAAGGTGGGAGACAGGGAGAGACGACGGACCCGTGGCTGAACACGGCGACAGCGTGGATTCTGGAACGCGCCGTGGCGGAAGAAGCCTAGCGTGGAGATGTGCGCCAAGTCATCCGATGCCGTTCGGATGAACGTTTTTACCGGCCCCGCGCAGCCGCGCTGGTGGGCTCGGAAGTGTTTCCAGTCAAGTCCATCATAGTTACCGTATGCGGCCCCTCCCCACGAGATATATTCGCCTTCATTTACAGCAGCCCTGTACTGCGACACAGCCGAAACGTTGCTTGGAGGAAGAGGGGCACCCAGCACCTTCCTCGGCACTCGAAGGTTTCACGCCAGATGTTTCTGTCGGACTTGCGGTGTTCCGTTCGGAGTCTGCATTCTCCGTGGTCTCCGTGGTTCCAGCTCCCTTGCATCTTCGTCCCAGCACACCACCCCACCTCTTCGCCACTGGCCCGCTAATATTCGCAGCTAAGCGACACACAAAACCTCTTCGTGGTGAGAACTTTCGTTACATACACACCTTACCTTGGAGTGTGCTCTTTGCTACCATCAGCTCGCTCGGGTAAGGCTGAACTCGCGACCAATCACCAAACTTTTGAGGTTGAGCTGCCAGCCACATGGCTGATGGCACACAACACATCATCGCCCCTTGTCTGACTCTGCGAGCGGGTTTCCTGCGCCCCTGCGTCTCTTCTTCTCGGCCAACAGCGATGTGCCTGTAGAGTATTGCGGATCGATATTGTGAATCGCATCCTCCACTGGCCACGGAAAAATCTTGGTTTGTTGAGCCAACTGCGTCTGCTGACCAGGCTGGTCACTGGTGTGGTGGGGTTCTCCGGTAAATTGCATCCAATAAATCGGTGTCTCCAGCTCTCGCTCAAACAAAAAGAAAACACTGCCATGTACAGCGGTTGCCGCCCCGAACCAGATACCAGTACCACCCCCACGGTGGGATGCAGAGGATGCAACGGCAACTTTTGCCTTGCATGATTCAGCCATATTTGCACGTGGGCGACTGGTAGGTATCCCGCTGAAGCTCTGTTGGCGATCGAGATCAAGATGGTCCACGCATAGGACTTATGGAGAGAGAGAAGATGGAGAGGAGGAGAGAAGGAGCGAGAAGGGAAGGTGAGAGATGAGAGGAGAGAGAAGGGGAGACAACCTCACTTGGAGTCTGAGCTCGAGGGTTTTCGAAGTGTGTCTGATGGGCATGCTGCATGCAGTCGAAGCAAGGTGAAGGGAGAGAAGGGCGAAGGCATGAAGTCGATAATACGATGACGTCTGTGCAAGCTATGTCTACATGGGAGGAAGACGAAGGAACGGATTCCGTCCATGAGGCTTATCCTCGAGTGAGGCCTCTTATAGGTAGGTCCTCAAGGTTCATTTCTCCAGCGGAAGTTGGCTATAGATACCGTATTACAATGAGGTATCTACCAAAAGGCCTGTTAATATAATTCCGCTATTTCGCTGTTTGCGGTCCTTCGAACTGGATGGACCACAGCTGTGCCGGAGTCTTGGAAGGCTGACTACACGGCGCATCAGATCGCCACAAACGCCGCCTAACTAGCCCCGGGAACAGGGCTTGGGAAGTTGCCCATAATTTAGGCGAAGAACGAGGGGCGGGTCGTTGTGTATCTTCTGCCTGCTGTGAGCTCTGTAAGAATTGACGGACAAGTTTCTGGCCGCCGTAGGAATTCGTATGTACAAAGTTTAATCGGGTTGCGACGAAGACTACCAGTGACCCGACAGGTGTGCGTTTTCTTGGCTGTGCAACCTTTGAGAGCACTCACAAGCGAACGCGTTCTCCCGTACATATCCGTGTGTCCATCTAATTCGAAATTCAAATCTTTCGCGAACCCCACTACCTCACCTCATCTCACCTTACCATCTGGCCTCTGCTCGCCAGCGACCCCAAACTCGTGCGAACCCTCAGTCGGTCAAATCACATACAATCACTTGGTCAAAACCCATCTTTGTCCCGAGAGATCAGAACCGCGCAAGACCGTCGCACTGCGTTCACACATGTTGAACTGAGTGCTCGAGCTTCACGAACCTAAAACTCCGACGGAGAGCTCTACTGCCAGCATGGTCTCTGAATATAAGCTCCTTGAGATATGTGGTTCGCGCCCTCGGTCTTGATCCTCGAAGGCGGCTCTGCTGACCACTTTGGCAGACAAGATACAGGCGAACAAGATCAACGAGCGATTAGGCGGCCTCAATGGTAACCGCTGCTTTCCGCATGGGCTGGCGAGGGATGAGCGGATCTAACACTGTGTGCGTGTCCAGAGCTCAAGCAACTCTTCTCACGGGAGCAGACTCCCAAAAACCTCAACGACAAAGCATTCCACCGACTACTGGAGGCCATCTTCCGTGCCACGATCATCGAGCGGACCCTCTACATCAAGCAGTCCAAGACAGCTCGAGGAGCGTCGGGAACTCGTCTGACGCTATGCGGGTCCGTCCTGCGGTCGACGGTCGAACTGGGCCGCGAGCAGTTCAAGGTCAAAACTGTGCGCGCGGTCTATCGGCATATCATGGATACTCTGCCGGCGAATGAGGAACTCTGCGAGCCGATTAGCATAGACTACACCAAGTCTCTGCGGATGATACTTCAGTATGCGCCGCATACGGAGCATCTGATGGCTGAAGCATGGGAGGCTCTGGCTAAATATTGCTGTGATCACGTCAATAAACAGCTGGGCATAGTGGAAGAGGCGGATGGAGAGGAGGAGGAGGAGGAAGACGAAGCACGAGAGTTGGAAGTCCGGAGCTCGCGACGAGGCTCACGAGCTTCCGTGCCACGTGACTCACTGACATCATCCTCAGGCAGGAGAAATCCCGCGGCACAAGCGTTTGAGTCCACCGGCCGGCTTCCTATGGCTTTCACAGCCAGACTCACCCACGTGAGCGAGGAGCTGTTGATGTGTCTTCAATACCTGCTCTCAGCACCCAATGCACCGATACTTCCCAATGTGCAAATGCTCTCCACTACACTGCTTGGGTTTCTGAAGTCGCAACAGACATCGACCCGCGCACATCAACACGTATTCTCGTCGATAAACCACGTGTTGAACGTTGTCACCGCGAATGATCTGGGGATAACAACCAAGATATGCAACGACATCGTCCCTATCATCAGTCGGCTATGGGATACCAAGTCACCGGGTCTGCGGGATGAAATGATCGTTACATTCATGCACTGTCAACCTCATATCAGAGTAGAGATCCGCGTCACTCCGAAAGAAAACCCTCTCAGGGTCGCTGTCGAAAATCTCTTCGAGTCCCTCTGCAGCGAGTACATCGCTCGGTCCGATCGTGAAATCTTACAGCTTGACTATGTGGTCTTTCCCTCACCGGCCAGCGCATCCCATAGTACCAGCCCGCTCCGTCTGCGGGCTGTCGCACTGACCAACATCGACCATGATCCACGCTTAGAGCAGACCTGGATGGTACCAAGTCTCATCGCCACGATGGTGGAGATGCTTGATATCTCGGGCAGTACGAGTAAAAAGACTGCCGACGGAGCCCCAAAGAGGCAAAGGATTTACGACCGCTCCGCGGAGATGATGAGATACGTGCGCTCCATGAATGCACCGCGGAAGTTCTTGGCCTTGCAGGTGATGTCGTTCCTGGCAGATATCAATGGTATCGACGAGGAGGAGTTTCCGTCAATCATACAGGATCTAAACGGAGCTTGCTCGGACGACAATCCCCTCATCATCGCTTGGGCTTTGATTGCGATCGGCAGGTAATTGTTCAGTCCGTGCATGTGTGATCCGGGGAACCTACTAACGACGTTCTGCAGTTGTGCCTTCCTGAGATGCGCACCGGAAGAGGTATACGCGCCGACCTGGCTTCAGGTATGGCGGCTATGTGCTCGCCATGCGACAAACCAATCCACCTGTCGAGTTGCATGCCATATCATGCGGATCTTGATCAGCCGGGAGTTGATTGCATATCCCAGCATCTTGAAGGACGTGGACAACACGCTGCAAGCGATAGATATTAGTGGGCCGGCGATTCTTTGCGATTCGGCGTTGGCCCTGTGGTCGTTGATCCTCGAGAAGCGGAACTCAACTGTGCACACTGCCCAGTACCATGCAGGGGAGCGGCTGTTCCAGTGGTTCTGCTCGAAGTGGCGACCAGCTCAGGAAGGCCTGGACAAGAGTGGTGCTATTGTATATTCTCAGAATACCGCGGCAGTGAATGTCATCAACTTTTTGTTGGTTTGCTGTGGCCTCGATCCTCTGAAAATCGATCCATACCCAATCCAAATCTGTGGTCCTATCGGCCAAGCTTGCATCCGGATCGCTCGATATCGCGGGCTCCACAATATGCTCCTGCATGTCGAAGAGAGCACCGACGATGCACAATTGGAAGGCTCCAGTTTCGGCCCCGGCAGCGCCGGCAAGCCGCATACCGACCTGCAAAAGCAGATGATCGCATTTCTGCTCCGGCAGATGGAGACGGTCGGCGACAAATGGGCCGAGATCTGCAGTCAAAAGCAGGGCGTCAACAGTGTCGTCATGCAGAACTTCGTTGGTACCATCCTTACGGCTAGTATTCTTTGCGCGAAGCTCTCGTACTCCAGCAGTGTTCTGGAAGAGAAATTGCGCGAATCAGTGTATGTCAGTTTAGGCGACTATCTGGTCAGCGACGAGTGCTCGCTGAAGCAGATTGATGGATTGCTCTTCGAGATTCAAGCCTTGCTCCCAAAAGCTTCGCGGATGGTCGGGTCGCCTGGTAGATTCGAGCACAATCTCGAGGGCGTCACGGCAAGCCTAATTGTTCAGATTTCCGACGTACTCGAAGGCAAGGAGAAAGCAGCAATTTCGTTTCGAGATTCGGGCGAGAAGGATGCAATGGACATCGATCATGACGACTTCGGCTTCCCTAGTGGTCGGATGGAGGAAGAGAAGAAGATTGGATTGCTTCGGGAAGACGTGGAGGCAGCATGCTCGGAGGAATCGTTCAGGTCCACAACGTCGGCGCAACTTGCACTTTGCTCGATGTTGCTCAAGAATCCGGAACAGCCGGAAGAAGTGTGTGGCCAGTTCGCTTCCTACCTCAAGGAGATCCCGACACACAAACTGGTCATGATACGCTCCTTCGTCAGAGATTTCGTGTTTGCGGCGAGTGACGTGCTACGCGACAACGACGCGGCTAATATCTGCGAACATATCGCGCACGAGCTTCTCGCACCGTACCTTCTGGAGAGGTGTGAGATCAGTTCACTACTCACAATGGACATCATAACTGCGCTGGCAAATAAGTGGAGCGTCGGCAGTGGACCGGCGGATATCACCGAGACTTGCGAACAAGTCTACGATCATGTCATCAAGACAGGGCTGGACAAGAAGGTCACTTCGCATGCGATACGAATCGGCATCGCGGATCTTCTGGAGCGGATTCTGCATGTTAATCCGAACTTTGGGAAAGATGATCCACAGCCTCCTTTGGAGTTGTTTATCGGCCTTCTCAAGGATTCGGACAGTCGCGTCATCTACTTTGTGTCGCAGAAGCTACATACCCTGTTTAAGATCTTTGGCGAGTCCGCTCATTTGAAGCTTACCGAAGATATCGAGGCGGCACTCCCTTCAGCCAAGGACTGGGTCGAAGGCTTGGCTATTCGAGTATATGCTCTGGGGCTTGTGGGGCTGGTCAGCTTGTCAAACATATCGCGGATCGTTTACAGGATCTTCGAGACCGGACAACTGCCGCAAGCCTCGCTTTATGCAGCAAATTCATTGCTGACCATTGCCAAAGCTTTCGGATTTGAATCCCAACGCCAACTGTTCAAACTGTTTAGCGTTCAATTGCTTTATACCTGGACGGAGCACTACGAACTCGATAATTTTCCATCCGAGGTCTTTGGGTATGGATCTCTAACAGAGATGTGCGAGGATGTTCCCGATGAACTCATCGCTCAGTTGTTGGTGAGGGACCGCGATGAACAGGCCGAGGCAGTGGCGCAGCGAAATGGGAAGTCGCTGAGTGAGTTGTTGGTCCCGTCTTTTGCCAAAGTCGTTGCGTACTGCATGGCGTGGGCTGTACGTTATCCGCCTCAAGCACCAGCGGAGGGAGAAGCACCAAGGCCGCCTCTGATCGCTCGGATACGGGCTATACTGGGTGATGGACAGTACCGTACGCTTTTCATCACCCAGTTTCCACTTATCATCTCAAACCTATACGAGCTGATGCAGGAGGATGGAACCTCGGAGAAACTCTTGTCCAGGGATGTAAAACTGGCCAATGTTGCCGCGGCCATGAAGGACCTCATTGCTGAGGGCTATTCGGAAAGGAAGTTGGCCCATCAGCTTCCACCACGATTTAGTACTCGCGTCATCCTCAATACCATTCCTCATGCCTGCGATATCTGTGGTATCAACGACAGTAACGAGCTCTGGCACGCCTCTATGGTAACCTATATAGCGCGGAGGCTTTTCGATACATTGCATCCAGCCCGCGGGCCTGTGCATGCCTGTGGCGTCCTTCGGAACATCAGATTGTTGGTCTGCCTAGCGGGAAATACGGCTCACGAAGGATACCAGCTTCAGATGCTGATTCATGGACTGAAAACTTACATCGTGGATATCGCCTGCGCAGAGGATGTTGTTGGTATCATCCGGTATCTTTTGATCAAAGGTAACGGCTATCTGTCGAAGAAGCCTTCTTTCGTTATCGCCACCTTCCTTTCCATAATGGCAGACATCAAGGAGTTCATGCAGAAGAACTTCGACACGCTGGAAGAGCAGACTCGTACTACTCTCTCCGTCGTACGGAAGTTCCGGACATGGTTCGCAGATCACCTCTCAACGCTGGTGTTTACCAACCTTGACATGGAGCAAAATAGAGCATTCCAGGCGATGGTCCACTCGGCAGTGCAGTTCCGCCGCATCGGAAACGCAGAAAAGGACACCAAGGAGAGCGAGCTCATCCGGCTACTCCTTGACGACGACATGGCTGGTGATGCAAAGCTGATGGACGATGCCTCTCGAGAGTTGGCATTTTCGCTCTTCTGTGGCAACTTCCAGCGGCCCGGAGACTTCAGGGACGACATATTCGGCTCCGATCAGGTTTCGTTCGATCGGTCGAAATCTATGCTGGAAATTTGCAGACATTCGTCCGTCGGCGACGGGTTCCTGCTGTGGTCGGCGAGAGTCCTGGGACGTGCTTATGCTGCCACAGGACAGCTGCATAATGAATGGACGCATGAGATGACGTTTGAGGATCCGAACAAAAACGTTTTGCCGAGGGCTAATGCCGTCATCAAAGATTATGATCTGACGGCAAGAATTGGAATTTTGCGGAGACTCAGGGACTTGCTTTTCTCGAATGATAAAGTGGTTGCTGGAGTGGCGGAACGTGCCCTCTCACAGATAGTTCGGGAAGAGAGCCACCGTGGAGAATCCGATACTTACTTGCACGTCTTGGAGAATCATGAATATAAAGCTCTCCAGATCTATGTGCCCGTTTCGGAAAACTTGACGCCCCAATCTCTAGCACCGTTCAGGAAGATCGAGACACCCGTCCCGGTGTGGCTCAAGGATTTGACAGTGGCCATGTGCACCAACATGCGCGAATCGCCGGTCATCAACGGCCTAATCCGAGTTCTCCGGGAAGTGAAAGGAGTAGCGGCAGAGCTGTTTCCCTGCATCACGCAGGTCCTGCTTGCTCGCGACCATCTGGCAAAGAAGGGATTGCGAGAAGATTTATCCAGCGTTTTCCGCGAGTGCTTCAAGAACCATACCGAAAAAACCGTTGCGCACAACACCGTTCTGATCAAAACCATTCTCTACCTCAGGTCGCGGCCGAGGGATGGAGAAACTACGGCTTCCGATAGAGACTTCTGGTTAGAAGTCGATTTCCTCGAGGCGGCGAAGGCGGCGTGCGCCTGCAAGATGTTTAAGACCGCTTTGCTGTTCACGGAGATTCATAATTTTCACACTAAGATGGACATTCCTCCGGAGTTGCTACTCGAGATCTTTCAGAATGTCGACGATCCCGATTCTTTCTATGGCGTTAACCAGGAATATAACCTGAGGACGGTGCTGCATAACTTTGAGTATGAGGGCAACGGTTGGAAGAGTTTGTCGCTTCGAGCCGCCAATCTTGAGAGCGGCATTCGTCAGGGCCAGATAGCGGAGCCAGAAACCCTGGGAGTAGTCGATGCCTTTAACACCCTGGGCATGAATGGACTCTCGCACTCGTTCCTCCAGGAAGGAGCCCGCGCAACCACATCCGCCAGAGCGGTAGATAACATCTACCGTTCGGCCTGGAAATTAGAGCAATGGGACTTACCATGTCCTACCGGCTGCAACACCAGATCCACGCCCATCTTCCGAGCTCTGCAGTCTCTCAACAACACTGTGGATGCAAGGCCGACTGCGGAACACACGGATCCGCACTTCCTGGGAGTCATGAAGCAAATGATCTCCGCTACCCAAACAAACCACACGCTCGGCGAGAATATGAGAACACTGGCCATGTTGACGGAGATGGAGGAGGTGCTTGCGTCCGCGGACCGGAAGCAACTGACCGAAGCCTGGGATAGGCAGCAGGGTAGGAGTGCATGGATGGATACTGGAAGGTACGGAATTTGGTTTTTTTGACTCTCTGAGTGCTCGTGTGCTAATCATTGATGACCAGGTATGCGGAAGTCGAAGAGATGATGGCAATGCGACAAGCAACCTTCGGTTCGCTGGCCAAGCGGATGCACCTACGGATGCGCTCCGGCACGGACGTCATAGGCGAGAAGAACGCCAGGAAAATGGAGGCGAAAACACTGATTAGTTGCTGCAAGATGGCACGCAAGCATGAAATCCTTCAGCACGCCATCTCTGCTGCCACGCAACTGGAAAACCTCGTGCAGCCGTGTAAGGATGCGGGCTTGGACATCAGTGGGGTAGCTGCTCTCCAGGCGGCCAACGTTCTGTGGCTGGATGGGCATGCCGTGGCATCAATTCATATGCTTTCTGCACTGGAACAAGATACGAACGCAACTTCGCAGAGTATTGAGGTCGGTAGGGCCAAACTATTGGCGATACTGGTAAGACAACCCGTGTATGTGATGCGTGTTGAATATCGCTGATTTTTCTCTCAGGGTAGTCGGATCTCCGAAGCACGGCTCGAGAAGCCTGACAAAATCATGAGTCGGTACCTCGAGAATGCAATCATCGAGCTCAACCACAAGGAGACTGGATCCGAAGCTGGTCGCGTATTTCACTTGTTTGCAACTTTCTGCGACCAGCAGCTGCAAAACCCAAACAACATCGAGGACTACGAACGTGCACTCAAGTTGAAACGAGACAAGGAGGGTGAAGTCAACCAGCTGGCCCAGATGATGCACTCATCTGCTAACAAGAACGCGGTCATCCGCGAGAACGTCAAGGCTAAATCGTGGTTGGCACTGGACGAGGAGGAGTACTCTCACCTTCGGAACAACCGCGATGCGTTCCTGGAGAAGAGTGTGGCCAATTACTTGAAGTGCTTGATTGCGTGTGACGACTTCGACCACGATGCCGTCCGATTCTCAGCACTGTGGCTGGCACACTGGGACGAGGATAGGGTCAACAGGGTGGCTACGGATGTCGAAAACGTTCCTACAAGGAAGCTGGTACCGCTGATCAACCAGCTTTCGTCCCGACTGCAGTCGGAGAAGGGCGCTCATTCGATTCATCCGTTCCAGAGCCTCCTGCTGAGACTCATCATTCGGATGTGCCAACAGCACCCGTACCATGGAATCTATCAAATTCTTGCGATCTCAAAGACTCGCACCAAGGATGAAGCTTCTATCTCCAGACAGCGAGCTGCACTGCAGGTTACTAAGTACCTTAAGAGCGGCAACACGAAGAATGCCATGTATGCCCTGGAAACTACAACGAAGGTGTACGACAAGCTCGCGCATGCCACGGGGCCTCAGAAGTTGGCCAAGGGAAGGTCGATTACGCTCAAGGATCTGATTCCAGATTGCCGGAAGGTGTTTGAGAGGGATATCGGAACATACAATATTCCACCACCAACCATGCACATCGCGATCAGGGCGGATTGCGATTACTCTTCGCTGCCAATTATTACGAGATTCAATCCCCTGGTGGTTCTAGCTTCGGGTGTAAGCATGCCCAAGATCATCAAGTGCGAGGCTTCAGATGGAAATGTCTTCAAGCAACTGGTAAGTGCCTGCACAGTCTCTCGCTGCTTACGAGTTAACTAACAGTATGTAGGTCAAAGGTGGTCAGGACGATTTACGACAAGACGCCATCATGGAACAGGTGTTCGAACAAGTCAGTATTTTGCTACGGAAGTGGCGCATGACTCGACAGCGCGACCTCAAAATCCGCTCCTACATGGTGATCCCACTCACCGCCACAAGTGGCATCATCGAGTTCGTCGCCAACACAATCCCGCTTCTCGAATACCTCTTCCCAGCACATACAAAATACTTCCCCAATGCCTGGGCCCCGTCCAAAGCCCGCAAAGTCATCTCGGACGCCCAGAACCGTTCCAGGACCGAGCGCGTACGGGCATACCGGCTCGCTGCGGAAAACTTCCCCCCAGTCCTGCACTTCTTCTTTATGCACGAGTTCGAAGGGCCCGATCTCTGGTTCGCCTCGCGCCTTGCATACACGCGCAGCACAGCGGCGATCTCGATTCTCGGCCACATTCTCGGCCTCGGCGATCGCCACGGCCACAACATCCTCCTTGACAGGAAGACCGGCGAGGTTATCCATATCGATCTCGGTGTGGCATTCGAGCAGGGCCGTGTTTTGCCCGTTCCCGAGGTGGTCCCGTTCCGCCTTACAAGAGACATTGTCAGCGGCTTTGGGATCACGGGCACGGAGGGAGTATTCCGCCGGTGTTGCGAGTACACGCTCGAGGTCCTGCGCAACGAGTCGTACAGCATTACCACCGTGCTCGACGTGTTGAAGTACGATCCGCTATACAGCTGGTCGCTCTCTCCCCTGCGGATGAAACGGATCCAGGACCACTCGCTCGAACAGAAGGAGCAGGAACGCCTCGAGGAGGAGGAACACGCCGCAAAAGAGAAGGCGCGCGTAAGGCGCCAGGATTCGGACGGGAAAGAGGCCGACGAGAAGAAGAAGAAGCTCCAGGCTGAGGCTGAGGCTGAGAGGGCCCTCACGGTCGTCTCGAAGAAACTCTCCAAGACCCTGAGTGTTTCGGCCACGGTTAACGAGTTGATCCAGCAGGCCGCCGATGCGAAAAATCTTGCTGTGCTCTATTCCGGTTGGGGCGCTTACGCGTGATCCACGAGGGAGACCTCCCTGAGGGGGTGGGAGTGGATGAGCTGGAGTAGGGCGTTGGGAGTTTTCTTTGGCTTGGACTTTGTATTTTTGCGTTTGGGGATGAAAATGCGGGAACTGGGGGTGGCGGGCGTTTGTATCTAAAGTAGGTAGAGGATTTATGGGAAACGAAAGGAAAATGCGGTGATCATGTTCTGCGAGGTCTACACATAGTTAAGGTGAATAGGAATTCAGTGTTCTCAGAATGAATGAGCGCGAGTGATATCGTGGGGGCTTTGGAGGTTGTGAATTCTCATTCTATCAGCCTGCTTTCGCCGTCCGTCATAACTACAGCTAGCTTGATTATAGTAGTTCCAAGTGGAGGGAAGGACTAGCCTGAATAGTGGCGGGGGCGTAACTGATGGGTCTCTGGGAAGGGCCATTTCAACAAGGCTGCGCATGCTACATAATCCTCAGGATCCGAAGTCAAACCGACGAGCAGCTAGAGCTCTATTACGAGCGACCCATTCACTAGTGAGAACACCTCAGCAAAGGCTCAGTGTGCAGCTCCGCCAGTTCACCACTTCACTTCACCACTTCATCACTTCACCAGGAAATGCACAAGCAATTCCAGATATCGATATCGCGAAAGGACCAAACACAAGGACAACACAGCATAGCAAACATATAACATGGAGCAATTACCAAAAGCAAGCAAGCGCGCATAAAACTTCTACCACTGTCCCGTTCATCACACAAAAAGAACTAAGATACACTGTTATGAAAAAACCCGTGTCCCTTACTTATGGTATACTTTCTTCCCCACCCCCCATTACGATGCCGTTCGATTTCCGCTGTTGATCCGCCCTGTCTGCTCTTGAGCACCAAGTGCTGAGATCTTGTCGACAGTAGAGACGGGCGTTTCGAGGCGTTTAGCAGATGGCATCGGTGGTGGCCTTGGCGTTCATGAGAAGTGCGACGATAAGACCGTAAAGACCCAGGACTTCGGCGAAAATGAGGATCAAGATCATGCCGACGAAGAGTCTAGGCTGCTGAGCGGTTCCACGGACACCGGCGTCACCGACGATTCCGATGGCAAAACCTGGATTTTTTGTTAGTAAACAAACGGTACGCGTGTGGCGCAAAACATACCAGCAGCCAAACCGGCCAGACCGACGGACAGACCAGCACCCAACTGAATGAAACCGGTGTAGAGGGGAAGCTGCTGCTTCAGGCCCGAGGAGACGAGCACCGACACGACCAGACCGTAAATAGCAATAATACCAGCCATAATGACGGGAATAATGTCTGTGGTGATTCGTCAGCATGTTTGCTTCTTTTCGTCCACAGAAAAGCAAGGCGCCATACTCTTGACGATCAGATCAGGTCGGAGGACACCCATAGAGCAGATACCGACACCGGACTTGGCGGTTCCGTACGAAGCGCCGAAGCAGGTGAAGACGATAGCTGCAGTGCAGCCCATTGCGCCGAAAAAGGGCTGGTAAAATAAAACACACCCGTCAGCCACCTGAAATCGAATACCGAAACGTGAATAGCATTTGAACGATCGAGTAGGTTCGGTCGTTCGTGCGAACGATAGCTTGGTGTTGTCGTTACGTAGCCCGGAATGCTTCGCGTCCTTTTCCGTTTGTTGCTTGGCGGCAACTCTCGATGACGACGGGTTCGCTGGAAGGACGGAAGGAAGGAAAACGCGGAGCAGAATTTTAACATACCGCATAGACGGGACTGAAGGAAAAAAAGCACACGAGTCAGCACGTAAATTCTTCTTTAAACGACACATCGTCCTCATCGCTTTCCGCAGGTGCTAGGGGCGAGGGAAGATGGGCGAATGACGCGGTCGCAGTGGAATGACGAGCGAGAGCTGCTTACCAGAGTTCAGAAGACATTGTGAATGTAGATGAGAGGAAGCGAAGTGAGGCTGTTAAAGGTCGGCTGGTGAAGCGGCGGCTTTGGAGATGTACGAGTGAGCTGAAGCTGAAGTGGTGAGTGTTGCTTGATTGTCTGGGTGTGTTGGAGATGCACTCGGTAGGAGGTTGGATTCCTTGGCTGCGGCGGGTTTAGGCACTTGCGAGTGGCTTGGTGTAATTACCCGGCCATCATCTGTCATCAGGAGAACACTCATCCAATCCCAAAACACGAGGTATCGACGATCTACAACAACCCCCACGCATCCCAGCCAAACACACCTCTGCCATCTTTGGTAGGAGAATGTTGCCGAGAGGATGGATATAGAGGTACTGTACATCATTGAATATTCTTTGAATAGATATGCAAAAAAGCAAGGCGGCTCGATTCTTTTTGAAACCCCATGGTACACCCATCATCTATTCTGCCTTCCCCACTTCCCACTGGTTGACCCTGTAATTCTTCACCCCGCTCACCTCTCTCATAACTACCAATACGCTTAGAAGTTTCGGCTAGTGTCGTTGCGGATACGGTTGTAGTCGAGCAGCTATTAAACATGTTAGTCGTGCTCGAAATGATCTGCGATGCAGTACTTACACCCTCGATGCTTCCCACAGCACTGATGGCAACATCCTGATCCCAAATCCTTCGCTGGGCAAACGCCATAACGTCCTTTTCGGTGATGGCACCGACCACACGCTCGATTTCAGCCGGGCTCATTCTTCGGCCGGTAGTGACGATCTGTCGTCCGATGTCCTCAGCAATGGCAGTGGTTCCGTCAAGGCTCAACAACAGCGAAGCCTTGAGCTGGGCCTTAGCACGCTCAACCTCAGCTTCGGTGACGATCTGCGCCATGCGGTTCCATTCACGGAGAGTAAAGTGGACCAGGTCGTCAATGTTGGTGAGGTTGTCGGTGACCATGTAGGCTCCCCACAGACCAACGTCAGAGTACGAGGTGCTGAAGCTCATGAACGAGTTGGCAAGCTGGTGCTGGTGGAGCACAGACGAGAGCTTGCTGCCGAGGTGGGGGGCGTTACCCATGGCGCGGTCGAAGTTACCGATGATAGCCTGAGCGACCAGAGCGGTGAAGTAGTCGGGGTCCTTCCAGCTGACACCCTCAACAGCGATGGCAATGTGGGCGGTGGGGATGGTATCGTCACGCATGCGGACCTCGGAACCGATGAACTCAGGCTTAGGTCCACGCGATGTTCCGAGGGTCAGGGGGCTGTCGGATGACTTCAGGTTGCCGAAGTTCTTCTCGGCGAGCTCAACGAGTTGCTCGTGGGGGATTCCTCCAGCACCGACAAGGACCATGCGGTCGGCCTTGTAGTTGGTGGAGATGTAGTTCTGGAGGTCGGCCTTCTTGATCGACAGGATGTTCTCCTTGGGGCCGAGGATGGTGCGGCCGAGAGACTGTCCCTGAAAGGCAGTGGCATGCAAGTGGTCGAAGACGACCTCCTCCAGCTGCTTATCAACCTCCTCCTGCTCCCGGAGGATAACATCACGCTCGCGCTCAATGGCGGACTCCTCGAGCTTCGAGTTCTGCAGGATGTCGGCCAGGATTTCAACCGACTTTCCAACATCATCCTTGAAGGACTTTGCGTAGTAAACAGTGTTCTCTCGCTAGAATAGTCGTTAATCCCGAGGATAAAACGTCGTGTGTGTAGCTGGGCCAATTACCGATGTGTAGGCGTTCAAATGTCCACCCATGTTCTCGATCTCGAGTTCCAACTGCTGCTGCGAGCGCTTGTTGGTGCCCTACGAGTGAATCTCGTGTTAATGCAGATTCTCTGACCCCCACCAACCCCACACCACCATCACCACAACCACCGGCGCCACGATCATCGTAATAACCTCCGCCGGCGCAACCGTGTCCATCCATCTGTCCGGAGTTGTCTCACCTTGAAAGCCAAGTGCTCCAAAAAGTGTGCGGTTCCGTTGGAGGCATCGGTCTCGGCCCGGCTTCCGGCGTCAATGAACACACCGACGGTGGCGGTCTGCGCATATGGCGAGTGCTCGGTAGCGATCTGAACCCCGGGAGTCTCCCGTCAGTACCCGATGCAATCAATTCTTTACCCCGCATAGCTGGGTATCGTTCTTAGCCATCCATACCGTCAGTCCATTCTTAAGGGTGGTCGACTGGGTGGTGTGGACGTTGGCCGCCGTGGGTGTCGCCAGAGACCTCGTCAACGTGGTGGGGAATTTTCTGTTGAATGCATTTCGTCGCAGGGTGGCAGAAAGAGTGTTCCGGGCGACACGAGCGGCTGCCATTGTTGTTTCGACAACGAGTGGGGGAGGGGAGAGCGAGGGAGCGGGTGGGTTTCTGGTGGGAAAAGGTGTTTGGCGGATTGCGATAGTACGGGAAAATGAGGAACAAGAACCGGCGATGCTTCGACGGTTCACTCGGCGTTTCTGCTGAGTGGTGGTGGTGCTCACGAGTTACGCAGTGGGGGTAGATTTCAGCACATGAGTAATTCCCTCGCTTGTACTCTTATTGGACGAGAGGCTGAGGTGTGGCGTGATGCGTGTGGCGCTCATCGGAAGCCGCTAGTTATGTGGCGGTACGGTGGGGCTCAAGCTTGAGGCTCGGCCGCCATGCTTGGAGCTATCACTCAACTCAACCCAAGTTACTGCTCGACACCATCACGACAACACCGTCTATCCATCAAGCCATCAACATCATCACCATCCCGCCCGTCGGTATACATACCACACTACGCACCCTCTACCACCACCCTCTACACCCTCTTCACACACACCCACCTTCACAATGGCTGAGGGAAGCGCAGAGAGAGAGGTTCTCAAGGCGGAGAAGGATTGTATGTTCCCCACCACCGCGGGGTATCTCAAGCGAACTTGGGACGGAAAAACGCGCACCATGAGAGAGGGAATACTAACCCAGTGCAATGCAGTTTCGCCGCAGCTGGACAAGGAGCTCCCAGATATCGTTGCTCTTGCTAAGGCACCGCCCGCCCATTCTCCAGTTCTTACGGACGACAGCTAACGGCCGGCGGTGCGGTGCAGTCAGGTGGCGGTTTAAACCTTCCCCAAGCCATCGAGAAACTCATGATGCTCGAGAAACAAACCCGCCAGGTCCGCCCACTGATAACTTTACGCGATCGTTCTCCGGCGCGCGGACGCTAATATGCGCACTACCTAGGCTTCCGATTTACCATCCACCACCCGAATACTCGAGACGATCGTTACATTGTGCAAGGAGTCGGGTGACTGGAATCTCATGAATGAGAATGTCCAAATTCTGTCGAAGAAGCATGGACAGCTCAAGATTGCGATTACGAAGATGGTGCAGCTCGTGATGACATTCTTGCCCGAGACCCCCAACATCGAAACCAAGCTGGCGGTTATCGATACTCTACGGGTGGTGACGGAAGGAAAGGTCGGTGGTGTCATCAGAATGAGCGATATTGGGTGGACGGGTGGGTGTTAACTGTGGGCAGATATTTGTTGAAGTCGAGAGAGCTCGCATCACGCGAGAACTGTCCAACATCAAGAAGTCGCAAGGCAATCTCGGCGAAGCAAAGAACGTTCTTTGTGAGCTGCAGGTGGAAACTTTCGGTTCGATGGACAGAAAAGAGAAGACGGACTTTATTCTTCTACAGGTCGGCCTTTGCATCGAACACGGTGATTACGGTCAGGCCTTGATCCTGTCTCGCAAGATCTCGACCAAGTGGTTCACTACCGAACCCAGCAAAAAGGACCAGGAGATCATGGAGTTGAAGCTGCGCTTCTACGAGCAACAGATTCAACTCTCCAAGCAGGACAGCAAGTATCTAGATGCGTGCAAGAACTACAGGGCCATCCTCGACACTCCCAGCATCATGGCGGACGATGAGAAGCTCAAAGTTATACTGGAGAGGATCATCTACTATGTCATCCTTGCCCCATATGACAACGAGCAATCCGACCTACTGCACCGCATCCACGCAGACCCCAACCTCCTCCGCCTCGTCCCGCAGCAAGACGAACTCCTCAAGAGCTTCACCATTATCGAGCTAATGCCGTGGTCACGCGTGGCGCAACGGTTCGAGACGATGCTGCGCGCTACCGAGGTCTTCGGCGTCGACGACCCCAAGGGCCCCAAACGCTGGGAAGATCTCCGCAAGCGTGTGATCGAGCACAACGTTCGTGTGGTTGGCAAGTACTACACCCGGATCACCATGGACCGATTGAAGTCACTGCTGGATCTGGACGAGGATGAGACCGAGACATATCTGTCGAAGCTGGTGTGTGAGAAGACCGTCAACGCGAAGATCGACCGGCCGGCGAGAATCATCACTTTCGGACAAGCCAGAGATGCGGACGACGTGTTGAACGAGTGGAGTGGGAACATGAAGAGTCTTCTAGGTCTGCTCGAGAGAGTTGACCATCTCATCACAAAGGTACGTCTCCCGCGCGCTGCACTACGGATCTAGAGGAGTGCTGACTAACGGGCTGTACAGGAGGAGATGATGGCCAACATCGCGCCGAAGATCAAGAGTAAGGGCAAAGGAGTAGGAAAATAATCTAGATGCTGCAACTCTTTAGCGAATGAAAGTGACCACTTTGTAAAATAATTGGGAGCATGGTCGAGGTTTTTCCTTCTTCGGGCTGGTTCAATCAATTGAGACGTTGATTTGGACTGTTGTGTCCTGGTCACTGTCCGCCTGCTAAGGCCCTGTTCGTCTCACGATTATGTCGTTATTTGCGGACCTATCATGGAACGGCCGGTTCCCCTGTCCACATACTACTATCCATCACCTCAGCGAAGTATCCACAATCCTCAGCGGCAACTCAGCGGAAAGTTCTCCCTACCGGCAACCCAGCGAACAATTATCCCTACCGGCAATCCTCAGCGGCAACTCCACAGTCGGCCGACATGGACTCCTCTTTAAGTTCACTCTCCGTCACGGTATGGAGGAAAAAAGCCTGCTTGTATGCCATAGCCCGCGTCGACTAGATAGTAGCAACCGGGTGGATGTGTTCAGAGATCAGCTGCCAATGCCAAATGTCGAAAGTGGCATTTGGAGAACTTCGAAAACACGCGAGAAATTCTCCGAATGCCACTTTCGACATTTGGCGTTGGTAGCTGGCCTCTGAACACTGAACACATGGTTGCTACTATCTAGTCAACGCGGGGTGTGGTATACAAGCAGGCTTTCTTCCTTCATACCGTGGTGGAGGTGGTGGAGAGAGAACTGTCCGCTGAGTTGCCGGTAGGGGGAACTGTCCGCTGAGTTGCCGCTGAGGATTGTGGATACTTCGCTGAGGTGATGGATAGTAGTATGTGGACAGGGGAACCGGCCACTCCATGATAGGTCCGGAAATAGCGACATAATCGTGAGACGAACAGAATCTGGTGCGGTTTGCTTCGTGTGTGCCAGAACTCTAGATACCACTAGGGAGGTACCCAGACACCTCAACGTGACACGGCTCGGAGGAAACTCTGGTGATGGCCCGGTTATATTGCGGTGTCCCTTCAGTACCTACATTAGGATCCGAGGTCAATAATCAACCTCGTCGGGTAGTGTTAAAAGTCAAACGGCGAATACCCTCGTTAAGTTAGATGTGGCCGTGTGGCAAATGACGCTCTACCAATAACACCCGCGGGGAGGTGACACTCAGACGGTTTAAATACCGGTCCACTCTCCCCATACATCAATGAAGACGGGAAGATAATACATCAATACATCAATAAGCCAGGCCAAGCAAGCCCTCCACGACGGACCACAAATTATACACGCCAGGTTCACCGCCGCTCCCTCCCAGCTCAGCGCTGGTCAAATTTCTACGGCACAGATTTCCCCACGTCCTACCGTATCACAGTTGTATTCACATGATCCGAAGGTCCGAGTCAGACGATACCACGGTTCCATTCTACAGACGCTATGGCCGTGGTTAAACGGAATACTTACCTCGCTCGAGCTGGCTCCCCATCCAAGAAGAAGTCATCAGAAACCTCGGTGATCGGAAGTCCCGGCACTACTTGGGCCGTCACGCCGCCATTCACGTCCCCAAGGTTCACGGATATATGCAGAAAGGCATCACGGATATGGAGGAATGCATGCTGGCCGATAGAAACGGCAGACAGAGGCTGCGTGCGCCGACTTCTCCCGAACGGCCACAGGAAGAAGAGAATCATGTTTCGGCGGCATCACCAAGGTACAACCCGTGGTTCGATAGTGTCGTCTTGGGTTCTATGAAGAAAGCGGCCTCGGTGATCCAGTGGCAGATTCGGACGGGTGGGATCTGAATACAGCGTGCAAAAACACATGGAAAACCGGAAAGCGTAGGCTCCTCACCGTGGAAAGGAACCGCGGGACAGCGAGTGGACGTCGATTTTGATGCGCTGCAGCCTCAGGCCTGAAGCTGATGAACACAAGCCGAGGATGCAGTAGTACAGGGCTTTTCGTGTGGCCCACGGCTTTTCTTTCCACCGATTCTGTATGCATATATACATACTCCCGTGGCCGAGAGCTAGGCTCGATGTTCCTCGGAGTGCGGAGTCGAAACCGGTTCCAGCTGGCGGGGTAGGATAAGCGAACTATCTATGACGGCTGTTGGGAATGCAGGATCATTCGGAGTTACATTCAGATGAATCCGCCACTGCAATAGTAGTCGGTGCCATGAGTATCATACGACGAGGTGCGAGGGGAGAGTAGATATCTGGCAGCTAGAAACCTTCCGCCCTCTAAGAGAGAAACCTGAATGAAAACGAAAGTGCATCCCACCCAAAAACTGGTCCCATCCAGCCTGACGCCATTTCGGCTTGATAGAGCATGCATAGCATTTGGCGAATTGTCCTTTCGATTTCATTTTCTCGTGTTTATGACTCCATGGCGCAGAACATACAGTACGCACCCACACACCACCGCCGTCAAGCACAGTCCATGCCTATCCCGGTCGTTGCTTACCTTACCTGCCCCCCCTTGCTCTATCGCTAGCCCAAGCACCGTCGCAGATCGATAGCCAATCCCCACGCGATCCCCACTGTCGTCCATCTACTCTGCGCACCGCGAACATCGCCGTCATTAGCTACCACCATATAACACAACCCTTCCTCCACTGCGAATCGCATTCCGCCTCCCTTCCCTCCACCATGACCCTCGGGAGAAAAGCGGACGACCGTATGATCTCAGTGCTCGAAACAACCATGTCGGGTCTCACCTTCACCAAAGACGCCACCGGCCTGGTGCGCATACAGGATGAGAATGGCGATGTACCCGACAATGTCGAGCCCGCTTCAATCCTAGAATTGACGCCGCCACCGACCCCCACAAGAGATGGAAAGCTTGGCACGGCGAATATTATTCCTATGGAGATCCTCTGTCTCATACTGGAATTTGTCAACCCGAAGAGACAGGATGTGTTCGCAGCTACCTCCAAGGTTTCGCGGCTGTGGTATCATGCTAGCGCACCGTTTCTGTCAGCCCTCCCCGCACTCTCAAGCTTATTGTGCTTGTATGCTGACGGTGGATCTTGTATAGCTATCGCTGCCCTAAGATCACCGGGAATAACTACCTCAAGTTCGCTGCCATCATCTCGCCGTCCAGCACTCTCATCAAGCCATCATCCCTCGGCTCTCTCGTGAAGCGTCTCGACCTTTCAGCTCTGGTATATCAAGGCCGCCCCTCCCTCAACGCGCGCCTGCTGCGTCGCGTTCAAGCCAATCTCGAAGAATTCGTCGCCCCACAGACTACCTTCGGCTACAACTGCATCGTAGCTCTCGGTCACCTCCAAAAGCTGCGCCTCCTCGACCTCTCCCTCATCAGCCAGTCCGTCAACCTCGATGATCTCTTCCAGCACATCGGGGATCTCCCGAACCTGCGCACCCTTAACTTCCCACGTTCCTCCGTCCTTGCGCAACCGCAGACCCGCTTCCTCTGGCCCAAGCGGCTAGAGAGTTTCTCTCTCAGTGGAGCGATTCTAGACTACTTCCTCCACGAGACGCAGCTCCCCGAGACGCTCCACGAACTGCACATCTCGCACTGCCCATTCACGCGCAGCGGCAGCGTAATCCGGCTAGCCGCGGCGCTCTCGCTGCAACTCACGAGCTTGAGCATAACCTACCCGATGCCCTGCCTCGCCTTCAACGCACTCGACAACATTCTGAACATGTGCCCGCACCTCACGTACCTCCTCATCGCCGTCGACTACATTTCCAACCACTTCTTCGACTTCGGGCTCGGCCACCCACTGAAGCGGCTCGACCTCGACTCCAGCGGCAATCCCGGGGTCGAACACAAAGTCTCACCCAACGACGTCTTCATCGCCGTGGCCGAAGACCGCCTTCCCGACCTCCGCATCGTCCGTGTCTCCCGCCTCCTAAAGTGGGTCGTCCGCGAAAAGGGCGACGTCGACGATCTCGTCGATATGCTCGAGGCGAAAGCGCGCGAGGCTACAGCCGCCCCCGCCGCCGGCGATGATGTTGATGACGATGATGATATCGCCTCCGCTGATGTGGGCGTCTGGGAATTTGGCGATGCAAGGGGAAATGGGTAAGTCCAAAAAAATGCCGTGTGCGTGTCTGTGTGTGGGGGTGGGGGTGGGTGTGTATATGGGGGCGGTGTGGAGGTGGCGGTGGTGGGGGGAGGGGTGCGAAAAAGAGAGGGTGCGTTATTGATGTGAATAGATTTGGAGGCGCACTCACCGGCATGACGTCGGGCGAATGGTGGTGGCTGTCGAGCATAGCACCGAGAGGGCCCGTGTGGCTCAATGGTTTGTTTGCTTCGTAGCGTGGCAGGTGGTAGGTGGTAGAGAGGGCGGCGGTGGTGGAGGTGACGGACGAGTGATGCACGGCGAGGTGAATGGCGTGAATGGCATTTAGATGCGTGGGGGCTATACTACTGTACATATGTATGTGCTTGAGCTTGGGTACAGATTTTTGAGGGCAATGGAGGTGTGGTTGTATGGATACTTTGCTGTGGATGGGGGTTGTGGGTGGAGGTGGGTTGGTCATTGTGAGTGGAGAGGTGGGTTGGCCATTGCGAGTGGAGAGGTGGGTTTGCCTCTCGGGCCGAGTGAGGGACCGAGGGTTTTTGTTATGTTTTGCTTCATCATTTTGTATTCGAAGGGAGAGAGAGAGAGAACATTATATCTCACATGCAGTCTTTCCAGAAACACTCCGTTGGGCACCGCCTGTTTTCGAAGGGTTGGGAGAGAGAGAAAATTAATTTATTTCGCATGCAGCCTTACTACTATAGATTATGGCGAACTTCGAAGGGTTAAACTTGGAGTGAAGAGTGGGTCTGGGTCTGGACGATCGTGGCGAGTGACCGTGTAAGAGGCGTGCACATTCTACACTCTACACCTTGCGAAATAAACTGAAGATCTCTCTCTCTCTCTGCACTCTGCACTCTGCACCCTCCTTACCGCTATGTACGGTACGTTTCACGCGGGAATCATCCCATCGCTCGCGTAGGTACGTATCTCTTCGCAGTTATGCTCGCCGTCTCGTATGTACTTATATACGGTTATTGTGTTTTATGAAGGATGAAGCTGGCAGGCTGATACATTAGGTACATACTTCCAGCCACAACAGTGAGTCAGCGACTTATTCACACTTGGCCGCCATTGACGAACCATAGACTGGTGGTGCGCTGGCTGATACATCATTCTGGCACGGAGTACCTACCTCATACTCCAAGACATATGCAGGCATGAGGCTCTTGTTTCTTTTTCCTCTCAGTTTCATCATTCCGTAAGATGTATGTAGAGTACCTAATCGAACGTTTCCGGCAATCACGGTACTATATTCTTGAGGGTTTTTTTGGTTGTGTTTCTTTATTAATTCGCACGCAACATATCCAGACTAGGTACGGTATGGTGTAGTGTGCATTGTGCACCGTCCACAGTCCAGATACCTGTCTAGATGTACTACATAGTAGCACCCCGCTTCTCCCTCCGGTCCCAGCTCTCCGCTTCTCTCCGTCCTCAGCTATCAGCTCTCCGCCTATCAGTGTCAGACACGGCTTTGATGAGGCGGTGCTTTTGTTTATGTTTTCATCATTCCATAGGTATTCGGTCATGTGCCCAATGCCCATTCACGCCGCACGCCGTACGAGTGGCCGCACGAGTGCGTGTGTGGACATGTACGAATCCAAGATTCCAAGGCTGTAGTACCTAGGTGATGGGCTGTGATTTGCCTACAATATTCCCGATGACTGGGGAGTTCATTATGCTGGAAATGACGCTGATAACTTGGCAATGGAGGGGCGAATGGGAAGAGTGGGAGTGGCGGAGAGTGGGAGGATGGGAGTGGGCGAGAAAGGGAGAATGAAGTGTGTAAGTCATAGGGTGAATGAAGTATAAGCCGTAAGGTGGATGTGCTAATGGGAGAATAAGGTGTGTAAGCCATGAGGTGGATGTGCGAATGGCACTCGGTGGATGCAAGAATTATGAACGAGGGGCTTACTGCTATGTAAGTCGACTACCTATACCCGTACTCTACATAGAATCATTGGTAACAACCTGCGCGATTACGCAGCTTATGTAGATGATGAGCAGCAATTCGTAATTCCTTCCCTTGTAAGTTATGCTCATGGACCTCAGGCCATACGAGAGTGCCCAGAGGCTGACAAGACCATAGCGGCGATCATTGGCTGTTTCCCTCCCTCCCTCCCTCAGGAGTCCTGACCTATGATAAGCGGTAGATCCGGCGATCGATAGACCCCAACCTCACGTACCTCGAGTACATATGTACCTGTATGTGCATTCAGCGCAGGAGGCAGGAGATCCTCATATGCATGCACACAAGACGGACCAGCTTCACGAACCGGCATGCTCTCGCGGCGTCTCGCCTACTGACGCGGCCCCGCAGGTAGGGTGAAGGGTGAGCTGGGACTCGGACTGCCCACGCGGCCAGCCCAGCGCCCTCCCATCACCATCATCATCAATGGCGTGGGGGTATATAGTTCCGGAAACGCTACTCGGCATCCTGTTTCAGTGCAAGCCCATCCATCGATGCAGTGTGGACGCCTCGCGGATGCATCGTGGCCGTCCGTCTCTCCTTAGTTACGCATGCAGGACGACGAAGGAAAGAAAATGCGCAGAGGAGGGATTTCGGATGGATGGGCGGACACTACGAAAGTGGGCACTCACTTGCCTGTGTGAGCGCTGCAGTGAGCGGGCCTGTTTCTCCCTATATCTCGCGTGCGCAGTCGTCGGGATTCGGGAATAGCAGCACGCTACATAGCGGTCATGCAGGTACCGACTCGGGACTGGTCTAGAAGTGCTTCTTTTTTGCTCAAGGGCTCGGCTTCTTTCCCATGGCATGATGGATATCGCTCGTTCCGCCCAGGCTTTTTCCAGCTGAATCCCCCCCCATCCCCGAGTTGTGTAGGATTCCTACCAGGGGCCCGGGTAGGAAGGAGAACAGTCGGAGCGAAGACTAGCCTCGAAAAGAGCTGACGTGCAAGCGACTTCGGATACGACCCATGTCGGTAGCCAATCATGCTCGAGGCGAGGGCGTCAACCAACGTGGGTGGGACGGACGGACGCAGCCCAAGCCTAGGTGAGTTCGTTCGGTCGTGCTCAGTTTGACGCTGGATGTGGTTATGGCTCTTTTGTTTTTGTGGCGTCTTTCCGAGAAGAAGATGAAGAGGACGAAGAAAGGAAGACGAAAGCACTGACTTGTGCCCCCTATGCAGGTCTCAGAATACCTACCCCCCCCCCCCCCCCCACCCCTCCGGCCCACGCTGCCGGCGGATGGCTTCTTATATATATGGCCTAGATGGCCGGCCGTTGGTTCTCGACTTGGTGTTCACGATATCGCTCTGTCTGTCTTCACCTTTGAGCCATCGTGCTCGTCCTGTCATTCATTGACCGAGAGACTGTTTGATTGTACTCTCACACGCTCTTTGCGATATTCATCACTCATTATTTATCCCACCACATTCATTTTTTGTTTAACTTCTAGTTCTGATATTCACCCAACATGAGGGTTTCCACCGTCTTTCCCTTGTTCCTTTCGATCTCCATATGGGGTTCGCATGTGCTGGCCCTGCCTGCTCCGCAGCAGCAGCAGGACGACGAGTCAACAGGTTCGAGCTCTATTGCGAGATTCACCACCGAGTCACTCCGTCCAGTCCCCAGCAGCACTCTTGACTCGAGCCCGAGCCCTGGCAGCACTGTTGACGCGAGCCCGAGCCCCACGACAACGTCGACTGTAGAGATGGAAGAGCACGTACAGGAGGGCGGTCTGGCCGGACAGCCTGAGCCCGATGTCACCCCAGTGATCCTAGAGGCGCCGTCTTCGACCGATCCTGTCCCCGTGGAGACCATCACGAGTGCAGACTCGAAGGTGCAGATGTAGGTTTCCTCCTTCTATGTCAAGTACTTGTGTAGTGGAATAGATGTTGACACGCATCAAGTCCCGAAGCTCCTACCGCCACCCCTGATGTCCGTGTTCTGGGCTTCGTCAACACTGAGCTCGACACTCGCGGAAATCCCAACGTGGAGCCCTTCCCCACCGAGGACCCAAGGACTCAGGGCAAGTTCGATAGTTCTGCCACCAGGGTGGCGCCGGCGGTTACATACACCCGGCCCGCCACCATCGTTGCGCCTGTTGCGCCTGTTGCAAAGCGAGAGGCGGAGGCGGACCACATGAACTTCCTTCCGGTCCGACAGACCGTTACGAATATTTTCGGACCCATTGCGACTACAGCCCCGCCGGCGCTGTTTTCTCGTCGGACCAATCACCCCATCCCGCTGCCGCCGATGAGTGATGGGTCCACCGGTCCCGTCCAGACCAACAAGTTCTTCGCCAACATGATGCTCGGAGGCCGCAACAACCCCGTCTTCACCTATCCCTACGAGGTGTGGTGGAGCAACCAGCTCGACGCCCCCTGGGGACTCGGAATCGACCACCGCGAGCCCGAGCAGCGCCAATTCGGCCCTACGGAAGCTCCCTCGGGAGCCGTCCGCTGGTACGCCTCGCCCATCTGGATCCGGTCCATCCAGCTCGGAGCAACGGAGTTCAATCACCAGAGCTCGAGCATGGAGATGGCGAACCTCAAAACCCAGAGCGCGGATCTCACCTTCTTTGCGGACTCGTCGGTGTCCAGGACTACCGCCAAGATGGAGGTGACGCTGTGCCAGGGAATGGGCTTCATCAGTTCGACTGTTACGAACCTCACGCCGGTGCTCGACACTGCCGTCTGGGTCCGCACCCTCACCAAGGTCGAGAACTACAGGCTCGACGCCACCAAGTACCTAATCACCCTTGAGAACGACTCCGTGTGGGCGCTCTATGCGTTCTCGAGTTCGCTTCTGCCCACTTTGACTCCGCTGGATCTTGTGGTCATCAACAATGGCCACATCGAGGCCAGTGGAAAGTTCAGTGGATTGATCCAGATCGTCAAGCTGTCCAAGACCACCACCGTGGACCCTGCGGTGGAGACCGCGTACGACAACGCCGCGGGATCGTACTGCAAGTCCGTTGATCTTGCGGGATCGGTCGCTGGTAGCACTGGAAGCTATCAGTTCAACTACCAGAGGCAGGGACCCGGCACATCCGAGCTGGTTCGTCACACCGATATCCCATTACCACCAGCCAGCCTCCTTTGCTAACACAGCCGTGTACAGTTGATGTTTGCTCTCCCCCACCACGTCAAATCCTTCGAGTCCACCACGACCGCCAAACTCGTGTCCGCGGTGAAGCTGCAAAGCCCCGCCAAGGGCGTCATGACCGCCGTAGTATCAGACCAGTGGCGTCTCCGCGAGGTGGGAATTCCCAACACCATAGGCTGGCTCCCCGTACGCACGGGCGGCGCCGCCACCTGGTCGGCCGCCAACCTCAACCGTCTCTCCACTGTGGCCAAGTCGGAGCTCACCCAGGACTTTGCAAATGTGACGAATCTCGACACCATGTACTTCGCCGGAAAGCCCATGGCCAAGTATGCGTTCATGTGTCTTACCATGAGCGAGATCCTGAAGGATGTGCCACTGACTAGGCAGTGTCAGATTAAGTTGAAGGTAAACATAGATGAATTCCTGTTCTGCTGGAAAGGTGCTGATGTGTTCCAACTTTCAAGGCGGCCTTCGCTCGTTTCGCAAATAACACCCAGATCAACAAACTGGTGTACGATACTAAGTGGAAGGGCGTGGTTACGGATGCCATCTACAAGACCGGCGATCCACAGGTCGAGTTTGGCGCAGGCGTGTACAACGACCACCATTTCCGTGCGTAATCCCCCACTGCAGTCCCTCGAATCTCCGCAACCAACTAACCCCATCCCCGAATGCAGACTACGGCTACTTCATCCAAGCAGCGGCGATCATCGCCTACCTGGAGAACAAGCACTTCGACCTCAAGAACCACAACTGGATCCGGCTCAACGGGCCCTGGGTGAACACACTGATCCGGGATGTGGCCAATCCGTCCTCCCTCGACCCGCACTTCCCCGTCTCCCGCTCTTTCGACTGGTTCCACGGGCACTCGTGGGCCAAGGGTCTCTTCGAGTCATGGGACGGCAAAGACGAGGAGTCCTCGTCGGAAGACTACAACTTTGCGTACGCGATGAAGCTGTGGGGCAACGTAGTTGGCGATGCCGCCATGGAGGCGCGCGGGAACTTGATGCTGGCGATCATGAAGAACAGCATGAACGAGTACATGCTGCTGTCGTCGGGGAACACGAACCATCCCGCAAACTTCGTCGGCAACAAGCTCTCCGGCATCCTCTTCGAGAATAAGGTTGAGCACACGACGTACTTTGGTCACCTGCCGCAGTATATACATGGTGTGCATATGCTCCCGCTCACCGCTATTTCGCCGTATATCCGTGGTCAGACGTTCGTCACCGAGGAGTGGAATCTCTACTTTCGTGGGAAGACGGGCGCCATCGATGATGGCTGGAAGGGCATTCTCTATGCGAACCTCGCGCTCATCGATGCGAAGGGCACGTTTGCGTTCTTTAATAGCACCGGCTGGAAGGCGAAGTGGCTCGATGGGGGGGCGTCGAGGTCGTGGTATATGGCGTTCTCGGGGTCGCTCGGCGGTGCTGCGTAGAAGAGGAGGGGTTGAGTTCGATAGTTGTCTTTTTTGGATGTTTTTATTTTGGGATGGTTTCCTCGGCTGCGAAGTAGTAACGAGAGCTGGTTGATTCTGGTTATGAAGTATGCACATACATACATTCTGGTTGCATTTCTGTATGTACCTACTTTGCTATGACCGTGGAAGTAATTGTGTTGCGATATCACTTTGAATCCGGATCGTATGGCGAAGATCGTATGGCGCAGATCCGAGGTCGGCGAGTGTGATGCGTATGCAATAACGGGAGTGCCGCCGCCCCCCCAAGCTCCCACCATGCCCGAGTCCGACGGCAAGGCGCAGAACGCCAGTGGTTATGCACTTACGTTCACGTACGGTATGTAGTGACCAATCTCGAGCAGACCTCGCCTCGCCTCGCCTCGCCGCCCTGACGCTACCATCCGAGCCCCCCGCCCCGCACGTGGCGGACAGCAGCCGCATGAGACTCTATGTATCCAGCCGTCCTCGTCATGCGGCGCAACTCGCTTCGGTCGAGGGAGCTTCTTGGCGGTACATAAGAAGTACCGTATGCAGATTTCGTTCCAGTGGAGTAGAGTACATGCGGTGCATTTCGGTAGGTTTCTGGGGTAAACTATCTAGCGAGCGAGTGGATGGCATCTGTGGGAGGTGAAGTGAAGCTCGTGTAGAATGGCCGTTCGGAGGGAAGCTGAGCCTCCTTAGGTACGCGAGTATCACCGTAGCTACTCTACATGCAATATGTCCTGCGAATGCTCATTGACCGCCCATGACCACTCAGCTCAGTGAAAAATCCATGCCATGCGAGAACCCATGGCCCCTCACGCCCATGAGCCTTTCACGATTAACATTGTGCGTCACGGTCCCGGAGCGGTGCGTGCCAGAATGGGACCTTACAATACTGTGTCGCGTTTGATCGTTTCTGGCACGGTGCAGAATGAGCTCTGCGAGGCTTCCACTGGTGGGGTGAATGAGGCTCTTCAGCGCTAGTGGCACCACCAACTCTAACCCCGCCAACGCGACCGGTAGCGAGCTCTCTTCGTCTTCTCTACTTTGGACAGCTACACGACAACCTCTCCCGCTATACATACTTCGAGAACTTCAATACCCGCTCGGATTCAAAGGCACCCTGCGATAGACCAATTTTAACCCCTCCCTCCCTCATACCTCAATCTCTACGCACGGAACGTAATCACCCACCACAATGTCCGACCAACCACCATCCCTCGCTTCTCGTATGGGCCCCGTCCCCGGCGACAAGCCTGCTGCCGAAGTGCCCGCTCCCATTACCTCCTGGGCCGATGAAGCATCGGAAGCAGCAGAGCCCACTGCCCCCGCCGCCGCCGCTGCTCCCGCGGCCACCACAACAACAGAGGCTACCGCAGAAGACAAGACCGACCTGTTGGAGAGTCAATATGAAGTCGCCGTCAAGCTGGCCGGAATGCAGGGAGACCCCAACAGCCCTCTATTCTCGGTCAAGCGATTCGAGGACCTAGGACTGTAAGTCGCACCTTCGTTGTCCCCCCCCCCCATCGCTTCGTGCGCTGACGGTGATGATCTTTAGGTCGAAGCAACTGCTGGACGGAATATACTTTATGAACTTCAAGAAGCCGTCGAAGATCCAAGAGCGCGCGCTGCCGCTCCTACTGAGCGACCCGCCGATGAACATGATCGGCCAGTCCCAGTCCGGCACCGGAAAGACCGCCGCCTTCGTTCTCACGATGCTCACGCGCGTCGACGCGACCCTGCCCACCGTCCAAGCGCTGTGTCTCGCGCCCTCACGCGAACTCGCCCGCCAGATTATGACCGTCGTCGAGACTATGGGACAGTTCACTGACGTCAAGGCGCAATTCGCGATTCCGAACGCGATCGCCCGCGGCCAGAAGATCGGCGCGCATATCGTTGTTGGAACGCCCGGGACGGTCAACAACATGATCCGGCAGAGACAGCTGCCGGTCGAGAACTTGAGGGTGTTCGTCCTCGACGAGGCCGATAACATGTTGGATCAGCAGGGCCTCGGTGATCAGTGCATACGTGTCAAGCAGCAAGTTCCCCAATCCTGCCAGATCGTGCTCTTCTCTGCGACGTTTCCACAGGAGGTCGTTCAATACGCCAATGTGTTCGCGCCCAACGCGAACCAGATCACGCTCAAGCAGGAGGAGCTCACGGTCGACGGGATCAAGCAGCTGTACATGGACTGCGAAAGCGAGGACGACAAGTACCGGATCCTGGTAGAGCTCTACCACATCCTGACGGTCGGCTCGTCGGTCGTCTTCGTCAAGCGCCGCGAGGCCGCCGCCGAGATCCAGCGGCGCATGGAGGCCGACGGCCACAAAGTTGTCGCGCTCCACGGCAACCTCGACACGGTCGAGCGCGACCGCATCATGGACGACTTTGCGAGCGGCCGCGCAAAGGTGTTGATCACCACCAACGTCCTCGCGAGAGGTATCGACGTGGCGACCGTCTCCATGGTCATCAACTACGATATCCCGCTCGATGGGAATGGCCGGCCAGACCCCCAGACTTACCTCCACCGCATTGGCCGCACGGGTAGATTCGGACGTGTCGGCGTCAGCATCAGCTTCGTTCACGATAAGAAGAGCTGGCAGGAGCTCAATGAGATACAGAAGCATTTTGGTGTGCAGATGACGAGGGTCCCGACCCATGATGTTGACGTAGGTTCCACCCTTTCATCCATGCGACTACGTAGCAGATGCTGACGATACGACGAACAGGAGGTCGAGAGGATCATGAAGGAAGTGCTCAAGTCGAAGACTGCGGGTGTAGCCAAGAAGTAGCTTGCTTGCTTGCTTATGCAGAGTGCGGGATGTACTGTTGTGTTGTTTTTCTTTTTCTTTTTCTGCAATTTATAATGGATGATTTGGTACGAGTATGACGATCTTGGGGCGATGTCCGAGGCGATGTTCGAAGCGATGTTCGAGTTGGCTGGAAAAATTGGGGATTTTCTGTGTTGTGTTGTTTCTACATCAGTGATCCGGGGGCGGTGGGTCACGTTTGTGAATACCTGCTTGAATAGAAGGGAGTGGAGTGGATTGTGGACTCGGGAGGGCTTGCTGGTAGAGTAGAGTCTTGGATGCTCCGCGGGGCGATTCTACACAATTGTGTGTGAGATGTTGTCGCGTACGGTCTTACTGTTGGACGTCAGGGCAATTGTGGTTCTTTTGTTTGATTGCATGCAATCTGTAGCTAGATCATGGCAATATTTGGACAATTGTGGTGGTAGTTAGACACCAGTTGAATTGAATGAAACAGCTCTCGCGAGTGCGAGTTTGTGAATCACTCTATTTGTCTCCCAACTCTCATAGCCAATGGCGATTTTACAAGTTTAAGATGGCGTAGTATGACGCATAGGTACACTCCACACTGTTCTTCCATCACTGCCGTCACTGTGCGTTGAATCCGACCAATGCTGTTTCTCAGACCTCGATACCGATACCTATGATGGCTATGACCATCGTCGACGGGATACTCTTCCCGCCTATCATGAAATATTTTGTTTGTTTTCTCCACTGGGACTTCGAGGTTCGAATGTCCTGGTTCCCTCGTTCATCTTGACGGCGCCGGCGGGCCGCGGCCGACCAATGCATGCTAACCAACTATTAATAGGGGCCAATAGTTAGCAAGTGAGATGTTCTAAGCGTTGCTCCTGACAACCCGCAGCACCTTCCGATGCGACACAAACGTTAGTTAACGATACGCGCGCAGACGTAGTTGGACGAATCTGACTTGACGATCCGCAAGCTTTCAAACAAAAACAAATACAACAACACGCTTCCCCCGCTCTCCTTTCTTTCTTTCTTTATGTATGCCGCCGTGGACGTCGATACGTGAAAGTCCGACCAACACTGCGCGCGCCAAACATCGACCGACCGAGAACGATCGCTCCCGCGCCCTTGTACAGTACATAAACGAACCGATACCGCTCTTGGCATAGAATAGATATTACTCCTTAACGAACGACGAACGGACTGCAGCCATCGTTGCACGCCTCTCCTCGCAGTCGCAGCATCGCCCTCTCCCTCCCACCCCCTGACAACACCTCCGCCCCTCGACCCCCCGCAGCCGCAGTCGCAGCGATGTCCTTCGGCAGCTTCCAGTCCATGTGCGAAACGGTGCCGATACCGCTGTGCGCGTTAGTCGGACCGTACGACGGCTCAGCCGACCGGCCAGGAATCGAGGCGCGGTGCTTCTCGCGCACGATTGAGGCCGCAAATACCATCATATTTCAGGCCGCAAGCGACTTTGTTCACATCGGCGCTCTCATCATGTGCCTCATCATGGTGTTTCATGTCAGGTCGAAGTTTACGGCTGTTGGTATGTTTGATTTTGTTTTGGAACGGGGAGGGGGGAGGGGGAGAGGGAGGGGGAGAGGGAGGGGGAAGGGGAGCTGGGAATGTAGGAACTGAAAAGGGAACTGATGGCTGATGGCGCGCGCACACAGGTCGTAAGGAAATCACGTCGTTCTTCTACCTCTTCATGCTACTCACCATCTTCTCGCTGTGCCTGGACTCCGGCGTGATCCCGATCGGCTCCAAAACATATGCGTACTTCGTCGCGGCGCAGGCGGGACTGACCTCTGCGACGTGCACCTGTCTCCTGATCAACGGCTTCATTGGCTTCCAGGTGTACGAGGACGGCACGACGCTCTCCGTCTGGCTGATGCGCATCTGCTCGCTGGTGATGTTCATGCTCACCGGCGCCATCGCCGTCTGCACCTTCAACGGCTACGGAGGCCTCGACCCGACAAAGACCACCGCGCTGTTCGTGCTCATGTACGTCGTCAACGCGCTGTTCTTGTTCATCTACGTGTGCTGCCAGATCATGCTGGTGCTCGGCACCCTCGAGGATCGCTGGCCGCTGGGTGATATCGCTTTTGGCGTGTTTTTCTTCGCCGTGGGACAGGTCTTGCTCTACGCTTTCTCCGACAAGATCTGTGAGGAGGTGAACCACTACCTGGATGGAATGTTCTTTTCGTCTATCTGCAATCTGTTGGCTGTGATGATGGTGTACAAGGTAATTCCCCCCTCCCCCTCCCGCTTCCCCCCGCCTGTTCCTTCGCTGACCCGCGCAGTACTGGGACTCCATCACCAAGGAAGACCTCGAATTCAGCGTCGGCACGAAGACCAACATCTGGGAAGTGAAGGAGCCACTGCTCGACGACAGCGACCGCCGAGCAACGATCTACGACCAGGGCCCGCAGAGCGACTACGGAGGTTCATACATGGGCGGCGGCGGCAACCGCCACAGCCAGGGCTTCTACACCGACCGGTACTAATACCTCTCACGCTCTTACTCGGTTGGTTTTGTGTCTTCAGTTTTTGTGTCTTCAGTTTTTGTGTCTTCAGTTTTATAGCGTTTTCAGATACCTCATGTAGCGATTGTGTCTGGAGTTGGAATGAATGGGGGGGAGGGGGGGGTTCTCTTCTTTTGTGATTCTTTTGTCTGTAGTTTACAAGCCATCCTTTTGTTGCTCTCTCTCTGCGTTCCATGCGATGCAATGCGTTTCCCTTTTTTTTCCATTACTTAGGTTCAGTGTCAGTATGGTATTTTCTTTCTTTCTGCTTCGATACCCGGGGGAGACAGGAGAGGACTTAAGAGAGGGGGACGGGCCATCTGGGGGGTTTAATTGGATATCTAGATGTTAAGAGGAATCACTCGCGAGTCACGAGTCGCGTCCATGAATCTGGAGCATCTAATCTAATCTTATCTCCCACGCTTCCCTGCCATTGTTACTACGACAGCCACGAGCCTGAGCCTCAACCTCACGTTCCCCAGCTCACACGCACCTTCCACCCCACCACGCACCCCACCACGCACCACCACCCCACCACACACACACGAAAACAGCAGCAGAAGCAATGGCCGAACCCACCACCGCCGCGATCTCCGAGCCGCTCGACCTGGTCCGCCTCTCGCTCGACGAGCAGGTATTCGTCAAGCTGCGCGGCGACCGCGAGCTTCGCGGGAGACTCCACGTTCGCCCTCCTTGCCTCCCTCCCCCTCCCCCGATGATGATGGCGGTGGTGCTGACAGCGAACCAAAATCAAGGCGTACGACTCGCATTGCAACCTGGTCCTGGCCGATGTCGAGGAGACCGTGTATATCGTCAACGACGACGAGGAGGATGAGGAGGGGTTTCAGGTAGCTTTCCCTTGCGGGTGGGGATGGGCTGGAGGTGGGGGCTGATAATGGGGATAGACGATAAAGAAAAGCTCTGAGATGCTGTTTGTGCGCGGTAAGCTCCCTCAATCGCGAGATGGGCTGTGAGATGGGCCAGGTGCTGGTGCGGTGCTGGTGCTCGTGCACGAAGCTATGCTAATGCGGTGGTGGCGGAACATAGGTGACTCCGTCGTGCTCATTTCGCCGCAGGCGCAGTCGTAGCGCTCTCTCTCAAGACCAGTGGGACCGAAGGAATGGAGGCGGAGGGAAGGATGCGGAGGAGGAGGAGGAGGGCACACATCAAGTTTATTTCACGTCTGTAAGCCTGTCAAGACTACGAGTACGGTGAACGCCGGCAACAACAAACAACACCAATACATATACCCATATCCGTCCGCGCGTCTAGGCGGAGGGAGGGAGTGTGTGGGAGGGGGAGGGGGAGGAGGGCAGACGCGGTTTCCCCAAGCAGTCGTCAACAGGCATAAAAGCTTAAATCTGTTTCATAGAGGCGTGTAGCCTTTACCAATGGGGGACCACTGGGGGGCTGCTGTTAGTATTCCTCATGGTGTGATCAAAATCAATGAGCAGATCCTATTCAAGGACTCCCCCACCCTCACCTCTGTTATTGTCCATGTAGTCTAAAGCTCCAAGCATTGTCCGCAGCCGGTGGGTTGCCGATGCCAATTCCGTGCACGCCTCGAACCAGGTCATTTGCGCAATCTCAATCGCGGAACTCACTCATTCTGATTGCCAATGTTGATATGTTCAAATACGTATGATACAAGCTTTATGTACGCAGAGAGATTAAACATGGAAGTCGTTGGTATCTCTAGGTACATCGCAAGCCGTTATTCTACTGCTGAGGCACCACAGTATCGCGGCACAATGCATGCCTCACTCCTCCCTCCCTCCTCCATCCCGTGAACTTCTAGTGACCAGTCAGTCAGTAGTGAAGTTCTTTCCGTCTAGGAACTCGATCACGCCCTCGTTCCTCGTTCGTTGTTCGTCGTTCGTCGTCAGTTGGTCGAAAACAGGTTCAAACTTCACCACCTCGTCCTTCCAGTCCTTGATACCAGCCGAGGGACGAGTCGGCGGTGGGGATGTTGTAGGTAGAGCTCCGCTAGGATTACTACCTATGGCTACTATATCGCTCTCCATGTACTCTGCCAGTGGGCCCACTTCGATCGCGGAGCCACTACGGTAATTGTAGTTGCCAATGTTGATGTGAAAGCCAGAACGCCAGCACCAATTTCTGGGCTTGGGTGTAGGAAGGAGTCAGAGTTAGGCTTGCCGGGATGTAGTGTTAAGATGACGATAGCACCGGAGGACGTAGGTACTCGTAGTAGAGGAGTACGTGCTGTGTAGTCGAACTATGAATACAGGATATGGACTTCCCGGTTCTGCAGCACTCGCTGTGTACGGAGGCAAGTCTTCTGGTCTGACCGACCATTACCACCGAGCGGGATATCGTAGTTGCAGACCATCGAGACGGCAGCGACGGTAGTTGCGACGTCGGTACCTCTCGCGAGGACGTTAGGTTGTTGGTAGTGATCAGCCCCTCCTCCCTTTGCGCGTCCGCTCGCAAAGCAAAGGTAAAGTCGTCCATGATGCGGTCTCGCTCGACCGTGTTTGTGCGTCGAGGTTGCCATGGAGCGCGGCAACGGCCTCCATGAGACGCAAGTTATTGACGCTGGAGCTCGGCCCTTGAGGAAGACGACGGACGGACGAGTCGGCAGTGGGGATGTTGTACTTAGGTAGAGCTCCACCCTGATCCGGTACTCATCATCGTCGCTTTCACAATCTGTGTATATACCTAGGTAGAGCTGCTTGATCCCATCGACTGTGATATCCTCGTGCTTGAGCGTGCGTGATCTGGTTCGCGCTGGGTGCGAACACATCGGATTGGCGTATTGATAGGCTGCCTGCCTGCGGAAACGGCGCTGATAAGAGCGCAATCTGGCAGGATTGGGAAACTTGGGGAACTTGTTGCTTGATACGGATGTACTGAGCGCCGAGACACTGGCGATCCAGCGGATAGGTAGGTACATAGCTGGCTTGGAGCGACCGCCGGCATGATTGTGAGCCGTAGAAACATAGGTTCATGGAGCCACCGGCCCACCGCAGCACCAGGGCTACGCAGGTTTTCGTGAAGGGGTAGGTCGTGTCATAGAGCTGGATGACCATACCCACTGAAGGAATACGGGATAAAAGAATCGATCGGCGGAGCATCACTGGGTATGTGGGCAGATAACAAACCGGCATCCTTCATCCAGACCTGGAAGTCCGACGGACTTCGTGGCATAGCAAGTCGGCGTCTTGGTAGAGTCGTCTTTCAAAATACCCGGCGCATCGATAGCTGGGTCATCTTTGAGTTGTGGTTCTATCCATCGAGAATCCAATTCCATCCTTCGTGATAGGTATCTACACTCTGGCGGTGGCTACATCCACACCCTTTTGTGGTGGTTGATACTCTGCAAGTCAGGGATGTATACTTCGCCTGAAGGAAGCTGATCGAGCGTGATTGTGGCTTTGTTGAGCTCCTCTATGTGCTGGAAAGCATCGGTGAGGACGAGCTGATGAGGGCGTTCTCGGTAGGGGAGGGGAAGATGGTTGGGAGACGAGGGATACAGGGGATGTAGAACAGGATTGTGAGATCGAAGTTGGGATTGCCTTTTGGCATTGTACTCCAAATGAAGTGGCAAGAGTAGGCGGGAGTAGCCTTGGTGAGCTGTGATGTGTAGAGAAGGAGACGAGGACGGGCTGAAAGAAGGGTTTTATATGGTGGGTGAGGTTTGCAACGGAATGATCTAGATGTTACCACTATCACTCGGCACTTGGTGCTAGTGGGCCGAGGAAATGGATTATTGTCGGTCAGGGGTCCTGCTCAAGAATCCATTCATCCAGGCCAAACCCCAAACGACGCCGGTAGGTTCGAGCAAACCAGTCATCACAGAACACCCGCCCTCCTCATGACCCCCTCGAACTCGTCACTGCCCACCACTACTATTAGCCTCGCCTCCCCCACCCCCCCTTGGAGAAGGAGAACTCACATAGTAACCCCTCTCCCGCTCTCCCCCTTCGTAGCTTCAGCGATCATATCCCTCAACTGCTGCTCACTGACCTCCTCCTTCAGTTCGGCAGCTATGCGCTTCAGATCATGCATCGTAATCCTGTTCCCCGTAGTAAACAGTCTGAATGCCTCATCCACCTCCTCACTATCGTCGTGCGAGGATGTGGAGCGAAGCTTTAGTGCCGCAACTTCTAGAAACTGCTCGTACGCCACTGTGCCCTCGTCCTCGTCGACGATGGCCTCCAGGATCTCGGAGAGCTCTGTGGCGGAGGGTTCGAGGCCCAGTGCTCTGTATTCCTCGCACCGTTACCAATAGTGTCCCCAGTGAAGTAGAGTATGCGGTAGTTACATCAGAGCATTCCGAACATCGGAGCTATTCATCGCGTCGCCGGTCGAGAAGAGGGACCATGCCTCGGACACCTCGCGCTCTTCGGCGGCGCTGAGGGAGAGCGATTTTGCGAGCGCTGAGGGCTTGCCGGCACTTTTGTTCTGCGCTTGGACTTTTTGTTTCGAGGGGGCGGCGCGCTTCTTGGGAGGCTGATGGGTGTTAGCTAACTACGCAACGGTGCCGGAGAGGTTGAGTGCACCATTTTACTGGCGCTGGTGAAGTCGTGTGTCTAGGTGGATGTGAATGGTCGCGGAAGACGTGAAGCTCAGCTATGGCGACTCAAGCGTCATAGGCAAGGATCGTGCTGCGGCCCGCATGCGAGACTAGGCTCGCTTCGATCGGTGGATAAGACTTGGTGATGTCGCTGCGAAGGGATCAATCGTGACTCGCGAGCAGTGATTGTTATTCAAGCCAACAGTTGGAAAGGTTCCAACCTGGCGGTGGTTATTGATTCCGGGTGTGGGGAGTTCCCTCGATGGCACTGGCAACTACATCGATACCGTTCGACCTTGGAGCGTCATCTGCGATGAATTATACACTTCCGCAGCCTCACGTTTCGACTCGAGATGTAACTTTACAACGACAATCTAGGTTGCTGTAGCCCTGAGCCGCGGGGAATGTTGCGCGCGGCTTCACCTTTGCTTCCCGTCGTTCTTCGTGTGTTCTTTGAGTCACACCATGCGTCGCCCCTGCCCCGCGCCAAGCCCTGCCCCTCCATATCGTGTGGTCATTCGATTTCTGACTCCAACATCCGCCGAAGACGAAGACGAAGCCAATTCATTCCGCACCGATCATGTCGACCTCCGAGCCCCCCACCGAGCAGACCGCCGCTCTTAGCGTCGAGGATACACCAGCTGAGGACGTTCCTCTGGGGTGAGCACGATGATGTCCACATCTTGAGTTCGGTGTTCCTGACAGCCAGAACAGTCCCGACGGAAAGCCCCTCACCAAGTCGGCTATCAAGAAACTGCAGAAGGAGAAAGAGAAGGCCGAGAAGGCCGCCGCCCGCAAGGCCAAGGAGGACGCTGAGAAGGCCGCCCGTGACGCAGCGAACGTCGACCATGCCACCGAGTTCTACGGAAAGCAGCCGCTCAACAACTCCGCGACCCGTCCCGGCCACACCTATGCTCAGTTGTCGGCGCTGAGCGCGGCGAATGACGGGGAGGAGGTGATCCTGCGTGCGAGGGTTCAGAACTCGAGAGCCCAGGGCGCAAAGATGGTGTTCTTGGTGCTCCGACAGAGTTTCGAGACTATCCAGGCGCTGCTCCAGGTCGCCGGCGATGGAAGTGTCAGCAAGCAGATGGTCAAATGGGCGGCGGGCATCAACAATGAGTCCATCGTGATGGTCCACGGAACCGTCAAGAAGGTCGACGAGGAGATCAAGTCGGCGAGTGTCTCCGATGCCGAGATCCACATCACCAAGATCTACATTGTCTCCGAGGCGCCTGCACAGCCCGCAATTCTGTTCGAGGACGCCAGTCGCTCTGAGGCGAAAGCCAAGGAGCTTGGGCTTCCCGAGGTGGCTCTGTCGACGAGATTGGACAACCGTGTTATCGACCTGAGGATTCTGTCGAATCAGGCGATCTTCAGATTGTCGTCAGGTGTGGGTCAGCTGTTCCGCGATTATCTCTTCAAGCTAGGATTCGTCGAGTTCCACACGCCGAAGTTGATTGCTGCCGCCAGTGAAGGAGGTGCGAACGTCTTCAAGGTCACATACTTCAACAAGGATGCCTTCCTGGCACAGAGCCCTCAGCTGTACAAGCAGATGCTCGTTGTTGGTGGCTTCGAGCGTGTCATGGAAATTGGACCTGTGTTCCGTGCTGAGAACTCGCAGACTCACCGTCACATGACCGAGGTATTGCCGTCGCTCTGCCCCAGTGTAACTGCAGTCTGACATCGCTAGTTCACCGGTCTCGATATGGAAATGGCCTTCAACGAGCACTACCACGAAGTGATGGAAGTCCTGGCGGACATGCTGGTCAACGTCTTCAAGGGCCTGCGCCAGAACTTTGCGAAGGAGATTTCCATCGTCCGCGATCAGTACCCGATCGAAGAATTTAAGTTCCCTGAGTCCGGCAAGGACGTATTAGTCCTCACCTTCAAGCAGGGAGTAGCAATGCTTCACGAGGCTGGCCACAATGATGTCTCCAACCTGGAGGATCTCTCTACCGAAATGGAGCGTACCCTCGGACGCCTTGTCAGAGCGAAGTACGATACTGATTTCTACGTTCTCGACAAATTCCCATCTGCAGCGAGACCATTCTACACCATGCCCGACCCCGCTGACAACCTATACTCAAACTCTTACGGTACCAACCACTCACGTCTTCCCTCATCCCGCTCCTTAGCTAACGTATTTAGACTTCTTCATGCGTGGCGAAGAGATCCTCTCCGGCGCTCAGCGTGTGCACGACGCCGAGTTCCTCGCCGAGCGAATGAAGGTCTTCGGCGTCGACCCCGACTCTCCCGGTCTGGAGGACTACGTTCAGTCCTTCCGCAACGGAGCACCGCCTCACGCCGGAGGAGGTATCGGTCTTGAGCGTGTCGTTTTCTTGTTCCTCGGTCTTGGAAACATCAGGCGTGCGAGTGCTTTCCCGCGTGATCCGGTTAGGCTGAGGCCGTAGATGGGGTGTAATAGACTGGGAGAATGTTGGGGAGACTTGTTGTAGCTATGAATAAGATCGCACCACCAGCAGTGACAAACACTACGAGTCTGCGAGGACTGCGCCGCACGGGTATCCACCTGCGACGAATTAGACGACTCCAGCGATTCTTGCCTGCCAGCTGCGTTTGCAGTGGCTGGCATGCATCGTCCCGGGACATGCCTTACTGCTGCAGTGCTGCTCCCGGTGACTGTACATAAACCCCATTCACCCCCCACATTCACTCCCATTAATCACACACAGCATCCAGCCATCCAGCCATCCAGCCATCCTCCAGGGCACCCATTAGCTAGACGCACACCCCATCATCATCATCAATACACAAGTAAAGTAAAAGCCCGAAAATGGAATTCCTAGTCCAAGTCTACCCGCTCGACCAGCCCGCCTACCCACCCGCCTACCAGCCCGCCTACCAGCCCGCCTACCCACCGACCATTTACCTGCCCGCACCCCCACCTCCACCACCACCACCCCCTACCCGCACGCGCCCCAAACGCCACCACAAACCCCAGCATATCCTCTTCTGCCCATTCGACGTCGACGACCATAACAGCTGCGCATGCGACTGCGGCTGCGGCCGCTACCGCGACGAGTGTAAGCCTCCGCACCGAAAGCGGGGCAGGGACAGGGAAAGGGGCAGAAGCAAGGAGCGCGGGATGTCAGGGGGTTATCAATGGATCGTCGGCGGCGGATGGGGCGGGTGGGGCGGGAGAGGTGGCGACGAAGGAAGAGGTGCGGACAGGCCGCAGACAATCATGGGCTACTCGGACGAACCCTACGGTCCCTACGTGGATCGCGGCCACCGGGGGGAGCTTGAGGGGTTACGCAGGGAGACGGAGGCGTTGCGCGGGCAGATATATACCCTCACGGGTGGGCCGCAGGATCACGGGTGGGACAGGAATAGAGATAGGGACAGAGATAGAGACAGGGACAGGGACAGAGGCAGGGACAGAGGCACAGTGTACCGTCGTATTGAGCTATAACATATTCAATCAGACCGCCTTCTGCCGTCGCAGCTCAGTACTACTGAGTTTCTCCCCATCGTGCGCAATCAGTAGATCCACGACTGCAACCTCCAGCTCCGGCCAGACCGCCTCAGTGCGTTTGGCGTTGACCGCTGCGCCGCCCGAGGCTGTTTCCTGTGTTACTACCAGTGCTGTGACGGTAGGATCGGTAATCGTGGGCCCAAACGGGTCGGAAATCGACACAATCTCAATGTGCAGGTTCCTCCGCTCCTCCGACGCCCCCGCGCCCTTTCCCTCCTCGCGGAACTCGGGCACCTCCGAAAGTAGCTTTTTCTCGTCCCCGTCACCGCCCTCGCCGCGCCCTGTTCCCTCGGCCGCGCGCGACTCGAACGGCGTGACGTCAACGACACCACGTAAAAACTCTAGCGAGCGCGTCGAGCGCTCCTCCCAGCTCTCCATAAACTCCGCGTGCTTCTTGTTCCGCAGCATGGCGGGGCCGGTAAGACCCACGATCAGCCGCGGGTTCGTAGCGGGAGCGGCGCTGGGCGAGGTGAGGAGGTACGCCGTCATCGTGAGCAGGAGCTTGTGGCCCAGGTGAAGATGATCGAATGTTCCGCCGACTGTGCAGGTACATAGCGGTTAGCCAATCCGCACACCTCGTTGGAAAACGTAGAAGCTACCAGCGACAACCGCGTGCTCCTCGCCCTCGCCCGCCGCGCCCGCCAGCTCCGCATCCACCTCCCCCGCCGGCGCCCGCACCCCCGCGTCAACATAGTACACATGCACGCCCGGGCTCCCCGTGGCGGCCAGGAACGCGCCCTGCAGCTGGTACCCGGCTTCGCCGCGCGGGACCAGGAGGACGTCCCACTCCTGCAGGTCCGCGAGCTGGTCGGTGCTCATCACGGGGCCGAAGGAGGCCTCGGCTTCGTCTTCGGGCGAGAGCAGGACGATCCGCACATCGAATGGGACCGCGGAGGCGGGTCGCGGGGTAAGCCGGTAAACTAGCGAGTATAGCCCGGTTAGGAGCCGCTGCGCCGGGGCGAAGGTCGTGCGTCGTGGGGTCGTGGGGAACGGTGCGGGCACGCCGATGTACAGGAGGGTCGGGAGGGTGAGTGGGCGGGCGAGGGCGGAGGTTAGCGGCGCCGTCCAGAAGGTGAGGGTAGACGCGATGGATGTGTGAGGTGAGGGAGGTAGGAGGAGCGCGGTTGTGAGCGGGCGGGACGACATTTTGATGGTGTCTGGGGAAATGGGAGCTGTGAGGTGCGGGTGCGGATGAGGCAGGGGTAGATGAACTTGGAGCTAGGTACTACAGACGCTGCGTTGATCATAGAATGGCACTCGCAAGTCGGGATCCGGGAGCAAAATAGTAGCATTGAAGCTTCCATTATCGCTGGTAGGCTAGTATCCAGGGCGGATGACGAGGAGCCCGAAGCAAACATGAGCGATATACCCCCATCTGAAGCCTTTATTCCCGAGAATTGGCGATGAGGTAACTTACCAATGGTTTTGCTGGAACTCCACAACACCTGCGGGACTCATTGGACTTCAACCTTCATCATGGGTCGGGTTTGGGGCTGCGCAACATGGAATAGGTAGTGCGCTCGGACTGCTCGTGGCAGAAATAAGGGTGAACGGGCGAAAAAGTAACCAATAGGCTCAAAGTGCACGAATACTAGTAGAGTGATTGATCATGATGGAGTGGGGGCTTGGTCGAGTGGAGATGTCTCTTCAAACTCTCATCCAACCATGTCCATCCTCCATAATGTCCATCATGCTACCCTCTATCCAATACTTGTCACCACTTTATGCTGTCACCGCAATTATGTACCCAGCCACATTTATCAGCTACTTTCCTTCGTCAAGCAACAAAAAAGCCGCCGCGCTATCCGGATACTTTATGTCTGCCACGAGTACAACTACCAGGTACTAATAGCTTCACCACTCTCACTTGCCATTCTTCCACACACGCTCCCTTATGTCCACCCTCAACATAAGTACACACCTCGCTCCTGCGAAATAGCCCTCCCACCCCGCCTTCCACCAAGTATGTCGGCTGGTGCGAAGAGCCATTTCTTCGTTTGCTGTTTTTATTTCCCTTTTCGACCCGAACTACGAACGGCAGTGATCAAATCGCTATTCGCATCACATCGGCAATTCATGCTACCGCTTGCACGGTCAATGTAGACTCATGTTGTGATTGTAGGGAGCTAGCGATCCCCGCAGAGCGAGGGAATGGCCGCTAGAGCGAGCGACATTTGGAGGTACCTAGGCGGTGCGGGAGAATCTTTAAGCGGGCGAGGATAGGGATCGAGGATAGTGAGTGAGAACGGTGGGAGTAAGAGAGGGAGAATAGCGAGCGAGAATGGTGAGAAGGAACGGTGAGCGAGAATGCAGAGGGAGAATAGGGACGAGAATAGTGAATGAGAATAGTGGGTACGAAAAGTGAGCGAGAAGAGCCAGCGAGAAACGCGGGCGAGAATGAAAAGGGAGAATAGCTATCGAGAATGGCGAACGAGGATAGTAAATGAGAATAGTGAGAAAATTGAGCGAGGATAGTGAGAAATAGTAAGAAATGTGAGCGAGGACAATTGTGAGTGAGAATTGTGAGTGAGAATTGTGAGTGAGAGTTGTGAGTGAGAATTGTGAGTGAGCGTAGCGGGCGAGACTAGCGAGCGAGATTAGCAAGTGGGAATAGCCAGCAAGAATGGCGAGAGTGAGAATAGCTATCGAGAAGGGCGAACGAGAACAGTGGGTAAGAAAATCGAGCGAGAATGGAGAGGGAGAATAATGAGTGAGAATAGCCAGCGAGAATGGAGAACAGTGAGTGAGAATAGTGAGTGAGCGTAGCGGGCGAGACTGGCGAGCGAGAATAGTAAGTGAGAATAGCAGGTGAGAATAACGAGCGAGGACATTTGTGAGTGAGAATAGTAAGAAAAGCGAGCGAAGACAACCGTAAGTGAGAATAAGGAGTGAGAATAACCAGCGAGAATAACCAGCGAGAATAGTAAGTAAAAATGGAGAGCGAGAATGAGCGAGAATAGCGAACGAGAATCGTGAATGAAGATGGTGAGTGAGAATGGAGAGCGGAAATGGTGAGTGAGAATAAGGAGCGAGAATGGATAGTGAGAGTGGAGAGGGAGAATAGCGAGGATAATTGTTCTTCACGCAAGACAAACTTCCAGCTTTGTCCAATGTTGCTCTTAGAAGAATATGCTGTGGGTCTGCATTGGGTCGATAATGTCCTCCAGGAAAATCGTTTGGCGGCGGATCTTTGAAGAACAGAAAGGAAAGTTTGACGCCAAAGACAAAGACGATTGTCTTCCGCTACGCTCTTCTAATGGAGACATTCAAAATTGGATGCAGTTATCCGACCATTGGCAGTCACAATGAAGCATTGAAACTTGTTGAACGGTGGGGGTTATCCTCCGATTGGTGGTGTGGGAGGAAGGGGGGGGGAGAAAGAGAGGAAGAGAGAAGGGACAAGAAGCCTTACCGGGAGAAAACCTACATGGTGCTTGGAACTGAATCGCCGTTGAGAGTCGTTATTGAGGCTTGTCGCTGGCGTCAAGTCATGTGACGTCACTCGCCTATCGAGTGGTAATATATGAAGTGCCGCAATGACATCTACCTAACAACGAGTAGTTACAACAGTTTGGATTCCGTACGCAGGCTCCAGATGTACGGAGAAATCAAAAGTTCCATTTCTACAGGAACGCCTGTTGCGTATCGCTGCCTCGAGCCCCAGCCGGCAAGTTCATAGTTCACTGTAAGACCAGCACTAGGCAATTCAAGACAACAGCCAACTCTTAGAATGCCATCGGATTCAGAGGTCATCCGCGTTTCTCTCCTCTACTGGTGTACGTATGTTACATGTATACCCGCTTAGTCAACGTGGCTGTAGCCGTGGTCGTGGTCGTGTAATATGTTTCTCTCTTGGTTTCTTTCCCCCGCTGTCCAAGCTGGCAGCGAGGGCTAAGACACAGAGGCGTTGCGCTAGATATTTTCGGAAGGTCTATAAACAAGGTTGAATAGAACAGTCCACCGTCGAAAGCATACCGGTGAAACAAAAACACACCTAGACAGCCTCAGTCCTACCAGGTATGCAGGGCTCGTGATGTTAGCAGTGTGAGTGACAGCGAGCCACTCCCATTCAACTCCCATTCAACAGTGGCAGCCACACTACCAGTCCGCCACAAGCGTGATATTGGCAGTATTAGTGACAGCAAGATAATCCCATTCAACGGCGGCAGACACATTATTTGTTTGTTTAATCATCATTGCATTCTCCTTAGTAGATCATGTTAGATTACATATCCGTTTCCACCCATCTGTCACCGATCGCTAGCCTCGAGCTCGAGCTCAATACCGGTTCCCTATTGCTCTCCGCCCAGCCCTCGTCGCCAAACAAACAACAAATTTGAAATGACGACATCCGCGTCCGTCTTGTCATCTTTCTCTTCGGGGCAACGGGTGATATCCACATACCAGTTTGGGCAGCGGAGACACGGGCTCGGTCGGTTCTGTCTCGCCGGAGCACAATCGCAGTCGGTTAGGACTCGGGATCCGATCTTGCAGCGAGTACCGGTACCCACCCTTTCTCGGTCGATCGAGTTCCTTGCCGACGTCGGCGATAATACAACACAACACAGCAGTGGGTGAGTGGCGATTTGAAATTTCTACTCGCATAGCGGCGCCGGAACTTGGAAGCTGTTCGCCACGGCTAGGCATCGCCCTGTCGACGTATCTAGGTACTACTAGTATACATACGGAAACTCTGAGACGGAAACTCTGAGACGGAAACTCTGAGATGGAAACTGAGACGGACCCATCACCCATGGCGGGTAGTTCAGGATGGCGAATGACAATGCGTGATTCGGAACCTACCTGTAATGGTTCCGAACTCGCCGTGTCGGCCAAGCAAGAGTTAAAACAGCCCTATCCATGTCCATGTGCATATATACATGCATAGATAACTGCACCAGACCGGCTCGTTCCGTAGAAACACAACTTTACCGACACGGTCGGTTCGGCGAGCCTTGTTCGGTTCGTGCTGTACATAAACATCGGTCACGGCGCGACGGGGCTGGACGGGACTGGACGGGACTGGACGGGACTGGACTGGACGGGACATCGCTTGCTTCCTGCTTCCTGTCAGCTGCGAACGTTACGGGAGGACTCGCCGATCGGAACATCGACATCGACAACGACAGCGAGAGACACCGCCGACTCGAGAAAGTGCTTCTACGGCCGCGTGGGTTGTCAGCCCCTCGCTACGGCACCCTGCTGCACCAATCCGCGGTGATGACAGATCAGACAGATCAGACAGACAAGGCTCCCCGAGCCGAATCACGCGGTACTATAAGGCTGATGCACGATCCGATCCGACTAGAGACCGGGGGTGGCACACGGGCAGTTTTTTCTTTCTTTATTTTTTCTATTATTTACGGTGTCCTCATTGCTGAGGACTCGGGAGAGAACATCTTTCGGATAGGCGTGCCTCTTTCTGTTTCTCCCGCGATCAACTCTTCTATGCACTCTACAAACTCTAGATAAAGTAGGCAATCGAATCGGCCGGGGAAGAGAGTTGCCAGGGGAACGGAAGCTGCAGCTCCCTCTTCTTCTCGGGTTCCTTCTTCTTTCCTTCCTTCCTTCCTCGATCTTGCGTTTCGAATCGGTCAATCAGAGAGGGAGGAGGAATGCCAGCGAGCTCGTTGGCAAGTCGCATGTGCAGGCCAGAGATGGACACTGGACATTGGACATTGGCCAGGCCGGTTCGAATCGCGAACGGAAATCCTCTGCGTCCCGACCGCATCGGTGGGCGTTGGAAATATCCTGGCAGCGGTTTTCCTTTTTTTTTTTTCGGGTTTTCTTTGCGCAATGAGCAATGAGCATTCGAAGCAATGAGCATTCGAAACAACGTGAATCCATCGGAGAAGAGATAAACACACATTCCGTCCGAGTTCTCATGTGTACCGTATGTAACTCCACTCTCCAGAGGGCCATACTAGCAGTAGCTATGTAGAACCATTCGCGGAGAGATGCTGCCATTCACGACTGCAGAGCAGAGGACGGAATGTATGTAGACTACTTCCTACCAATGATCCAGTTGCATGGCCAGTCCCGAACGAAATCGTCCTATGTATTCCATCCCCCCGATCAAGCCTTCTAGAACTGTGGCTTGCAGTTGTAGGTGAGTTCCGACGACAACTGCTACGACGACGCCGACGCCGAAAGCTTCTTCCGCCTCGAGCTCGAAGCGCCTAGTAACTAGAGTATATACCATCGCCAGCCAGATCCGACACATCCCATCCACTGCATCCGCAACACACCACATCCACCACATTCATCACACACACCACAAACCACCACACCCACCCACTCACCCACACACATATGCTGAAGAATCCTCGTTCGTTCAATCCGTCTGGGCTTGCTGTACTTACTTTTAGAGGCAGACACTGATCATGTATGTAGGTACACATCACCGGGGGGATGGAGGCACGTCCAGTCGTATGTATGTGCGCTTCCGAAGTCCACGCATGCGCAAATCGCCCGGCGACACTCCCCCCTCCCTGGCCTGGAGCTCCCCTGTGCATCCGTCTGGCGCCCTCCCCACACACACACCACAGATTGGTACCTACATACATACATTCCATTCATCATCCACATACCGATATGTATGATATGTATGCCCATAATCAATCAATGCAATGACGAACTCACCCACAAACCAACTAACTAACGCTGCAACCAAGGGCCCGTCACCCAAATCGATAGAGTATGAAGATAATGCAGACGTTCCTGTGAATCGGTGGTACTGTGGGGTATCGGTCCCTCGGAGGCTTTCCTCCTCGTGGCGTGCAAAAGGCCGTGCGGAATGACGTTCTGTCCGTCGAAGGGAGCTACTAGATACCTATCCCTCTGCTGCGCGGGCAATCAATCGATATCGGTATGTGTCTATCGCGAGGAGAAAGAAAATTGACAGCTTCTGTCTCCCTCTCGTCTCGTCGAACCGACGAACTGACTTCGGGACTCGGGAAGATGTGGACACCTACATACTTCCTACGCAAACGACGACGATGGCCGCCTCCACCACCACCACCTCCAACAACAACAACAATCCATGCGCTGCAGGATGCAAGCCGAGGGCTTTTTTTCTTCCTTCCCCCTCTCTCTCTCCATACCTACGATACCATACGACGGAGTTTCTGGCCGACGGACCACCCCATGTTGCCGCGGTTTGTACATACCGTACATACCTACTCGTACATACATACTCGTACACAGCATGTAACTTTCTCCTGCTGTAACCTTTTACTGCTGTGACTACTAACTACTAGGTGGGTAACTGTGTCTGTGTGCGTGCCACGAGGGCGGCCAGAAATATCGTACATATGGCATAGGTACATGCCCACCTTGGTATGTACGCTCCCACACACCGCCGACGACGGGACTTTGCATTCCGGCTCCCCCATCCCGTCCGTCACCCGTCCGTCCGTGTTGGTTCGATATGTGCTCAGTAGGTACATACCCAGGAGGAGGATGTTGCGCGCCGCGGCGGGCGGGCGTTGGTAATGCGAGATCTCGCACATACTGTACATGTAACAGAGGTATGTACCTCCCCACCACTACTACATACCGCCACCCGTCGCATCGGACATGCGCACACACCCGTCGAACTACCGGTCGAATCATGGACGCCGTAGTGAGCACATAGTCGGTACGGTGGAGCTATAGGTAGATGGACCAGAGACAGACCAGAGACAGACCAGAGACCAGACACCAGAGACATCAGGGCCACAGGAAGTTCATCTGTCTCTCGCTCTCCCTCTCAAGCTATGGACGTTTGCTCTGCCGGCTGGCTGGTCGGAACTGCCGTGTCCGTGTGTATGATCTCGACTTCGAGCTCGAGCTTGACTGGGTGTGGCAGAGGTGTGGCCGAGGTGTGGCATTCAAACACACGGTTACAGACTCACAGGGGTGAATGAATGAATGATTGATTGGCGGGGTAGAAGTCGAAGTCGAAGTCGAGTATTTCACGACCATGGCCACGTCTATTGGATTGACGTTGAGTAGAATAATAGTATAGTATAATACGGTAGTTACCCAATATGTACCTTAATAAACACACCCACCCACCCATTCATCCATCCACACATCCATCCACACATCCACAAATCCACAAATCCACACATCCACACATCCACACATCCACACATCCACTCACTCACTCATCCATGGTGATCCATCCCGACTCCATCCCGACTCCATCCCGAGCCCTACGTTTGTATCACGTTCGTATAACGTTTGTATCACGTCCGGCGCCGCGCTATTGGTTGCGCACCCCGCCCTACTACCGTACATACCACATAGTCTGTAGGAGGTATGTATAGAGTAGTCTATATGTAGGTATTGGAATTTGGGCCCATCTAAAAGATCAAACAACCATTTGCCCTCTCCGCTCTCCTCTGCTCACCTCTACTCTACTGTACTCTACTCTACAGATGAGAAACTAGTCCGTGTGGAGAAAGTTGAAACACACCGTCCGTCGAGCAACCATAGTAACGTCAGCTGGACGATCTTTGGTTCTTGGTTCTTGGTTCTTGGTTCTTGGTTCTTGGTGCTTCTCCATCGACCACCCCAGAACGGCAAACCAGGCACGAGAGGACCGTATTCCAGGCCACCCAGACAACACAGGCAACCCAGGTACTCGACTCTCGACTCGAGACAGGAGTGGAGGAAGTAGGGAGGGAGGGATAGGCCAGGCAGCACGATCCGGCCGGCAGGATCTACAACCCGCAATACGCAATACCGCACGCAACACGCGGCAGCGGGGCGCGCGCACCGTAGTTACATACCCCGCAAAACAAATCGCACCCGCACCCGCACCCGCACTCGCACCCGCACTCGCACCCGGGGGGTGCGTGCATGCGACACGACACGACACGACGCCACGATACGATACATATGAGACGACATGGCACGGCACGAGACGAGACGGCAGGGCACGATGGTTATGGCGCGATACCTGGGTAGAGTACGGTAAGACGCGACACGAAAAACACCAGAAAACGAGAAACACTTGGAATAGTTACTGTGTTGAGTATTATTATCAAACGCTAAAGTGTGGGCGGGTGGGCGGGCGAGCGTAAGTAGGCGGGCGTAGGTGGACGAGCACTCGGCTGTCACTCGCCAGCTGTTGGCCGCCACGGGTGGGTGCTGCTTGCAATAGTACTAGCGGATGAGAGCCTCAAGATGTCTCTTCGAAGTTGAATAGAACCTCAACTTCTTCAAATCCATCATCCTTCATGTTCGCCGTCTGCCTTCTACCTACATAGGGCTACGTCACCTAGCAGGCAGGCTCCAAGTACTTTAAATTCTCAGTTACCCATTCCACTATACGCCGACACGGCTAACGACACACGATCCAGACCTTAGAACCCCCAAGGCTCGCTGTGGAGTACCTCGCTGTGGAGTACCTCGCTGTACTACGCTACTGTTCTACACACACCACGCCACGCACGCCACGCACACGCCACATTTTGCTTTGCTTTGCGTTGGCGGGAGCTCGGGTGCGACCGACAAAAAGCAAAGCAGAAAGCAAAGGTTTTTTTGAAAAAGAAAAGAAAAAGTGAGGGATTATTTTTTCTTTTCTTTGACTTACGGACATGAGCCTCTAAGGCGAGGGTAATCGTGAAGGGTATTGGTATGCGGTAGGCGGTAACTACTTCCTATGTGGAAAGAAGTATGCAGAGTAGGCAGGCGGGCTGGAGATGACAGCTCATCACTTCAGGATTCAGGGCCCAGGAGTACTCCGGGCTCTGAAGTTCGTAAGGCGGGAATGTCACGCGGTCTGGATGCGGCGCTGGTTGTTGCAGTGAGGGGAGTGAGAGTACGTATTCACTATTTAATTTCTTTCTTGAGGTGCTGGTGAAGACACGATGCCTTCTTCTTAAGGTAGAGTAGATTCGTCACAATAGGCGCAGTAGACACGATAGATGCAGTAGCCATAGGTAATAGGTAGAGTAGATAGAGTAGACATTATGGTATCGCTGCTGTCGATTACAATAGTGAAGTAGTAGAGAGCCAAACTAAATAACGGGTATGAGAAAGTGAGACGCAAAAAAGGGAAAGGTATAAACAAAAGCCGCTCGCAGTAACCAAATAAGACAAAAAAAAAGACAGAACACCGTCCCAGTTATCCAGTTGTTTCCCCAAAAAATCCAAAAAACCAAGACCGAAAACCAGAGACCAAAACAGAAACATAAATCAACGCTGAGCGCGAGAAAAAGCATGCTGCAGAACGGAAGGAAGCAAAAACAGGCAGAAAACAAACAGAAAACAAGAACAAAAAACAGTTGCTGAAGAAGACAGAACCCCGCCGCCGTACCATGTGCCCATTCCTCCACCCCGTACCCTTTCCGTGACCGTGATATCTTCCTTTCCTTTCCCTTCCTTTCCCTATTACCTCCCATGGGACAAACCAGTTGCCCTAGAGTAAATCAGTCCATACCACCATTAACCCCCTTTTTCCTCCTTTTTTCCTCCCTATTCCGGTCCAATCCCCCAATCCCCCAATCCCCCCCAATATCCCAATATCCCAATCCCCCCCTCCCAACCCAGACAAAATAAAATTCGTGTATATCGTATCTTTTCGTGTATCGATCCTACGACCTCCGTGGCCGGCGTTCATCGCTTCCGTACGAAACCAGCCCCGCAGCTTCGTATCCGTTTCCGCGCCTGGCATGGTGGCCATGCTGATGGTGCTGAGCGTGCTGATCGCCGCTCTCGTAGTCGTAGTCGAAGTCCCTCGCTGCAGACCTCGGCATGGTCTCGGTGGAGTAGGAGCGAATGGGGGCGGCGGGCCTTGCATGCGTGGGCCCAATCTTCACCTCGATGGTGTTGTGGCGGGTGAGCTGTGGCCGCGGCGCGGAGGGCGCGGCAGTGTAGTGTGCAGCCGACGACCGGTGGTGCGAGTGGTGCGGTCTGTCGTCGATGAGCCGCGAAGTGCTGGCGGCGGCGGCGTGCGGGTGGCGGATGTGCGTGTGCTCCTCTGAGCGGCGGCGGCGCGTGGGCGCGGGCCGGTGAGTGTTGCCTAGCGGCGCGGGGGCGGGCTGCCGTCGCTTCGGTGGCGAGGAGTAGTCCGTTACGTCGGTGCCGCTCGACTCGTAGCTGCTGCTGCTGGCATCGCTCATGCTGTCGTCGTCGAGCCAGCCGCGGCGCTCGCGGTAGGGCGTGGTCACCGGCGAGTGGTCGTGCTGCGCGTGCATGAACTGCCGGACGTCGATGTCCGATGTTCGGGCGTAGCTGCGGTGCGGGCTGGCGGCCCGTCGGGCTGTGGTCAGGCTGATGGGCCCCGGGATCGGCCGCGTGTATTTCTTCGCTGTTTGCTGGGTGGCCGAGGCCGTCTGCGCCTGCGTGGACGGGCCTTGGGTGATCTGGCGGACCACGGGCGCGGATTGGGTTTGGTGGATGGTAGGACGCTGGGCCTGCTGGTGCTGGTGCTGCGGCTGGTGCAGGACGACCTGAGGGCGCTGCTGCTGTTGCTGCTGGATCTGTTGCTGCTGCTGCTGGTGGAGCTGCTGCTGCTGCTGGACCTGTTGACCGTACTGTGGTTGCTGTGTAGGGTGGGCTGTCTGCTGGGAGGTGCCATACTGGTATGTCGGTGCCGAGTGGCCGCCGTGGGAGTTGGCCGGCTGGATGGTTGCGCTCTGGCCGTATTGAGTGATCACATTCTGTTGCTGCGGCGCAGGGAGAGACAACGGCTGCTGGGGCGGTGCCAGCGGGGCAAGCATCGGGGGAGCCGGTGCCTGGATCTGCTGTAGGGGAGCGGACTCGATGATCTGGAGGGGCTCGTGGTGGACGGTGACCTGTGGCTGAAACCGAACCTGACCGGCCTGCGGCTGCGACTCGGTCTTTCTCGCGGTTCTCTGGAAGATGGCCCAGAACGTGTGCGGCGTCGCCTTGGGCTTGTCCCTGACCTCGCCCAGAGCCTCGAGCGTCCACATCCAGTGCGATGGGTCGGCCTCGCGGTTGTTGAGCTTGTCCTCGTACTTGCGCACATGTCGCTGCCGATACACTCCCATGCCGGTCAAGCACCGGATCAGGTCGTTCCCTGGTGCATCGTGGCATCGGATCTTGCGCTCCAACTCGTCTGGGCTCAGGGCGATGGTGATGTGCTCGCAATGCTCCCACTGCTGGCCTGGCTGGTTCAGATGTCGCAGGTTCTTGAAGTTCACGAACTGTCGGGCCGGTGCCGCCGTCTCCTCCTGAATGATGTGTCTCGGGCTGGTGGCGTGGACGATCCGCGTCTGTACCAGTGGCTGCTGCTGCTGTACCATCTGCTGTTGATATAGAGGCTGGGCTTGCTGGATAATGACATGCTGCTGTGGCTGTCCTCCCTGCCGTTGGACCTGAACCATTTGTGTCTGCTGAGTCTGAGCGTATGGTGCATCGACGTGGTACTGAGTCGTGTACTGTCCGGCGGCGGAGGCGGGGTTGTATGGGGTCATCATGGCGGCCATGTTTGGCACTTTGCTTGATGTGAAAAGCCTTCGAAGGCGAGTGTATGAGGGGGGGAAGGTTTATATGCTCGGGTTGTTTCTTGGAGCTCTGGCTTGAAGGTCTCAAGACGGGATGTGTATTATATATATGTGGTATGGGTAGCTTGGGAAGTCGTAGATCGTGATATGTAGTTGAAGGAACTTGTTCGTCTCGGTGGTGGATGGGGGATGATGATCTGCGGGAGGGGGAAGCTTGTTGGATATGGAAACTATCGGATTACGAGGGGGACTGATCGGGTTCTTTATAGTCAAGGTCCTTTCTTGAAGCCGGATAGCGGGCTACTCGACCGAACGACATGTCAGTGCGCTTTGGCATCAGCATGATGGCAAGACGCTCCGATATTGGCGTCCGCGGCCGCCGCCTCCTGCGGGAATCCAGCCAGCAGAACGCATGGAGGTCCGGAATAGTCCAACCAGCGTCGTTCGCCTTGGGATTCGGCATCGAGTATAGGTAAGGTATGTACATAGGTAGGGCCCTGGGGGGTTTGCATGAGTGCACAGTCCGGGCGTGCGTAGCAGGAAGTTGGGGTGTGTAGAGCCACAAGTAGGGATGGGACCATCGCCAATGGGATCCGCAGGAGCTGCAGTATTTTCAGCACACAGCAGCAAGTCGGAGCTGGCGTCAAGGCACGTCCTCACAAACCAAGTAGCTTCACCTCAGTCGCCCATCCCATCCGACAGCTCGGTACGCTAAGATGGTATTTTCTTTCCTTTCTTTTTTCCCTTTTTCTTTTTTTCTTTTTCCTTTCTTTTTTCGAACGGCGCCGGCGCATCTCTGGGTGAGATATGCGCTCAAAACGAGGTGGGCCCCTAGTCCACCTACTTGTCAATTCCGCGTCCGCAGACACCGACACCATCTGACCCGGGGGCGGGACACACTCCCATCGGCGGTGCCTGGCTGCTACTGCTGCTGTTCCTGCCGTGAAACCAAACAACGTGCAGTAGGTTCGAAGAGCAGCAGGGAGTTTTTCGTCTAACATACGGTTATTGGATGCCCCAAAACGTGAGAAGGTGAAGAACGAACTCTGCAAAGCTGCAACGACACCCGAACTCTCCAGCAACCACCTCTCCCGGTATATCCGTCCATTTCAAACCAACGAACGAACAACGACGTGCCCACCGACACATACCGCACCGGTGGCGGGGAGGGGGTGCGGGCAACCTTGTGCGGGTCGTTGCAATTCCTAGTGGCCAGTCAGTCAGCCATCCAGCCATCCAGCGGCCAGCCAGCCATCCAGCCATAACGAAATCACAGGAGAAAATAAAAAAGAAAAAGAAAAGAAAAGGATCACAAACCAACAGGCAAGAAAAAAATATTTTTTAAAAAGGGAATCCAGACAGCCATGTCGACATCAAACGACGCTGCACAGTGCACAAGCTCGGAAGTCCAGTTCGATTTACGAGTTACAGCGGCGTTCCCCGGACGGAGTGGGCGAGTGGACGTGCTTGATTGATCGATGGATGGATTGATTGATTGCCATTATCGATACATATCTCGATCAAGATAGCTACCCTACCCTACCAACCAGGTACCTACCTGGTTACCCCGTACCGTACCGTACCATTCCGCATCAGCACGATAGTACGCTAGACTCTGGAATAGTTATGTACCTCCCTCCTCGCAACTGCTGTCTCTCCCGCCACGCTGCGTGCGGCGGCTTGAATGGATCGCTCAGGCGATAGGTGGAAGGGCAGGGCAGGGCACGTCTGCTGATCGGGCCATGTATGTAAGTAAGAAGTACCAGTGCTCCATAGTAGAGTATGGAGAGTACATGCCCCCAGGGGCGAGGCGGGGCGGGGGCATTGTGCCAGTGCCAGTGCCAGAGCCTGTGCGTGTGAACGACTTTCCTGAACCCCTTCGCAACGGTTATGCTATGCTATGCAATGCAAGCTGCAAACGATTTGTCGGATTCGCTGGCAAAGACGATCTTTTAAGCCTCATGTAGAAAGACACTCAACGGGTCGGGGCCGCGAAAAGGAAAGAAGGCTGTGGGGGAGGGTGGAGCGGAGTGGAGTGGAGTAGTGCAGAAGGATGCTGGTTAGTGGAGTAGTGTAGAGTCTCTACAAGGACACACAGCTCGGCTTGCCTATGTATTACCGATAGGGGACTAAGGCGGAGGGGGCACGGAGGGCAGAGTAGCTAGGCCAGCATAGGATGGGTACCAGGATGGCAACGGCTAGGGGCGCTACTATTAGTAGGTAGCCTGAGGGCCCGCCGCCGCCGACGACGACGGACATCAACGCAACACGGGCGCACAGGTAGGCATGAGAACACGCGTCCGTGGTGAATCAGCCCTCGCGTGAAGGGAGGGGGTTCCGGAGCAAGCTTTGAGAGCAACATGTCGACAAGCCATTGGCCGGTAAATGTGGCTGGGTATGCGGGCGTCTCGACTCGGAAGCCGCTGTGGCAGATGGCTGGTGGGTTTCTTTTTGGTGCTTACCGGAGCCCACCACGGCTAAGTGTGGAATAGGTACTTGGGTAGTGTAGAGCATAGTACAGACATCTCCTGCTTGCAACGACTGGCCGCAACGGGCATGTGTATTCCAATTCAACCAGCTTGATTCCGCTCTGCTCTACTAGCAGCCAGCGTGTACGTGTCGACGGACCACCAGCGCGGAAGGAGGAAGAGGGGGAGCAGGAGGATGGGGAGGAGGAAGGACGCACCGCTGCGCGTTCGTCGACGAGTGCATATAGTAGAGCAAGTATGTATATACCTAGCAGGTGCTCGGCGGGCACCACGTTGTAGATCCCCCAACGATATCGCTTGTACAATCGGGTGAGCGGGGGGGTAGGGGGAGCACGGCGGAGACGGCGGCGGTGGCGGTGCAAGTACATATACGGTATACCTACCCCAGGGAGACACTAGTATTCTACAAGGCTGCTGGGGCGGGCACATGCCACGGAGCCGTAAGACGGGAGCTGGCATACACACAGGCATGAGTAGGGTAACTACAGGCATATTATACAGGCACAGGCCCAGACACAGACACGCAGAGTCCAGACACGCTCGCACAGACACATAGGTACTATACACGCACACACAAGAATGTACAAAGCCTCGTCGAGGGAAACAACAGCCTGGTCTGCCACGGGTTGGAAGCCGAGTCGGCGAAAACGACAGCCTGGTGTTTATGCCACGGGTTGGAAGCCGAGTCGACGAAAACGACAGCCTGGTGTTTATGCCACGGGTTGGAAGCCGAGTCGACGAAAACGACAGCCTGGTGTTTATGCCACGGGTTGGAAGCCGAGTCGACGAAAACGACAGCCTGGTGTTTATGCCACGGGTTGGAAGCCGAGTCGACGAAAACGACAGCCTGGTGTTTATGCCACGGATTGGAAGCCGAGTCGACGAGATTCCCATGTTCGACAGCGTGGAGAGCGAACCTGGCGTTTTGGCGAAGAAGCAAAAAACGGTTTTAGTTTTTTGCGAGATGAGGTGGTGGTGGGAACGGGATGGTCGTGAAGAATACCCCGAAAAGGCAACGAAGGAGAAGGGTTGCCGAGAACATTCAACATCGCCCCATGCATCTTGACGTGCGGCGAAACAACCAACCACAATTTCAAGACCGTGATCGCCCCACACCCGATCTACCCCCCAGCAAATAATCATCGTGATATGATTCGTGTGCTGTCCACCACACACACACGAGAAGAATCAAAACCCAACCCTGAAACTACTAGAGTACCTACTCTACTCTAGGTACTCCACATGCACTGGATCTCCCGAACACCTATTCGACCGCTCGCGATGTGGAGGGCTACAGTGCCTACTCCGGATCACAGATACAGACGCTCTAGAGTACTATGATGGAATACGATATTCTGGAGTGGACTCGCCGTCGTCGATTCCACCCGCAGATAGATAAAAACATCCAGTGAACAGCGAACGACACACAACCCCACCACACCCTCTTCTCGCACCGAAACCCCCCCTCCCACCCCCTCCCACCCCCTCTTCAGCCCACCCGACAACTACCGTCACCACCGTCCAACCCGCGAACATCATCTCTCCATCCTGCGAGTATATACATAATCATATCTATGCGCAGCGCTTTCCGAGGAACACCCTACATACTTCATACATACGGTCAGTTATCACGCAGTTCAGATGGAAATATTTTGTGCTTGCCCCCGCTGGCTCTCCGTCGAACACTCTCCGCCTCGCCTCACTGAATCAGGGACACAGAAAGAAAAAAAACACAACAGCTCGCGATCCGATTTGCTTTCGTGGCTGCGGCTGCGACGGTTCATTCGACGGCGGCACAGGGCCCAGGTTCGAAATGTCCAGTCCACGCGGTGCAAGAAAATGAGAGCGGAGTGGAGAGATCTCGGTTCCACTAGCCCACCCCAACCCCACCCACACCCACACCACACCCACACCCACACCTCACCCGCACCCTCCCTCACTCTCACTCACTCTCACCCTCTCACCCTCTCACCACCCACTCACGCTCGCAGTAGCAGCAGCAGCAGCAGAAGCAATTCTGCTTCTTATTCCGGACGAACCTACTACTACCCGCTTGTGCATAGCTCCTCATCCCAAAGCAGCACACTCGAGTCGACCGATCAGACAACGCACACCCCGTAAAGCAAAACCTTGAGCGTCCAGCCAATGAGAGCGGTGCGTTCTTCGGCTTCAGGTATAAAATACACACACGAAAAATATGTATGTACCTACTCGACCAACTGAGCTATGTATATTCCTGAGGTACGGAGGGGGAGGGGGAGGGGGACCGAATGATCCGTCCGCGGGAAATGGCCCATGGGCTTTCCCGATATCGCACCACGATGGAGAACCGAGAGAACTTCGAGGACCTCGCCGTGCCCTGGAGTCTTGAGACAGGCGGGGTAGGCATGTGCTTCTACAGTAGTGCGGCCAGCAGGAGCCACCTACTAGTTAGTACTATGATAGTTCGATCATGAGATGTGGTAGCGAAAGATAGATAGATGTTTTTTCTCTTTCATTCCTTCCCCCCTATGGGCGAGGACGCGGAGGAGGAAGAGGAGTCGTAGATCTCGCGGCGACCAAGAATCAAGATCAAGATCCGGCCCTCCCCTCCGTGCCGCGGCATCCAGGCTCCAGCTGGCCACGGCCGGTCGACCGTCGACGATTGGCCATCCCGTCGACGACGGAAACCGAAGCTTGGCGATCTGCGAGACGCCCGTTCCATCCAAGAGGTCGACCCAAACCGCAACTTCTCCCGAGAGGGAACGGCAACGGAAGACAGCGGCAAGGAGCCGGTGATCGGCTGTAAGAAAGTGTCGCTTGCAAGTTGCAGTGATACCGCACAGCTGCGATTCGAATCGTATTGCTTCCGCAGTGACCACTGACGGATGCACTTTCAGTCCTGTGAATGGGGGGAGTCGACTACTTGTTATTCTGCTAGTTACTCTGTACTAGAGTACGGTATCCTCCATATTACATGTCTGCTTGAGCTTGAGCGCAAGGTAGAGTACTTGCCAGCCCAAGGTAATATGGCCCGAATGCTAGGTACCAGTACTAGCAGGTACTTCCTCAGGAGGATAACCAAGTAACCACTCTACTTCCTCACCAGAATTAGGCGTGTATAGTATCTTTTGGCCTGTTTAGTCCGGAAGGAAACCTACAGCAGGCGGTCAGGCCGCTTCCCTTTCCGGCTCCTTCATGTGAGCGGCTCTCGATCAGGAGGATCGCACAAGTGGCTGCGAACATAGGATGTAGCTGATGTGAGAGATTTTTTTTTTCAAAAATACATCCGTCAATTCCCCCCCCCCCCCCCCCCCCCCCCCCCCCGGAGAGAGAGAGACTCGTCATGCGGAGATCTTCGTGAATGTCGCCACTGCCTTCGACATTCTGTTCAAGCGGGCAGGTACATACAGAATCCCTGGATCAAAGAATCTGCTTGTATGCATACCGTAGTATGTATGAACTTCTGTACTTACTTGAATCATGCCGCCTGCATCACCGCCTGCATCACCGCCTGCATCACCGCCTATGTATGTACATACCTGCGCCGTCCCCCGTCCCCGCCGTCCCCCGCCACCCCCCGCCTCGAAATCCGGCGCGGCTACATACAAAGTATGTCTGATGCATACCACTCGGGCACACGCTACGACCGGAAACGGGCTTTTCCATGGCGGTTCTCGCGAATACCCACATTACATTGCACCGCACTGCACTGCACTGCACTGCATAGGTACGTGCATGTGCTGTGACCTGTCTCCGAGGCCGATCCCCTCGCACCGTTGGAGATGGGGATGGGCGAGGGGGATGGGGGATGGCGAGGGGATGGCGAGCGTGAGGGGGACTTGTGGATATGTATCATCGTCGACGACGACCGACGACGGAACTGTTGCCGCTCCACCGCCCACAGCGCTAATTATACCGGTACCGTCACCGCCACCTTCCGCTGTTTTCTTTCCAGGTTGAATGACTACTGCTGCAGCAGGAGCATCGAGAAGGGCCATATGTAATCCATTCCGTCCCACGCTGCCGTCTTCTCCGAAAGCTTCTCCACGGCATCGTACCTATCGGCACCGGAAACCCGAGCACGTTGATTTGGATTTGATCGGGTTCGGAATGACGGGATGACGGAATGACGGAATGACGGGGCCATGCAGCAGTGTGCCGTTCCCGACACTGTCCATTGTCCAACGATACGTAGATGGGCGGTATTTGAGTTTATTCTATCTGGAAGGACCAGAAAATTCAAGAGATTGGAGACGTTGGACGTGCTGCTGCTGCTGATGCTGCTGCTACTGCTCCACGTTATCTGAAGTTTGAGGACAGCATTGCATCGCTATCACAGACATACAGGCAGACAGGCACGCACGCACGCACGCAGTACGCAAGCCCCGGTGATGACTACGGTACGCCGGGCTACTGCACCATGTATATGCACCCTCACGAAGAAGCTAAATGGATCTTGGGAGGGAGGTCATATTATGCAGTCGTCTATCATCTACATGATGTGCACAAGTCACCCAAACCCCTCTCTCGCCATCGACTTGCTTTTGCCTCTTCTTCTTGCATACCTTTTGCGTGATGCTCCCCAGCTGATGATGGACACCGCGCTCTAGCTTTAGCTCTGGCTCTGCCCTACTATGTAGGTAGCAGTGATCGTATGTAGGAGCTGCAACATTATATCTTTCCGGTGGCGACGGTGGAAGTCGTGCTACTACACCTACATACACACGTCGAACAACTCACAGGTCTCCCCTGCCCGAATCATGCTAACCACCACAACCCCCTCCCCCTCCCCCTCCCCCTCCCCCTCCCCCTCATCGCCGCCACCCCTTCCTTCCTTCCCTCCTCCCTCCCTTCCTTCCGTCCCAATCGTAGGGACGGACAGCAGGCCTGCAAAGATCCGGTTTTCCGGGCTGCCCTTTTCTTGTCTTGTCTTGACTTTGAGAACTGACGTGTGCATACCTAGTATTTCCCTGTCTCGAGGTTGCTATTCCAGGCTGATGGGTATACGGTATTCGGGCAGGCTGCTGGGCAACTGGGGAGGGGGGATGGTGATCCTAGGGATTACCGCTGCTGACGAAGATCAAGATCAAGATCATGGGCGGTACTCTGCTCCGAACTGCGCCGATCTTCGGCGAGGGACCTCTCAACGGTTTTTGGTGCTGGGTGATAAAGACTTGTGGGCACTGGGGTTAGGCTTTTGGTTCCGAGGAGGAACTTGGAAGAAGTGGAGCCATTGTAGTTGGAATAAACATTCGAGCGTACACCCCTCACCCTGGCTGGCAAGGGAAGCCTTACCCTGTAGCCATCCGTGTTTCGTTTGCACCGTTGGCTGACATATAAGGCATATGGAATGTTTCCTATACACGTTTATACCCAGAAGCAGTTCACGGGGAGGGAGGGTGGGATATGGAACGTGTTACGTACCTGCATGTTCCCTCTACATACCCGCAATATCATAATATCATACCTATCATAATAGTAATATAGCAATAAACACAGTCCGTCCATAGTTTCCTCAGGAGTCAGATCAAGCAGATCTTGATCTTGACCGCTGCCCACTACAGTGCCCACTGCCGAGCCCCATGGGCCATCTCATCTCAAGTTTCCGAGATTCCAAAAACAGTGCCTGAAACACGACCCGCCTCCACCACCTCCGCTTCCAAACAGGACTGGACTGGCGTTTGCAGTCCACATCCAAATCTTCAATCATCAATACGCAATGCTCAATCCACCTTCCCACCGCGTCGCGCATCCACCATCCACCATCCAGCATCCAGCATCCAGCATCCAGCAGCATCCAGCCTACGCATTCCGCAAGCGGTTTTCCATCTTATCACTCGCGCCCACTTTCCCTCCCCTTTCCCCCACCCACCCCCCACGCACGTAGTTACGCATCCCCCTCCCTCCCACTCCCACGTGAAATCCCTTGCGCGCGCACCCGCCGTGCACAATCTCGCATATTTTCGCATGGTCTCGCATGCCCTCGCATCCCGGTAAGTACCCTCCCTCCCTCCCTCCCTCCCTCCCTCCATCCCTCGCGCCGCGGTCACAAACTCTCACCCACCTGCGGCCCAATCGGACGGGCGCGGCGGGCGCATGTAGATAGTAAGGTACTGCTGCAACACACCCCTGCGTGCACGCGCGCCAGGGAATGGTAGATCTGACGTTTCGCCGCGAGATCTGGGTTTTGGCGATTTGTATATATACTTTTTCCGCTATGTATGGGGTGGGAGGGGTGGTGGTGGAGGGGTAGTTGGGGGATGGAGGACGGGGGGGGGCGTTATCTATCTCAAGGTGGTTGCTGGGCGCTGGTGGTTGCTGGTGCTGGTTGCTGGTTGCTGGGCGCTGGTTGCTGACGTGATTGCCCGAACTACTCTTCCTCATCCTCCCGGCCGGACGTTCGACGTTCGACGTTGGATGTGGGACTAACTAGTACTCTACCTACTCTAGTACATACCATGGTTAC